ATCTTCAAACGAGTCTGTTATTTGTTTTACATTTCTTGAAGTAGTGTTAAATGTAGTCTTATTTTGTCTTTGCAATTTGATAGGTGCATTAGGATTCCTAAAACAAATCTTTGCTAGATGCCCTATTTTTTTACAGAAGTTACATGTTGTATTTTTGTGTTTGCATTCAGATATGTATTCATGTAACTCTCCACAACGGTAACATTGTTTAAGATTGGTACTGTTTTTAGGTTTTTGAAAACTTTTCTGTTGTACAACATTTAAGTTAACCGGCAATTCATTGTTTTCATGATTGAATTTTGATTGGATTGTTATTGAATCGTTTTGAGCCTTTTCAATTACTTGAGCCATGTCTACAGCTTTTTCAAAACTCAAATCACTGTCACTTAGAGTAATTAACCTTGCCTGTATTTTTTCATCCCTTAGCCCGAGTATGAATTGGTTTCTCAGGGCTTTTGACAGAAATGTGCCAAAATTACAATATCTAGACAACTTTCTAAGATCCAATGAAAATTCAGAAACGTTTTCTCCTTCATATTGGTGTCTACAATGAAATTTGAATGTCTCTGATACTTCATTTGGTTTTGGTGTAAAATGTGAATTAAGAGTTTGAACTAATTCAGCATAGGATTTAGTTATAGGTGATACAGGATGCAATATATCCCTAAGTTTACTGTAAGTGTCTGATCCAATACAGTGAAGTAACGTAATTTTCTTTTTGTCTTCCGAAATGTTGTTATAAATGAATGATATCTCTAGTCTTTCCATATACATTTCCCATGTTTCATATCTTTCATTAAAGGGTCCAATCAATGCTGAGTTAATCATTTGAATGTTTTGAGATGTATTTGAATTACTTGTACTCACCTCCATCGTCGCCAAATTGTTCTGTATGTAATTAGAACTAATAATAAATGTATTTGTAAAAGTACAATTTTAACCAACTTTATTCAACACAAATTAAAAACAAAGTGAAGAAGTAAACCTTATAACCAGCTGGTGATAGTTATAAAATAAATAATCAATAAGTAAAGATAGACATTTAGGATGTAACAGGCATAAAGGCCCTTTTTGCAGCTACCGCCTCTCCATTTGAATCCTGAAGAATCAGCAAAAGAGTATTTCAAAAGTTTAAAAATATTAACTGTCCATAGACACATTAAAATCCATATTTATGACACGGTTTTAATAGCAATTCATAATCCATTAAAACAGAACATTGTGCAGTCTCACCGATATAACACGCGAAAAAAATACCGTCATACCCACTCACCACAGATTAGCATTTTATGAAAAAAACCTTCATATATTGGAGCAAAATACTTACATAGACTTCCTATTGCGTTAAAAACTGAAAATAACATCAATAAATTTAAGAAGATGTTGAAAATTTACCTTTTTCACAAATCACTGTACTCGTTTGAGGATTTTTTTAACTTTTAGTCATAGTCGTAGTATTAAGTTTTGATTTGACACAATTCTCATGTACTATGTGTGCATATTGTGAATAAAGATGATTTGACTTTGACTTTGACTTAAGAGCTTTGATCCAATGAGTTGTCCTTGTAACAAATGATTATTTTCATTAGACCATACGTGTTTTTATGTCATACACTATTAAATTTTTTTCTAATGTACGATAGTATTACGATCTACGAGGCGAAGAATCGACTGCGATTTGTAGCGCCCCAGCACGATAGTAGTAGTAGTACGATAGTATTGTATATGTACAAAAAGCAAGTATTTTTTATCCACAAAACTTACATATTTTTATTGCTTACCAGCGGAATACCCGTCCTTCGCTACGGAAACTTTCAGATTGGTTGAAATTTTTCATAAATTAGTGTTAGTTCCAACAGTCTTCAGTAAAAAATTCAGCTACAACCTTTTTTTAATATTAAAGCAGCTATTATAATGTCTCATTGGGTCCATAAAGTGTGTATGCTCAGGGTGGTTGCCAGACTGCAAAAAGGTTTAGGTAGGTGCTGCAAAGGTAGTAGCTGCAGTTTACCACCATTTCAGTACATGTCCGGTGATTATTCTTTCCATTTTAAGGCTTCGCAGTACTTAGGCCTACGTTATTTGAACGTCATGGTACCTATCGCCACCGAGCTATCTCCTTCATAGTCTATTTTCGGATTATATGTCATTGTTGATAGATGTTTCACCATCCATTGAATCTTTGGAAAATGTATTTCAGGATGAGTTCGTTTATACCTTTTGTTTGCGTTCTTGCCTGGTTTTTCCTTTGTTTGTCTGTTCACCTGCTATGCCGTTTACGCCTTAATGTATTTTGTTGAGATTCCGGAATCGGCTGATGATGGGAGAAACGGGCTCTTTTTGTGGCTCTAAAACGTCGAAGTGCGCGCTAGACAGGGATTGTGTCAATTTGAGTCTTTTCACGGGATTACGTTCATCACCAAACTTGACATATAATTCAAACTATTCCGATAAATCTCGAAAACAAATTTGAATAGTTGTGAAGCTACAACCTACCAAAGGCAAACGACTTAGACATTTAATAGAAGTATTCCCTGGAATTGAGGTGATTATTCCTGTCACTGTCGTATAGAATAAGATTGAGAAATAGTCCCAGTTCCTCAAAATGAGAGTGAAGTAAATAAAAACACTTCATCTCCTCTGATCACTAAAAGTATTAACTTAAGATATTAACTGTATAATTTCGTTTCCCAGACATTATTTTTTGGGAAATAAACCATACAAAAAAATAGGTTTTTATAAACATTTGAGAAAAAAGAAAGTCAATAAGATACGCACTTACAAATTAAAAGTCCTTATTCACACTCTATCAAAAATTATTTATTAAACAAACTTCCTTTTTTATTTAAATATAATTATAGCTAATGATACTAAAAATTTAGACAATCAATAGTGCTGCACCCTGTTGGTACATTTTGTAACCTATTAATGCTATTGATCATCACAGAATCAAATTGTTTAGTTGAAACAGCTGTTAAGATTCTTTAATTCCATTTAAGCCTAAATATGAGTGCTCATAAGGTTAACATGGAAAACTCCAGAGCCACTGGGGCGGAGCCCTTTTGATGGATCTGCACCAAACTTCACACAAACCATCCTTGAACAATGCTTAATAATGTGTGAAAGTTTCATTACAATCTGTCAAGCGGTTTCAGAGTCCATAACGTTCAAACATTATATATACAAACTTCCTCTTTTATAAATATATATTACTAGCTGTACCCGCGGGCTTTGCCCCGTTTAACTTCATACGTGAGCTCGTTCGCATGGCTCAATCACGTCCTGGTTGAAGTTCGTTCGCTACGCTCACTCACCTCTAGGTTGGAGCTCGTTCGCTGCGCTCACACGTCCTGGTTGAAGTTCGTTCGCTACTCTCACTCACCTTTTGGTTTCAAATTAGCTGTTGTCAAATATTTAAAAAAAATAATAGTGCTGCACTCTGTTGGTAATCCTTGTAACTTTAATGCTATTGAACATCATAGAACAGAACCAACTTGTTTAATTGAAACAGCTGTTATGATTCATTAATTTCATTTAAATATGAGTACTCATTAGGTTAACATGGGAAACTCCAGAGCCACTGGGGCGGAGCCCGAGAGTCCGATCAGAATAAAAACCACTTAGTTTTCCTATTTAATGCCTAAAGAATCAGTGTACCAAATTTCAGCCTCCTAGGTAAGTGGGAAGTGGGAGAATTAGTGATGAGTGAGTGAGTGAGTCAGTCAGTCAGTCAGTCAGTCAGTGAGGGCTTTGCCTTTTATATATATAGATAACATTTTCTATTTGATAAACAACTTAATAGTGTAATAACTCATGAAAAATGTTTTTCTTACAGTTTTATTGCTATTAAATTTTTTTTACTCATCATTGTATAGTTTTTGTACTCTCGGAGGTAGCTTCCGTGAGCGCCCTTTGGTGTTTGAAAATCAATGTGCCCGACAGAAGGTTAACAAATGTTTGTATTAGGCGGTATTGTACATATTCCCGTTGCGAAGAATGGGTACAGCAGTTAGTTTTTGTATGAAACGAATAAATACAATTTAATTTAATAAAATATATAAGAATCCAATATTGGGTTCTCATTAAAATCTCATTAAAAATTGATTTATTTGATTATGTATAAAGTTAGGACTAATTTGTATTGCAGGATTAGAGTGTTCACACACATTACTATTTATTCCTTATTCAAGAGCACTAATAATTTATTAGACGTATATATTTTTGTTCATATAGCTAATAATATATAAATTTGCCTTTTAACTGAAAAACCAAAACTCCTTGTCTCAATAGAACTGACAAAATAATTTACATCCAACCTATTACTGATCTATTACAATATTTTCTTGCTTCATTCGATGAATTAAAATGCAAATATCATTTCTATTGTTTCTGTGAGAAAACACTGAAAACAGTTCAAATTAATTATATCTATTGCCAACATATTCTAAAAAAAAACATCATTTAAGGCCAGAGTCGTTAGTTCAGTGGCAAAATAGGTCCAGAAACAATCTTTCTCGAAATTGAACTGAGCAACAAAGGATTTGAAGCCATAGTTTCTCCTTCCTATCTGAGCAATAAAGTAATCCATTGAAATTTGCAATAGTATCTGTTACAAAACTAAACTACAGTCGGGACCACGTAAGTTTGCAATTGAGGGAGGAGCCTATGGTTTTGAATGAACCAATGAGAACCGTGCGGTGTTGCCAAATCTAATAATGCCAGCTGATTTGAATATATTGTTTAGTATATTTTAATTAGTGTTGTCAACGGTCGATGTGGCAACGTCGTACTAGCCTTGTCTTGTGATTGGCTGCCACCAACTGCAAACTTACGTGGTCCCGACTTTAAGTAGTTTATTCCCTGTGTATTTGAAATATTCTTAAACTAATCATTACCTATACCAATATAACAAGATATTGAAGTAAACACTAATTCTGACTCCTTAAATGTTTTATGATTAAAAATGAGCATACATATTATATTATTGACGGCATTAATACCTCTTGGAAGTATTTGAAGCTGAACATGAAAGACAGTTTGAGTAGAGCGAGAGCCACTGGAACCTTGGCATCCACACTGGTCTCAGCAGCCTGGTCGTAACATCTCTTGGCCAAATGCATGTCCTAGAACATGTAAATAACTTTGACTATTGATACAAGGCTGTAGCCAGTTTTAAAATACAGAGCCACCACCAGAGTGCACTGTATGCTCACTTATTGACTTCAATGATCGACCAAGCCAAACTGAAAGACAACTGAGTATAAGCCAAGGCTACTATAATGTCACATCAACTGCCACAAAAGACTATCCCCCGGTACCAGCAAACCTGCAGACTAAGTGAATTTCAATTTGTCGGATTAAATTTTTACTAAAATATTTCCATAAAAAATATATACTGAATTTTTATTCCCTTGTTTAAATAACATTAGATTGATGGAGTACTTAGGGTTTGCTGTACGGGAGTCAAAGTGTCTTTGGACCAAATATTAATAGGGTATGATGAAATATATTAATTTGCCAACTATAATGGAAATATAATCCATAAAGAAGCAAACTACAACAGTTTTCTTGTCCTCTATAAACAAAATGGTAATTTTAAGTGTACTGTTTGTTTTGGAATTTTCTCTGTAACCTTTAATTGTACAACAACACTTATTATTTTTTAAGCTCTACATAACCTAACTATTACACTTGATTGCGTTGTACCTGCTGCATGCCGAGCCCTTGCTCGTGCATGTAGCCCAGGTTGAACGTGGCCTGTGCGTTGTGATGCTGCTCGGAGGCCAGTCTGTAGTGCATGGCGGCCATCTCGTAGTCTACTGTAGTCCCCAGCCCGTAGTAGTGGTAGTCACCTAGTTTGACCTGAGCTGGAGAGTAGCCCTGTGCTGCTGCTCTGCCCCAGTACTGCAGCGCTCTCACATACAGCTCCTGCTCACTCTGCCACAGAGACACTTCTCCTGCAGACATAATCACATCTACTGTACACTGGTCTGAATTACTGATTTCTGTTGCATATAGCCAATATTCAAACCAAGCCAAACTAAAGAATTTTTATGCCACATCAACTATGCCAGTAAAAAATTAAATTAGGGGTGAAACTAATTTTTGTCGTGAATATTTCATTCTTTAAATATTTTTGGCAAATATCACCACCTCCAGCTAATCATTTAAAATCTTAGGTGTCAATTGTCTATACAACATCAATCCAGACTTATATATTAAAATTTGGGCACTTCAACAGATACACTTTTTATCTCCTATTATGGAGGAATTCACTAGCCAGATTTTTTAGTTTACTAATGTTAACTTGTACTGTAATGTTGTGCATGCCGAAGTTGTACTAGGCAACTGACCTCTATCCAACATGAAGGCAGCATTGCTCTGAGCCACCTCATATCCCAGTTCAGCTAGCAGAGAGTATGTCACGTACGCCTCGTTGTATCTCAACTCTCGGTAGTGCTGGTGAGCCTCCATCAACTTCTCCCCCCACTTGCCCCTCTCTGCTACGTTCTTGTACAGCTGCAATCACCAACACAACAACTTCATATATCAATGCCTCTGATAGCCCTAGGCCAAGCTAAACAAGTTTACCAAGAAGATTTTCTCATGGCAAACCATCCAACTTAAACCCAAGTTTTATTACAGTGACTTCTTTCTCTAAACGCCCTTGTCTCCTTAAAATCATATTTGAGTCTGTTAAGACCCTGCTACAAACTGAAAACCAAATAAAACTGAATAACTGTGTATAAAGTCAAAAATATATACTCCATGTTATTTACTACTATAATTGCATATAGTAATGCCATACTTGCAAGCTAAGGATTTTACCTCTACTGCCGTGGTACAAGACCTCATCATGCCTGTGCCTGTGGCATGCATTTGAGCCAGGTTGTAGAAGGCTAGTACATGACCAGACTGGGACGCTTGGTTGAAGTATTTATTAGCCAGCTTGTAGTCTCTTCGAGTTCCTAGGCCATCTATAACACAGGGTGATCAAATTGTTACATAGGCCTAACACATAAGTTCTGACGTGTTGTAGTGAGAAAATTACCTCAACAAGTATTAGCACCCTGGAAATAAGTGTCCTTTGTACTTGATTAATTAACTAAAATCAGCTAAGCCAACTGAGCTTAATTTGATTTAAAGAAATTACATCCGAACATATGCAATATTTTTACTCCAGACTTGCTGTCACAGGCAGTTTTAACACGTTCGCTACTGCAATAGTACAAAATTATTCATTCACATGGACCAGCGACGCACATATGCGACGGCCGGTTTCCGCCCATAGATGCGAAGGTTAGTCACATTAAAATAAACTGCCGTCGCATATTTGCGTTGGGGTTCTAATGTTATTAAAATGCTTATCTCTTTGTAACGGTCTATTTGAAGGCACTGAATTCCCTGCAGTGGTCTACAGGGATGTCTGACGCACAACTGTGTCGCTTGGTCTGTGGATATGATGATTGGTATGACGTCATAATGATAATTTTAAAAAACTGGTATTTACTTTTCTGCATCACTGTATGTATGTATGCTGCATTCTCCTATGTAGCTTTTATATTTGTTCAGTTATAAACTGTTCTTGAATAATCTGTTTTGTTTTCTTACTTTCACCTCAAAACACAAACAAAAATGAACTGTCGCATATATGCGACGTTTGGTCTATTTAAAGAAAACTATGATAATTTTCACTATTGTCTTTGCTGTAGACCGGGCGTCGCAAATATGCAACATTACAAAAGGTTATAAAAAATCCAAAAAACAAGAATGAATTATTTACAAACACGATTGTAGCGTATTACAATGTAAATTATCACTGTTTTACAGGTTTTCGCCCGTGGTCTGTGTGTACTGTTAACCAAGTGACAGCTGGTCTATGCGGAAGGTTCAAATGCATACCTCGGTCTGTGGCAATGAACGTGTTAATGATGTCTCCTACTCAAGCTCTTGGAGTGAAAATAAAAGTTTGGAAGGCAACTGTAAATTATATTGATAGAGAGTAGAATTTGACATGTTCAAATTAATAAAATTTCTGAACACTAGCAGTACTTTACATTGTGTGCTTTGCGAAATTGAAATAAAAATATTTTAAAGAGATCCATCAAACTTCACAAGTATCAAGTATCCTTATTGATAGGAAATAAAACAATAAATAAGTAAAGACCTCATTTTCATTCAGAAAAATATACTTAGTGTGCAGCTCAATAGTGGTCTGTACTCACTGAAGTACATGATGCCGAGTTGTAGCTGGCCATCAACCCAGCCCTGTTCTGCTGCTGCAGAGAAGAACTTCCAAGCCTTCTGGTAGTCCCTCTCCACACCCTTGCCATGAAGATACATGAGGCCCAGGCCACTCTGGCCCACTGGGTTGCCTATGTCTGCTGCCTTCTTGAAGAACTTGAATGCTGTCTCATTGTCTTGCTTGACTGCTTCACTCCCTTCTAGATAGATCTATGAGGTGGGACCACAATAATACTTTACTCATCTCTGTTTATAGATAGAATAAGAGTGTGGTTCAATCCCAAGTTTGTTTGAAACATTTAAGTATTTGTTATTGAACACAAAAATATAGCACAAGAAAGATCAGTACAGGTAAACTTATGAGGAGACACCTTGACATGAACCAAAGTTTGAGCCACTGACTCACCAAACAAGGAGTGAAGGACATTTGCCTAAATTTACCACAATAAACCAACATGCTGACTTAATTAATTCAATTTATTCGTCACAGAAATTCATAATACAGCGAGGATTAGCAATGAATATGTGACATGTCAATAATCAATATACAGGGTGTTCAAAAAAGGTGAAGATTTTTTGTTGTAAAATAGGGCAAACCTGACTAGCTTCTGCCTTGTTCTACCTCATTTTACTACTAAAAATCGTAACATTTCAGCTATTTCTTATTCAATCTTTTTGAGCTTGGTATCGTTTGATAGGTAATTAAAAATGCTAAATAAAAGTGTTCTTAGCATTTTTTTTTTAAACCAGTCATTTTCTAGTAATTTGAGTATAAAAGTTTTAAATGGCCGCCATTTTGAAATTTTAAGTTGAATCATGATGATTTTTTTTTCTAATATTGGTCTTTTTTACCTTAACCTACATACCAAGTTTTATAAAGATTCGTTGAAAAAATTCAAAAATAAAAATGTTTACCTATGTAAAAAATACAAAATGGCGGATATCTGGTTAACAAAGCGACTTCGGAAAAAATGTTATTCTTGATTTTCTCTTTATTTTGACCCAAGGAATCACTAGGTAAAATATGTACCCACCTTTTTTGAACACCCTGTATATCATGAGTTTGAGTTATAAACAATTTACACATTGAATAAACATAAACAATATTAAAACTTAAAACACATTACAGTTGAGATAAAAATTATATAAAAAAAATACCCCACTGCAGCAAACCTTACATTCCATCATTTTTATTTTTTCATAATTCTAAACAAAATAGTGCAACCACCTATGATAAAGGTTGTTCTCAAGCTAATGGAAGAAAGTAAGTACGTGTGACATTGTTGGATAATGTTTAATTATTATTAACACTAAAAAACTCGTCTATGACATAAAAAGATGATTTGTTGTACACCTATATGCATTTATGATAGGTCCCAATGTGAAAGAAAGCTATTCTGTGGATTGAATTCTCTTAGACGTTGTTTATTTCTAATACTGTATCAAAACTGTACATATACTATAACATATGAGAATATGTACTTTGTTTAGCACACTTTAATATCGTGGCAATCAACAAGTGTGGAATACCAATTATAATTAACGATTCTTAATAAGTGTTAGGTAGGCCGACTGTTGGCATTATGTAGTTTCATTTTTGTGCATTTTTTTACTTTACCGTGCAGGTCATTTTGATGCTTTCTTCTGTATTTTAATAATAATAAAGCTCTTTTAGCAAATTTCCCTATAGGGAAGTAGCTATTACCGTAGGTGGCACGGTAAGACCTAGGCCCGGGACCGATTTACTTTTTTTATTTTGATGTCCCTAGAGGCCAAAAACACCATTCATTCAAATTTATATAGGGTGTCCAACGTTAAGTGTCTCAAATTAATTACGGAAAATGGCTTAATGTAAAAGGATGAAATAAAACTATTTCCCGCTAAATTGACCCCAAGGAAAAACATGAAAATATTTTAAACTTTTTTCTGATACAGAGTGTGCCAAAAACTGAGGGTCACTAGTTCAAATCTCGGGATTTTCAGATGTAAACATGTGTCATGTTATATATCATTTTAAAGTTGGTAAAATAGGAATGTTGGTATACATGTTCTTTACATCGAAAGATAAAAATAAAGAATTTTGAAGAATGTCTTTGTCTTTTATTTTGTTTATCAATAATAAATACTCTTGATTTGATAAACAAAATAAAAGACAAAGACATCCCTCAAATTCTTTATTTTTATCATTTTAAAGATATTTAACAGACAAACATGTTGGTGAAAACATAAATTAATCTTTTTCCGTTTCAAAATGGCGGCAGTTTTTTTAGGGAAAAATCAATAGGCTATGTTTTAATATTCTGTGTTTCCTATACCAATGCACTTAGCCCTTCTCCGGTTGAATCTTCTTACTCAGTATGAAATTATCTTTACTGTGATATGCTAAAAGTAACGGGTTTTTAAAATAATATTCCAAAAATACCTATTGATTTTTGAAAATTCGAAAATACCCGTTGTTCAATATGTTTACATTTGAAAATTCCGAGATTTGAACTAGTGTTCCTCAGTATTTGGCACACCCTGTATCGGAAAATATTTTTACGTTAATCCTTGGGGTCGATTTAGCGGTCTCACAATGAAGACAACTGTGGCAAAAGCTGCTTCACAAAAAATTCACTAAAAAAATCCACTGAATTTTCAATAGCTAAAACATTCTGGTAGATTTACTGTGAATTAAAAAGCTTGCAGGAAAATATCACAACATATTCACTAAAAAGATGGTTTGTTACCTTGCCCAAGAATGCCATTGCTATTGGATTTCCTGCGTCTGCTGCTTGCATGAAGTAATGCAATGCTTTTTGTGGGTCTTGAGGAACTCCGCGACCACCTTGGTAGTGCAGCTGGCCAAGACCTACCTAGAATCATGCGTCATCTTGTGTTATACAATTAATTTTATTAGGTATTGACTGACGCTAAACTTTGAGTACAATAATGTCTTTTAATGAAAACTAAAGGGAAAATATAATTTAAATCTTTCAATGCTGAGATATTGGTAGTTGTGATTCTATACAATGCTAATAACTCACCTGAGCTTGAACGTCTCCTTTCTCAGCAAGAAGCTGATAATACTCAATGAGATCATTATCCAGAATGCCCGAGTTGTATCCAGGATTCTCCACTTCCTCCAATAGCCGAACTCTCTGAACAATGGGTCCTCCAGATAGTGTCACTTCACTAGCCACTGAAAATGTAAGACAAAGGTCAAAGTAATAAGTAAAAATGATAACAAATAGAGGCAAAAAGTAAGTTAAAAAACTATTAATTCAATCAGTAAATGTATGGAGAGACATTTATTTTATAAATCATTCAGAAGAAGACAGTAAATAAGCTTGTAAATACTTTTGTTGTACACAATATTACAATAGTGATGTACTGTATGTATATTTGTTATAAGTTCATATCAACTAAATTGTTAATGAGATTACCTTTAATACATTCCCACTGAAATATAAGTTCCTGAGTGTACTACAGCAAAAAATAGTTAGTGCATAAAATTAATGTTATGTGTTACATATTAGTTTTTTTTTTTTACAAACTCACTTATTTATGTTATTTAAAATGATCAATTTTCAAGAACAGTGATTAAGTTTCAAAATAGCCATAATTAGGAACATTTGTTGGGGTTTGACTCTGATAAATAACTTCCTCAGAACATGCTATTCTGTAATAATACAGAAAACTTGAGGCTACTTTAAACAACATCACACAAGGGAATGGCCACCCATGTTCCGTTACCTCAATAGCTAAGGTAATAGTTGCCTTATTTTTATAACAGAAATATAGCATAAAGAGCAATAAAAAGCTTTTTTGCTGCACTACTGCGAAATGGCCTCATTTCGTTTAATGTGCCTGCAAAAATTCATCATTACATCGTTTACTACGGAAAAAGTTTTTTACTTTGCAAAAGTAATGTTTACTATATTTTTTTTTTATTTTGCCAGCATAAACAATCAAATTTTTGCTATTGTTTTGTCAACTGTTTCAATTTTCAACAACTAAAACTGTACAACCAAAGTAAATATAAACTTTAAATTGAAGGCATAACTTAAAAATGCTACGAGTTTTCTATTGTTCCTATAAGTGTAATAAAGAAATATCCAATGTCTGTTTTAATTAAGAAAATAATTTGTCTTTTTAGTGTAGCGAAAAGTAACATTTAAAACTTGAGTGGATGTGGGTCTATACATATTCTCGACCATTTAATGTGCTCGATAAATCTCGCACTTCAAACATGGTCTCAAATATGAAATGACCCACTTTCTGATCTTGTTATGAAATGTACCATTCTTACACAGGAATATTACAGAATCATCCACCTAAAATGCCCTTACCCCACAGAAAATGTTAATAACTGCAGATTTCTACAGTTAACGTAAAAATATGGTGATGAAACATAATATACTAGCCTTTGTTTGCGACTTTTCTGTAAAAGTCAAGTGCTTTCTCGCAGCTGTTGGGAACATTGATACCAGACCAGTACCTGTAGCCCAGTGCCATCTGAGCCCACACATTGCCACCAATGGCGCCAAACGTGTAGTGGACCAAGGCCCGGGCCTGGCTAGCGTTCACTGATATACCTGCAGCATACATGAACCCCAGAGCCTGTGACAAACAATACAAGTCAACATAGAGTTGTAGGGTTGAATAAATTAAAACAATAGTTTTGAGAAAAGATTGGTAGCCTAACATTAAGAGAATTTAAAGATTTATCAGGCGATAGTATGATACTTACCATATGTCCGTCTGCAACACCTATCTCGGCTAGATCTTCAAAGGTCTTCTTGGCCATTTCTATATTGAGTGGTAGATAAGAACCTAGCAACTGAGCCCAGGCGACCATAACTCTGGCGTCCTTATGGCCCATGTCAGCTGCTCGAACAAGCAGTTTGTATCCTTCAGCTTTGCTGCCGGACTTGACAGTTCCGTTCAACTTCTGCATGCCTTGGTCGTACAACTCTATTGCTGAAACAGTTATAAAGTAGTTCATGATTCTGCTGTTTAAAATACATTTTGAGCATAATTAATGATATTAGCCTTAAACTGTGCCAGTGTTTAGGTCAATTTTTTTCGGTTAGGTTTTTCTATTTATGACTAGATTTTAGTTCAAAGCTTTATAAGTTATACAGGTTGTCCATAAAAAACGTTTCAGGACTTTGGGAAATGAATCCTCATACTTAAAGGAAGAAAACAGTTTATGTGAAGGTATGTCCGAAAATTCATAGGTAATTTAGGTATTTACAGCTAACTTCAATAAATTGATATGTTTGACTATTTACTTTCTTCCAAAATGTAAACATTGAAACTTTGGAAGCCCATGGGGAGTATTCCAAGGGAAATATGAAAATAAAATGATTTAATTTTGCATTGTCATTTACTTGCGAGCTATGTTTCAAGTTTCAAGTCTCTAGCTCCACGGGAAGTTAGTATAAAAACATTTGCAAAATTTGTACCGGACAAGAAAGTGAGCTAATAAAAAGGAGCCCATGGGGCCTAGTCCAAGGGAAACATTAAAATAAAATGATTTAATATTGCATTGCCATCCATTTGTGAGGTAAAGTTTCAAGTCTCTAGCTTATCTGAAAGTTGGTTTAATATCGATTGCAAAGTTTGAACCTGGCAAGAAAGCTAGCTAATAAAAACTTTTTAAAATACAAGCTGAAACTACTGCTTTATGAGTTTTTGATGATTGAGCTTGACTGAGTTTTCTGTTCCAAAGATTTCTAAACTATCTAGGCCTACCTACTTTTTTATGCCCCACCTTCACATTGTAGAACGCTAGGTTTTAGCCCGGAACTGTTTCAAACTTCAAACAAGTCCTAGAGAGTTGCGGCATTAACACATAGATAAAATCCATTGGTGTTTACAGGATTTGAACCCGGAACCACAGGCTCTGAAGCCCCGAGCTCTACTACTAGACCAGATCACTTACTGCTAAACTATCTATACAGTAAGTACTAAGAATAGCCCTAATTTAATTCAAAATTTATTTAATATCAAACCTTCTATTTCTTGAGCTGTCAATTCAACTTGAGACTCTTCATTTTCTTCAATATCCATATCTGTTTCATCCAAATCTTCGCTGTTATAATCACTATCAGTCTCTACTTGTGATAGGAACTTTTGTACCCATGCTTCCCCAGGTATTGCAGAGAGCATTTCAAATGCTGAGAGGGTTTTTTCATTTATTATATTGGTTATGCCATCGTCATCTTCTTTAGATTCACCTAATGGGCCTTCCTTGGATAAATCTGGAGCTTCCACAATAGTTATAGCTGAATGGGGTCCAATCTCGGCCCGGTTTTCAGTATCATCATCTTCAGATATTTCATTATTATTTTGTAATTTATTTTTGTCTTTATCTTCAGCAAAACTGTACACGACTAATATCAAACATAAAAAATACACAGAAGATTTATGCTCTAGCATAACTGGATTCCTGGAACAAAAAATAGCCTATTGTTTTAAAAACATTCTAACAAAATAGGTAAAACACCAACAACACTTCAGGCCAAAGAGATAACCGTTTTATCAAAACGTACACGGATAAATCAAAGTTTACAACAGCTTATACTGTATTGTAAATCATTTTTTAATTTATTCATGTAATCCCTGGTCTAACCTATTAGAATGAAGTGTAGTTTTAGCTTAATTCAATGGGGTTTACCTGGATTTTTTGTTCTAAATTAAGTTTAAAAAAGTATGGCCCAAATTTTTGCACAAAATGTTCCCTGGAGGTGTTACATGTCTAACTAAAAAACGTTTCTAGCAAGATTAAACAGTAACCAGGCCTACATATATAGAACTGTGTAATAACTTTTACAGCTAGCCTACATTTTACAAAATGCAATTTTACAATTTAGTCTACAAAATGTAGACTACAATTTTTTTTATAGACTCAATATACTCCAAGAAGTAGTGTGTCAGCCTAGAATATTTCTGTCTCATTCTGTTATTAATTCTCAACTTTGAGCTTCAGTTGACTGGTCATACTCCCTAAACCTGCCTTAGTGGCCGACGCCAGATATTAATTAAAAAAAAGGTTGCTGTACCAACCATATCTAGCGGGATTATATTTCATTTAACTTCATATTAGTCTCCAAGTGAACCTCAAAAACCATACTCTAGCCCATTGTATTGCAGTACTTCATTAAACTTCTATTACATTCACCCTCATTCTTCATTTCATTAGTTTTGCTCACACCTAATGTAATTTGGCTGCAGCACTAGGTAGTCGAGCTTCAGCTTTCACATTGAATCATGAGGTATGGGCTCATTGATGTCGACGGTCATGTGACCGCGTCGGCAAAGCAGCACTATGACTAGGCGCCGAAACTGAGAGATTGCAACGAGATGTAGTGTCTTAAATGTCTTAAATTAATGTCTTAAATGTAAAATTAGTTCAAATTGATGTTTAGCGTAAATTAGCTTGAAAATGATGTTCTAAAGTAAATTAATATTTTAGTGTTCCAAAGTCCTTTTTCAGCGAATTTCCCTATAGTAGCTATTACCGTAGGTGGCATGGCAAGACCTAAACCCAGGACCGATTTGATTTTTAATTTTGATGTCCCCTGAGGCCAAAACACCATTCGTTCAAATTTGTATATAAGTACCTATATATAACTTAAATATATCAAAATCAAAAATCAAATCGGTCCCGGGCCTAGGTCTTACCATCCCACCTACGGTACTTCCCTATAGGCAAATTCGCTAAAAAAGGACTTAGGAACATACTAAAACATAGATTTGCTTTAGAACATCAATTTCAAGCTTATTTACGCTAAACATCAATTTAGAACTAATTTTTAAATTAAGAAATTAAATTTGGAACTCGGTTAAGTTACTATGACCTTTTTGCCAGAATAGGTTAGCAACTAAATATCAACAGATTTCAATGGAATGTGAGAAAAATATTATTCAAAGTTAATCTAGAAGAGGAGTAAGATATGAGGGGAGGCCGCAACGCGGACCCTACATCATGTCGCAATCTCTGAATAGGTAAGTTACTCGTTAAATATTAACTTAGTACCTACTCGTTGAACATTAGGTAGGCCTACTCACCTAATGTTATTTAAATAGATTGAATTGAAAACAATTCAGACAAATGGAAAATCGCTTAGTCAGCAGGTTTGCTGCGGAGGTTTTTTTATATAAATTAATAAAAACGTATGATTCACGTTGTGAATCATTTATCTTCAGCCCCCTGCTCCCATCAGCGATGGAACCAGTTGCTATATTTGGTGGCAGCCGTCACAGTAGTAGGCCTAATCATGTCCTAACTACATATGATAATATACCGTCGGTAAGACTTAAACTTAAGTTAGGACACATTGTGTATACTTGAACACATGCTCTTTAACATCCCTGTACCCAATATAGTGTCTTACAAATGTTCACGAAGAGGTAACCAAAGCTTAAATTATAATTTGGCATCATATAATAGCATTTGGCAATGGTTAAAACATGAGACATATTTCCAGGTAAGCTTAGTGATGATACTCCAACTATTGGACTGAATAATAAATCTACAGGCCTAAATTTAAAATTTGTTGGTCTATTGACACAGGTTAGTATACCCAATAATATATTATTTATAGGCCTAATGTAATAATTATTATTACAAACAGACACGTAAGAGATTTCAAAGAAGTATAGGCCTACGTCAATGAATAAAAGGGCCCAAAGTCTAATTACAACAATATTCTGAATACTAGTTAGCTCACCTTATTTATAACCTCAAATGTCATGTAAAACCAAATCAACAAAAATGCAATATGTTCAGATATAAATTACTGACAAAAATGAGATGGCTAAAATTAGATTTCATAAAAATAAATTTACTATTTACTAATAATTCAACCAAAACAGAAAATTCAGCATCAGTTTTTTACTATTTAAGGTCCTGAACAACACACACAACCAACAACCCAGCTGATGACACTGACATTTAAAATACGTTTCGTCTTGCTATTTGACAAGAAATAACGAGTACGTATCGTACGTTCAATATTTCAGGGTTACTGAATAGTATTAAACTCTTTTTGAACATTACTATATATAATACCATTTGTTATCAAAACATTATTGCAAAATATTTGTGAAACATTTTATATATACCTAAATAAACTAATGAGGAAAGATAAATGTATTATGTAAAGATATTTATGTACAGTATATTCAAACGAATTACCCTAGCAAGTTTTAAAAAGTAATTGAGTAATTGTTATAACTTACTGTTATAATACTGGGTAGTTGAGTGATTGTATTGCCCACATTCAAGCCTCAATGTTGCTGGTTCAATCCCAAGTGGTATGATAAGTACGTGATAAACTACCCCTAATCACATGTTACATCGATAAGAACTCAACCTTGACAACAAGTGTTTTTTTTTTAATAATCACCATGAGATAAGTTACTTGCTAAAGAGATTCTGCAAGAACAAGGTACTGTAGTATGAGTCGTGTTGCAACCATGACCGCCTTTAACTCCAGGCCGCAGCCTGGTAGAATTGGCAACGTCGCAAGTAGGGTTGTTTAGTGTCACATGTCCCATATTATACATGGCAGACAGGTGACATCAGCTCATTAATTCACACTTTATTGATTTAAATTTAAATTTATGAACATAAATTGTTAAAATATTGAAAATAACACATACAGAAATGAAAACCGAAACAATATGAATATGAATTGACAATTCTAAATATGTACATTTAAAGCGGAGTCAATATTTTCATAGTGCAATTTCAACAATTTCAATCAATTATTTAATATGGGGACGCCACTATGTGCGTATTTTAACCCAGATACTGCCACCGATGAATTTTGAGTCAGATTGGCGAGGTAAGTTTATGTGTAACGGGTACATTTTACCATTGATAAAACTACAAAACTACTCCCTTAGTAGATTTCCCATCCTTATGGAACAGCTGAAGCCAATTTTATTATTATAGTTCTGTCCGTTTTTCTGTAGAGGTCGTGTTTTGTTTACAATTTGTGTCCCATTATTACAGCCATTTAAAACCTCGTTTAGCCAAATAATACGATCTAATCATAAACAATAACTTGTCCCCTAGTTATATAACCAAACAGTAAATCACAAATCAAGAAATTAACCCAAAAATAATAGAAACAAAGTTTCGTCGACACTAGCACCTTTGTGTCACGTACATGAACTAGACACGAAAAACGTGCTTCAAAATTTACAATGGGATGAGAAGTCTACTTGTGTTGGTTAGTCTATGATTTTACATTTATCTTATACCGGGACAGATGAGAGCTGTCAGATGTCACTTCACTTGTTGTCATAGGCCTCCCTGAAACCAAGGCACATATTTTACCCACGTACAAACAGTGGTTGAAAATCCCTAAACTATACTAAATTTTCGCAAACAATTCTAAAAGAACATTACATTTTATCTTATGTTAGTTTTAACAGTTTGAATAGGAGAGGAGGGAAAAGAAAACTGTAAATAAGTGGTCAAGCAATGGAAAAAGTACATCAATCATCAATCCATATATCAACATAATTGAGCAGTTAAGGATTTTAAGATTAAAGATTTTCCCTTTGTCATTTGCAAATTGTAAATGGTAGCATTAAGGATATTTCTTGAGAGATAAATAATCAATCGCATTCTTGAACAACTCATGAAGGAAAAGCGGGTAAAAGGTAAGTATGTTTTATCTATGGTAAAACTAACAAGTGCCGCAGTGGATTGGCAAGCTTGCACAAACTCAGCAGTCTGAGCAGTCTGCACAGATTACAGAAGTCACTTGGACTTGAGTCACTGTTTTGGTTTTTTTTTTTACTGTTATGTCAAATAAACTGTCTTGTCTTGTCAGTCAGTCACTTGTTTTGTTTTTCAGCTCTGAGCTAAGCTAGTCAATCAATAACAGTTTATAACAAGCCAAACCATTTGATTTATAGGTTAGAGTATGTTTATTAGTAATAACTAAGATATTATTTAATATTTCGTTTTTATTTTTATTTCGAAACGGTACCATCTAATATTTGGCTTTCGGTTTAAATATAATATCAAATTTAATAGTTGATACAAAATGTGGATTTAAGACATACGAAGAGGGAAGACTTCCAGTTTGTACACTAACTGCTCCCAAAAGCATCAAACAAAATATCAATTGAAACTATCGATTCTATTAGTAAACCTTCATCATGCGATTTTTTCACCATCAGCAAGTTTGGTTGGTTAGGTTAGGTTATGATAGTTTAATTTTTATAATAGATATATTTAAAAATATCAATTATTAATCAATATCTTCGATAGTTTCAATCGATATTAGCATAGCCCAGTTAAGAAACTCTACCCGAAGAGATTGGTCAGGATAAGTTTAAACATTTAGTTAAGCCTAATATACAACTATAGTTCGGCCGCTTAGAAAACGACCTGCGCGCTAATGCTAAACCAATGCTAGAGGAGGTCGCTTTCTAAGCGGCCGAACTATAGTTGTAAGACAGTACATGGCCTTAAACATGTCTGTGACAAGTAAACTATGGTGAAAAACAAATAGGCCTAGCTCTAATAATTGTGAATAAACACAGATATAATATTTTTTTATTTGCGCATAACCTCGATTACATTGTTAATACTTAGAAACTAAGTTAGCCTAATTGTATTCGAAAACAATGTCATAAATACAATCATTAGGATTATCAAGCGTCAGAAATTGTTATATACTGCCACCCTTTAATATTAGTTTCAATTAAAACCGTTAAAGCTGCATTAACCCTGAATAACTTAACTCTTGTCATTTTTATGAACATTTTGCAACTTTTCAGATTTCATAAACCATCTATCACAACCGTCACAGTGCCCTTCCCCATTGGCCAAATAGCTCAGTACAGATTTGGTTACTGGACCTTACAAAAGATGACCTGTGTTGGCAAATACTCAGCCTCTACCTCCTCAGAGTGATGGCACCTGTTGTTGCTAGTTAACATCAAGAAACCTAATGTTGGTGGGTTTCAGATGGGAGATAGCAGCCCAGAGGTAGTGTCAGGAGAGGAGACGTTTATACCTTACAACCGACGATCAGACTGGGCGGATATACAGCCTGTGCCTCAGGATGATGGACCTGCCCCTGTTGTTGCTATTGCCTACTCTGAACAATGTAACTATATTATTTGTTATAATTAATGTTGAGTTTTGAATTTTCTTAATTTTTTTAGAAGTAGGTAGCCTACCTAAGTTAGTCTGTTTAGTCAGTTCTACAATGGATTGTTAGGAATTAATATTTTACAGCACATTAGACATCTATTATTCACAGTTATTCACTATGGGAAGTTTAGAAACTTAACCTCTGAAAACAATTATAGGCCATAACATTTGTTCTGGTTTCTCATAGTTAATATTTGACATCTCTGTTTAAATGATGATGACCAGGAGTAAAGAATAAAAGCCTGGTTTACACGGGTCGAGTACGGTGGGCGAGTCAGTGTGTTAGACCAGTGAGATCAGTGCCACTCGCTCTCTAACTTGCTTATTGTAGACATACAGGCGAGTCAAAATGGACAAGTTGGTAAAAAGAGGTCAGTTGAAATCGAGTCAAGTGGTTTAGTTGAAAACCGAGTTGCTCGGCCCAGTAACTACCCCCACCATCACGATTTTCCAGCAATAAATATGTTTTCTATTGAGTTTTGAGTTTACTTTAGTACTCAATGGTTCAGTTGAACGGTTGTTCGGTCCTGCCATAGATTAAGACGTATACTTAATCTATGGGCCTGCCCTGCGTTGCATTGTTTTGCTGTGTATGATATGTGTAGTTTTATTTAACGACCAATGAAGATTTATGATTTATGCTGTTATGTACGTAAGTTTTGAAAATCTTTGTACAGTCCAACTAAATCTACAGTTCTACTGGACCGATTTGATTAATTAATGGGTCATAATAAAAAGAAAGATCACTCTCCCTGTAGGGTACATTTGCAAATAGGCCTAATTGTGAAAGTTTGTTTTCGTTTGAATTCATGGTGAAAGTAAAAAAAACATGTTTTCCATAAGTAATACATTTAAAACGGAGGCTTTCACATGTTTTACTTAAAGGCAAATTTTGGCTGACTTTATTGAGTATTTTCAAGAAATGCTTAATAGTAATTTGTAGCAAATTTTATTCTCTTTCAGAATAAGTTATCACCTTCCACTTTGGTTGATTTCTTTACCTTTTGAAAGTTATTTGCAAAAAAAACCAAGCTAACTCTGAATTTAAGTGGCGATTGAGTTATTCTAATAATCTAATTCAGTGATTTAAGTTCTAAATTCAGCATTAGACTCTTGACGTGTCATTTAAATCTCAAACAACATTTAACATGAAAGCTACGGTATCTGTCTACAGAGGAATAAGTTACCCTACACCACAGAAAAGTAATAAATATTACTTCTCTGTGCCCACACTGTCCCTAGACAGAAATAGGGATGCGTGTGGACAGTCTAGTCAAGTAATAGGCGGGTTGAACAAATCAACAACTGAGCCTAGTAACTGGGCCAAACAACTCGCCTGACATACTCGACCCGTGTAAACCAGGCTAAAAGCACCAAAAATTAATGTACAAAATTATTGTGCATTATATTTTTAATACCCATGGCATGCATAAGTTTAAGTTAGTAAAACATCCAAAGTAAACATGAAAGAAACCTAAAACACACGATCTTGTATTGAGGAAATTAGATAGTAAACATTTCAGGTTGTAGTAAACCTTTACCAATGATTTATTATTAATTGTTGATTTTACTGAAGTTTTATTGTTTTTCTAGTCCGGGATGTATATGATTATTTCCGTGCAGTACTTAAGAAGAATGAGAAATCAGAAAGAGCATTGGAATTAACAGTTGATGCCTTAGAATTAAATCCAGCCAACTATACAGTATGGCAATACAGGTAATGTAGGCCAAACTTTAGGCACGTCGCACACTGGGTCCGCTCAGTTCAGTCGCTTCCACTAATTTTGAAAACCATGTATTCAAATGTAGAGCCGCACTCTGGATCCATTCCGTCGGTTCAGTTCATTTCGCTCTGTCCGTCTCAGCCACTTTTGGTTAGTAAGCGTTTTGGACAGAAGCGACGGAAGGACCAGAGGTGTAGAGGTGTGCGTATGTGTAGAGTACAGTAGTCAGTTCAATGTTGTGCAACTGAACTCGGGGGTCTGACACATGTTCACAGTAGTCCTATTGTGATTATTTATTGAAGATGAGTTTCGATTGAAGATGAGTTTCGATGAAGAACTTATTTCAATAGTACAGACGTATCCATTGTTGTACAACCTGTCAAACAAGGATTCAATATTACAATGAAAGAGGTGATCATCCTCTTCTGCAGCTACTGCTAATGCTATAACAGAAAAGAAATTTCTTCGTCATTACTGCTGGAACTCATAATCGAACTAACGGAAACCCGGCAAAAACAATTACTTGCGAACAATGACAGTGTCTGTCATCTACTGGCGTTTGGCACTCAAAAACGACTGATCTGAGCGAACTAAACTGAGCAGACCCAGTGTGTGACGTGCCTTATTCATTTGATCAGAATGGTAGTCAGTGTTTTTAATAGATTAGAACCACTAGTAATATCAAGGCACCTAGGCACTTCAGGTTTGAACAGTCCACTTTTTCCATCCGTTTTCAAAGTGTATGGAGTTGTCGTCCAACCATCTCTGCCATAAATTAGATTGGTATGTGTAAGTTAACTTGGAGACACCTAAGTCAAGTGTATTTTTTCTAATTGTGTAAATAGACTTTCAGGACTCTTAAGGTCTAATTCTGCTTTAAATTATGATTTCTAATTCAAATCATTTTTTGATCTTGCTTATTACAATTGAGGAAAGACCATCCGAACTACAACTTAGGATAACTACAACTCCTTAAGCTTGTGGGTTGAAAGTTGTTGGGAATTGTAACTTATCATGGGCATCCTTCTGACTTTTCTATAGGTGAGGGGGGGGGCAGGGATTGGGGTACAGAATAAAATCCAGCAAAAAAGGGTGGTCTTAGAAGTACTTGAGAAAAATTATTAAAATTTAGATCTAACACTAGCTGTTACCCACAGGCTTCATCCTGCTTGACTTCATAAGTAGTTAATAAAACAATTGATTGGTTAAGTTAAGCTGAAATAAAGAAATCAGAATACAGTATTACAAATAAATACTGAATTTTACAGTTTGATACACCTGATTTTAATCTATATAAATAAAATTAGAGTTTTGTCTGTACATTGCTCAGAATCATACATTTTTAGGTTATTTTTACGTTTTATACATTAAAGAAGCCGAAACAAGTCTCATCTAAATTTCTGTCTGTCTGTCTGTCTGTCTGTCTGTCTGTCTGACACACTCAAGATGGCATTTTACGCAATCTTCTCCAGGAAAACGAGAGTACCTATCAAGACCCAAGTCATTTTAATGTATTCACTGGATTGGCGAGAGTGTCTTTAGCCATTAAAGTATGGTCTCACTACTTTGTAATTAAAATTACGGCCGTTCAAAAATGCAGTTTTGTGCGATTTTTGTCAAGTTTTCTTCCAATTTGTATCACATAATCATCTATGAAACAACGAACAGCTGTTCGGATCAAGATTATTTTTTCTAGCTGTCACTGAAATGTTTACAAATGTTGTTTACAAACACCACAACCATTTCCGATCACGTTTTGAAGGCAAATCCCATCCAAGTGAGATTAAAAACGTTTTTATTACATAAAGGATTTAATTAATCGCAAGTGGAATAATATAGTGTAACCGTAAATTAAATAACTAGGCATCATCCAGGTCAGGAACCAGAAATATGTGTATAAAATTGTTTTGGAGTTTTGATAACCAGAAAGAAGACATTGAATCAAGTTTGAATCAGTGTTGTATACGGCTGGGAAACTTAAATTTACTAATGACCGTCGCCAATAGCTTAGAAACAATGTTCCACTCATTGACGGCTCTTCAATGGCGGTTGTGTAAAGTGTAAAGCAAAAAATTACAAGTGCAGTGGGTGATTGTAACAGAGGTTTACGGATGATGCTGAACTCGATTTTCCAATGTGTCACTTTCTGTTCCTACCATTGACTATATAAAGTCAATAGTTCCTACTCACCGTGTGTAGCAATCGCTGGACCATACAGCCAATAGGCCCATAGCCCTTCTCTTGGGTACGTGTGGTACGTATGCTTACCCAATTATTTATAACAACCCTTTCGACAACGATCCTTGATACCGGTACTTTTCCATAGAATACACGGCCTACCTAGGTACTTAAGAAATAAAATTATAAACGTCCAAAAGCCCAACGTTGTGTGATTTTTGTCACATTACCTTATAATGTTAATATATATACCAGCAACCATTGTTTAGAGAATACGTAATCTATTAAATAACAGAAAGTTATGTTGTATAAGGTTTTTTTTTTTAACTGACACCGATAAGTTTACATTAAGAGTTGTGTACAAATAAAGCAATTAATGGGAAATAACTTTGATTGCCGATAACTTTTTACGAGAAAATCTAAAACCAAGAGATCAATAACCTTGATTAACGCATATAATTGGTCGGCTGTACTACAGTTCTTAACTGTAAACGTTGGTTTTTGGTACGGTACTGGTTCTTTTCCTTTTAACCTTTAGTAGCAGCAAGAATCATTTTTACGTACCAACACATCACAGTAATTTACAAATAAGTTATCGTTGGTGTTGTACCTTATTTATTATAGGCGTAGGCCTATTCAATTTAATTGATGTCTTAACTGTATAATTTTTGCTTTTTCTGTCTGGATTCCAAAATGTTATGCTAAGAAAACTATAACGCATTTTAGTAAAACATTTATTCAGCAAACCATCATGAATTGTTCAAACACTTTGAACGTTGTTTGTGTATCAATAGTTCGTGGCCTATTTTGGTAATTTTTATTACAATTACCAATCTAAATCGTCTATAGTAGGCCTACTGTACTTCATTTCATATAGCAAACCGATTCAGATAGCATTTCGACAGAATTTCGAGTCATCTCCGGTCCAAGCAAATATAAATTGTTATGATCAAATTTTATGGCATTAACAAAGATTTCAAGTACTAATTTTATATGTACCTTTTTATGCTTAAAGCGTAGCAGATTCCCTAATTAAGTTCGGTATTTTTGTGTGTATGTATGATGGTAACGCATTAATGTCCTTGTTTCTCAATGTTTCACGGAAAGGACAAGAGCGCCTTGATAATGAAAATGTCAACCCGAATAAAGTGTTAAATTAAGAGGTTGAGGTAGTACCTTAAATACTTTTAACCATTATGTTATAGTCCTTTAAATTCTGAACAAAATTGTACAAATCCCATTTTCGTACATTTACTCTCACCGCTTACACATGATAAAGGTTGTTGACAAACTTATGGGAGAAAGTATGTGTCAGAATGCTGATACCGTTTATTTAGTTTAATCATTGGATATAACATATGGACCAACAAGATCCGGGTGACATTTAATTGCGAAGCATTAGTTTTGGCTTGAAACTGTCAGATACTGTATTTGCGAAGGAATAGTTTTGTCAGCATATCTGAAAGTATGCAAACCAACTGCTGTGCTTTATATAAGAAGGTTTTAACTGACTATGATAAGATCCCCGTGCGTAGAACGGGCACACGGCTAGTAGGGTAATAAATTGAAAGAATAACATAATACAAATAAGTAGCCTACAGCTGAGGTATTTTTAACAGTAGGTATATGGAAAGTTCCGTTTAGAAAGCAATTACAACCTTAAAGGGCAATTTATGAAATAATGGATAGTTTTGCTCGGTTTATAGTCATGACAAACATTTTAAGTATATGGTTTATGTGGGTGAGTGACTTGTAGTTTTCTCAAAAGATGGATTTTATTGATATTAATAATATTGATCTAAAACATAACAGTTAAATGATTCACATTATGCCAGTGGCCACAATGGTAGAAGGAAAATAAATAGGTGTGCTATTCCTGTCATTTTCTGACGTCACCCAGATTGCAAACAAAAAATCAGCTGATTGTCATATAAGTATATATTTGTTTTGATTTGATTGTTATTGTTTTTATAATTTTTCTAAATGGTAAAACGGTGTTTGCAATCTAAGTGACAACAGCATTTGACGGGAATAGCACACCTATGTATTTTCCTTCGACCATGAGTGGCCACAATAGTAAGAATTCATATATTAAATACTTCCGCTGCAGCAAACCTGCAGACTAAGCAAATTTCCATTTGCCTGAATTGATTTTAAATTAAATCTATTTAAATAACATTAAGTTTAACGAGTACCTAGGTTTGCTGCTCCAGGGAGACTAATACTTAATACTTAAATACTTTTCAATGAAATGGTGACCATACAAAGTAGGTATTTTACGCCAAGTATGAATGGAGATGAGTGGCGCGATCTTTTAGTTTTGTTAGTGACTAAGGCCGACATATTCCTTAGACACAGCTGTTAATTAAATAGCCTATACAGCTAATGGCAAATAAGGGACCTACAGTTTATAGTGGAATCTGAACCACATTTTTGCCTTTTGGTATATACAAATTGGTCTAATTATCAGGAAAGTACTGCGGATAGTCGTAGTTCTCACCCGTGTGGGCAAAATGTGTTTTTAGTAAAATATTAGTAGCTTAATATAAAATAAATAAATTTGCCAAGTTTGATCAAAATATTTCCTTAAACATGCAAACTACAACATTTTACAATATTCTCCACAAGAATAACATCGGAATTTTAAATTTGAAATTTTTTAAATTTTCTCTGTAAACCAATAACTGTACAAAAACACTTTGGTATACTAAATTATTTATTTTTTGAGATCTTTAAGTTGGTTTAGAGAGAAATTGGGAAATTTTGTGTTTTGAGGGTCAAAAATGAGAAAAACCAATTTTCACCCCATAAAAACCCCTGTAACACCCTGTTCTCATGGTCCAATCATGCTGGTTCGCAAACTCATTCAAGTTTATCCTACCTTACACCTTCAAACCAAATTTCATCAAAATCGGACCAAAATTACTCAAGTTATCGCGTTCACGGACGTTTATATATATATATATATATATATACATATATAAAAATTTGAATGAATAGTGCTTTTGGCCTCTAGGGACATCAAAATAAAAAAGTATATGGGTCCCAGCTCCAGGTCTCACCGTGCCACACGGTAATACAGTAGCTACTTCACTATCAGGAAATTCGCTAAAACAAAGCAACAACATATAAATTGACTAAGCAAATTTTGGTTTTAAAAAGTGTGAACACAAACATTTTAGACCAATCATATTCTTTAAATAAATCTCCATAAAGAAATTGATAGATCTAAAATGTTTGTTTTTACACTTTTCAAAACCTACAATTTAGCCTACTTTGTCAATTTATATGTTGTTGCTTTGTTTTTAAAATTTGAATTCTTACTACTGTGGCCACTGGCATAATGAGAATCGTTTTATGTTTTACTCCACAATCTGAAAAATCGGTTGTGTTGGGCAGAACTCCTAAACAAAATTCACTAATTTTTTCAGATTTTTAAACAGAATAACCTGGTTTTTGCGGTCTTAATTCCTAGTCCCCAAGTATACCTTATACTAGGGGTCTGCGGGTCCAGGAACTCCATATTTTCGGGCCTGGTTAGAACAACAGTGGCACGAAAGATCCGCACGAGCAGAAAATGACTGTTGGGCCAAAGTCGAGCCGAACCGAGTGCTAATTTCTGCGACTGCATAGAGCGTTTAAATGAATATGCACAATCGAAAATTAGCGGTTTTACCTTGATTGTGTAAGACAATAATTTACCGTGACCGCAGAAGCTGTCCAAGATTTTGTTAATGTCAGAAGATGCTAATGATTTTGCAGTGAATATGTAAGATGTTCTCAATTTTGCCATGACCACAGGAGATGTTTACAATTTCACTGTGATTACGAAAGATGTTATCAAGTTTGCGGTGACTGAAGAAGATGTTCTTAATTTTACCGTGAACACGTAAGATGTTTAAGGTTTTGCTGAGGTTGTGGATTATGTTCATGATTTCACTGTGACCACGGAATATGTTCTCAATTTTGCCGTGACCACGGAAGACGTTAATGATTTCACCGTCACAACTGAAGATGTTATCTATTTTTCCGTAACTGCTGAAGATGGGTTGTTTCACAGTCTGTATATTCACCCTGGTAGGGTCTTAAATGGGGGACTCGAGCCCTCTTTTGCCCATATTGATGGACGCCCATGTAACTTATTACTTTTATTTTGAATACCTAGTAATAAATATTTATATTTTCTTAGTTATAGCTAAAAAATAATTTAATGGTTTTCAAGGGTTGTTTGGATTTTTTAGTCTAGGTATTCTGTTACAAACCTTGAATTTTGATTCAGCCTAACACCCAAAATATAAGTATAGACACCTCTTTAAAGCCTGTTTAAACAAAGTTGACTGAATTCAAACATACACCTTAAACACAAACATTTCTTGAATACATGGCTAATGATAGAGATAATAGGATTAGTGAGTATAATAAATGCAAAGATTAGTGGAATGCGCTTTACGTTCAATCAGGTGGATCGGAGCAACTGAATAGGAAGTCCTTAAGTCATGACTTGATTTATTCCAATTCTGCAGTATACTATGATGAAGCTGGAAATATCTTCTATATTTACATATAGGTAAGTATTCAGGTAGGCCTACTGATACAGTATTGTGTCCAGTATTCTATACAGTACTGATACAGTAATCTGGGGTGTGTTTTAGGCGTGAAATATTGAAAGAGCTGAATAAAGATTTAAACAACGAACTGGATTATGTGAAGACTATAATAAGAGAGCATCCTAAAAACTACCAAGTGTGGTAAGTATGCTTTGTAAGTTAACCTATTTTTTATGACCATTCAAAGTACATTATAAACTTTTAGATAGTTTATACACAACAGAGTAGATAAAAGAATATAAAAATCTTAATACTATTAATTTCGTACAGGTTGTAAAATGCAATAAGAATATTTGACTGTAATAGTTTTTCATAACTTTTAATAAAAATATATTTAAGCTATAAAATGTGGACAAAATATTTAGGGCTAGGGGTAAAACGAGTTAAATACAAGAGGAAATTAAACAATCAGCAGTATTTGTATATTGACTAGAAGTGATTACAGTAGGCCTAAAGTATCTGACTTATTTTTAATAAGATTCCTTTTCTTACCCTAATCAATTATAATTATCATTTCAATAAATTGACCAATTCTGATTTATTTTTTGAGATGTTTTTGGCTCTATTACAGGGCCATTATCCAGATTATTGCATTCAAAATCTATGTAAACAACAATGATAATGATAATGATTAATGCGATCCCCCCACTGAATGATTAAGCTACTCCCACTGAAGAGCTAACACTAACTTTTACGTGCGTAGTGAATTAAATAATTAATACTTATAACTGTGGGAAACTAAACATAAACTAAACTATTACGTACCTCGTGTTTGATTTGAAGTCCATGACATATGTTCTGCATTCTCAAGTGGTTAACAGAAACATTTTATTCAAATTGGACTCGTCAACATGTTATTTCAAATAAAAATATTTACATTGTGACACGCAAAATAAATTAGCCTAACGAATAAAACATTTAAACATGAAGGCGGGTTAGACGGACAGCCCGGTTGAGTGTTGTTTTAATGTTTAAATGTTTTATTTGTTAATTTATTTTGCATGTTACAATTTTTGTATTTGAAATTAAATGTTAACGAGTCCAATTTGGAGAAAATGTTTCTGCTAACCACTTGAGAATGTAATTTTTGGCAAAATTTGTTGTGGACTTCAAACACTATATTTGAACTGCAAGACGAGGTACAAAATAGTTTAGTCTATACTATGCAGTTCAGGGGCTACAAAATGGAAATTAACTTAAAGTCTTGTTTTTATTCATTCCTCAATCTTAGGATTTTAAACATTACAGCAGCTGTAATATATTTAAAATAGACAGCAAAATTTAATAAGTTCAGACTAACAGATATGATATAATAAGATACGAGCTGTTGGCCCGTCCTACGTACGGGAATTAAGTAGGCCTAGTCAACTAAAACTGAAGTCATGTCAATATTTCCAGCAAAGTTTAAGCTGTTAAACATGTATTGTAAACAAAAAGCTCGCAAGATGAATTAAAACATGTAAACATTGTTATTTTCCTATTCTTTCCTCAAAAAGTCGAACAGAGAAATAATTTGCATAACATTTTCTTTGAAGATTCGGGGCAGAGCCTCAATTTGTATACATCAGTGGTTATAGAATCGTTCTCATTTCCTATAATCAATGGCAAAATCACAGAATAATAAACTAACCTGATAGTTCATTAGAATATTTTTATATTCAACCAGCTGTTAGTTGAAACAAATTATATTGCACTAAAAATACTTACAATTTCAAAGACTGATTTAAAAAAATTTAGAACATCTACCATTTTACCATGTAGAGTATATTTAAATAGTCTGTCATCCTCTTAGCAATTAAATAAACGTATCAATGACTATAGCATTACACATAGTATAAATAAGTCAACCCTGTGCATGTCATTATTATCCAAATGCTGAATTTGTGTCACACACGCTTAATGTTTAAAGCTGTTACGGCAAATGGTATTATACCAAAAGCTAGTGTAAAATGTTAATGTCGGCTGCTAGACTTTTTAAAATTTTAAACTTATTTTATAAAAAACTGAAACCCTAAACTAAAATTATGTCTTCGACATTCCCTAGTTATTAAAATTATCTTTCTTTCAACACAAAAATCATGAGAATCCGTCAAGTGGTTGATTCAGAATCGTGAAATAAAAAAACCGTGTTACGTTTTAATATAATAGATAACAACTTCCCAATACAGATATGGTTTTTGAAGCTTAGATTTTGTCTCTAAATGGAAGAACCAAGACCCAATTTAAATCTTAAAACATTATTGTAATTCATAATTTTCTAGGCATCATCGGCGGGTGATAATTGAGTGGATTGGTAGGCCTGGTGATGAGTTGGATGTGACGGCTGAGTTTCTACAGGAGGATGCTAAGAATTACCACGCCTGGCAACACCGACAGTGGGTCATCATGACCTTCAAGTAATAACACATTCACTCAGTCTTCTGCTTGAATTTAAACTAAAAAGAGTTTTCAATGTTTTATGTATGGAGCATCGTGACATATTTTAATATGTTTCTAGTACTTCTATAATATGGTTCTAGTACAGAATTGGTTTGCTTGAGCTTTTGATTGAGCATTGTGGAAATCAACAAACTAGGAAATAACAATAGGACCTGACGACCTCAGAAATATACTACAAAACTGCTGCTTTTAACTGGACAAAAAAGTCAAGCCTATCATTATTTGTTTCCTATGAATCTCATCAGTTTAAAGCCTCTTGGAGAGAGTTTTTTACTAAAAGATTTTTGTTTATTTCTTGGTAGGCCAATCTAACTTAATTGTAAACAGATCTCATATCATAATTTAAGGTTTATGTATATTTAAAACCTATCATCTTTATACTGCAAGAGCAGATATCATTGTTTGTTCAACTATGCATATTATTTCAGATTCTTTGTTGCTTATATCAGAGCAACAAACTGCTGACATAAAACTGAGCAGGGATAAAAGAGATTTTATTCTTATACTTATACTAAAAATCATTACAGAATATGTGGTGTTGGAAAAATTGTGTGGTGAAAATGTTTTATCAATAGTATCTAGAAATTATATCAAACACAAATGTTACAGAATATGACATGGTACTCCCTTTGTTTGAACATTCCATTCCAGCCACCCAAAGTGATTAGACCATTCAACCCTATATTAATTTTGAAAAGAACAAAAATGTACACACATATGACCAATGAATAATGCAATGTTAAGGTTATGCATTCTTGACAGAAATGTTTTTGGTTTGTTATTTTCATTTTTAATTCTATTATTTGTTCTATTCATTTATTTTTTGGAAAACAAACTGTTAAGAATTATTTATTTTACAGATTATTCGATAATGAAATGGACTATGTAAACCAACTTATAGAAGAAGACATTCGAAACAATTCTGCCTGGAACCAACGATATTTTGTGATCAACCATGCTTACAATTTCAACCCTGATCTTATTTCCTCAGAAATAACTTATACTATGAACAAAATTAAAATTGTACCCAAAAATGAGAGCCCTTGGAACTATCTAAAAGGGTAAGTAACTATTTAAACGGAAATAACTATCTCTAGTTTTTAATTTGTCGTGCTCAATGTTTTGAAGTTAACACATTATATTAAAACCACATGTGACTTTAAAATCGAAACTAATTCATCATGGAAATTTGTGTAGCCCTACAGCATTGTTTAAGTAGACCAAAATATATTTTTCCCAAACAATTTTTGTTGAGACTAGTTAATGTTGGCTCTAAATTTCCTAATCTCCCTGTCACTAGTTATTAACATTGAATCCTTAATTGGTGCTTAATTATTGTTTTCTCTCTAGCAATCTATTTTATGTTTCATCCAGCTTGTTCATCAATATTGACATAAGGGTCATGATGATATCACAAATTTTAATACTTCAGTGAACATAATAGACAATGATTACATATGTTGTTGTGTTAGTCATGAAATAATGTCTGAACTTCTGTTAAGCTATGTTTCCATTCCTACAAGTCGCAGGCACAAGTCGCGGCACATGTCGCTCGTAGTTTGTCACGCCGTTTCCATTCCAGGCACAAGTCCCTCGGCTACAACTGGCAGACAAGGTAGTTGCTCTCTTATTGTGATGTCGTGAGGTTCGGTGGCTGATTTGGATTATATTGTGTTCTACAAATCGCCATGGATGACACAACATTCATTTCATTAAACAGTATTAATAGCCTCTGCTTTTTATTTATGGCTGGTGCATACAATGAACTTTGAAGAATAAGAAGAAAACTACCTAGAGGGTGGATAAGAAGTTTTTTGGCTAAAAGACTATTGGAAGGCACATTTAATTAATCGATAAGAGATTTGCGCATACAAAGTGGCTTCGAAAACTTTCTCCAACGAACTCAACGAAATTTGAGGTTTGATTGCCTGTCATTTATGAGCATGCGGTAGTTTGGAGGACTTGCGTATGCGCGAGTTGGAGGCACATTTGCCCGGCTGTTTCCATTCCAACTGGGCACATGTGCCGCGACTCAGCCACATGTTTGGTTGCGCAGTCGGCCGCGACTTGTGCCAGGCTGTTTCCATTCCTACAAATTCGGAGATTTGTGCCGGGCGGGCACATGTGCCTGGCACAAATTTGTAGGAATGGAAACCTAGCTTGATGTGCCATCATTCATTGGGATAATCCAGCACCATCTCCACAACATTTAGGTTTTTAAAAATATACACTTAAATGAAATGTTACTGTACCTCACAACACACAGTTAGCCCAGGCAAATTAGACATATGCTCCCCAAAAAATCGTCTAAAGCTGGAAAGTGTTTTAATACCTTTTGGGGGTCCCAAATAAGACTCCTGTGAGTTTGCGACGGATTCTGACGTCTGCTTAAGTTTTGGGAGTCGAAAAACTATGAAAATTCTGCACTTTTTTCAGTTTTTCGCTTATAACTCCTAAATAACGAGTTCTAAGGAAAATGTTGTTAAAAGGTGTCTTTTAGTGCATTAAATTTCGCGTGGATTGATGTTAAATACGTCAAAATCGGCCGAGCCGTTTAGCCGCTGTAGCTTTTCAAAGTTGGGATATTTTCAATAACATGGCCAAAAGGTTGATTATTTGACCAGTTTTCGGCTTACAACTCCTAAACGACGCATGCTATACAAAAAGGCACCTGTAGTTAGTTTGGAAAACACAAAATTCGGCGTAGAATTATGATTATGAATTACTAGATAGTGGTTAATCCATGGTATCATCCAGAGGTGTATCCAAGAATGTGTGAAGGGAAGGGTAGCAATACCCCCTATGTAATTTTAAATCTAATATTGTTATCTGGGGTTAAAAAATTCTAGGATTCGTCCTAAGCTCCCATTTATACGATCCCATCTCTGGACACTCCAAAATGGTGTTAAGCGATTCTAATATATAATTAGATATTACAACGAGAAAGATTTTATTAAATATAGCAAAAATTTTATTTTTAGCTCAATAAACGAAATATGATAATGGGACAGATGTACATAGTTTTACTATATATTTAGCCTATTTAAAAAAAAAACGATTGGGAGTTTTCGTAGATTTTACCATATAACTTTTCTGCTTCTCATCATTGGAATCTTAAGAATAAGGATTCATTCTTTGCTCTTATCGGTCTTGCCACAAATCGTGACATTCGGTACCATCTTTTTAGTCAGATATCGAATTGAGATAATCGTGCCCCTTGCAAGTCTTTCAGCCAGTAGCGCATTATATCCCTGCATTTCAACAGGAGCGAGATAATGTAAACCTTTTTTAACATGTACACGATAGTCGAGATAGGTAGACGGAGTTGAGAAGTTCTTGTCGAACCGGTGGATTAACCGTAGTGATGGGAGTTAACCCATTGGTGTTAATTTTCCATACCTATCTCTCTGAATTAAGTACACTTTTAAATGAGCTCTAAAGGATAGGTGGATGAGCAGCCCCTTTTGTTAGAATCAAAGTCAAAATTAGTTGAAAATGTCTTCTAGAAGAGACCAACCCTCACTTGATTTGGATTTTCTGCTCCCAACCATGTATAGGGCCAACCTGCTTCGGCAACTTCGCCAAGCGTTGTAACCCGTCAGAACACAGTGAGATCTACATTGATTGGAGTAAACAGCATGAGTAGTTTTAGGCTACATGAATAGTTAGATTTTAGACTCTTCTACATCACGCTTTCTTCATCAAACTGCGCTAGTGGGTACGGAGCTATTTTTAATCCAAAGTATGATTAAAAAATGAGGCTTGGATTTAATGTGGAATATTACGTGCTGACTGAGGGGGCAGATTCTTCTTTAATATTTGCTGTTGCCATCACAGCTCGCAATTAAGGTCACCACTTCCTTTTATTCTGCACAGTTTATGGTCATTATAGTCTTGCCTATTTACGATTTTCTTGCAAGCTGTGCCTTTTCATTATGCTTTATACATATCTTGCGTTGATGCTATCATATGGGATAACTGCTGAACTGATTGACATGAGCGAACTATTTTCAGTAAATGGGTCGTGACACTGAAACCATTTGATGAATTTCCTTTTGATCCCACCGTATCCGTGGAGTTTATATTGTCAACTTGCTGATAATATGTTGAAGAGGTGATCCCACAATATCCCTTAATTTGATGGGTAGCATTCACTGCGATGGGCCTGCCAGCGAACCATCGGGCTAGATCCCCATCATTGATTCCACTATCTCGGAAAAGCTCTCCACAGTAAGATGAATCATAAATCATAAATCTTTATTGGTCATTAAATAACAGATGTTACAATAGACCTCGTTAATAAAAAAAAGGTGTCAAAAAGGGCCATAGATTCTAGATAGTATAACATGGAATCTTCACTAAATATAAAATACCCCCGCCGCAGCAAACCTGCCGACTAAGCGAATTTCCATTTGTCTGAATTGATTTTCAATTAAATATATTTTAATAACATTAGGTTTAACGAGTACCTAGGTTTGCTGCTAGAAGGAAACTAATAAAGTGTGTTTTTGAGTAAAATATTGATAGCTTAGTCAAAATAAATAAATTTGCCAAGTTTGATCAAAATGTATCCATAAACAAGCAAACTACAACATTTGACAATATTCTCCATAAGAATAACATGGGAATTTTAAATTTACAATTTTTTTAATTTTCTCCGTTACTAATAATTGAACAAAAATACTTTTATATACTAAATTATTTTTTTTTTAAGCTCTTTAAAAAGGTCTAAAGAGAAATCAGGAAATTTTGTGTTTTGAGGGTCAAAAGTGAGAAAAACCAATTTTTACCCCATAAAACCCCCCGTAAAGCCCCGTTCCCATGGTCCGATCGTGCTGGTTCGCAAACTCATTCAAGTTTATCCCGCTTTACACCTTTAAACCAAATTTCATCAAAATCGGACAAAAATTACTCAAGTTATCGCGTTCACGGACGTATATATATATATATATATATATATATATATATACAAGTCTATATATATATATATATATATACATATATAAAAATTTGAACGAATGGTGTTTTTGGCCTCTGGGGACATCAAAATGAAAAAGTAAATTGGTCCCGGGTCTAGGTCTTACCGTGCCACCTTCGGTAATAGCTACTTCCCTATAGGGAAATTCGCTAAAGGACAACAAGAAAATAAATAGTTAAAAAATCATTTGAAAAAAAAAAAACAGAATTATATACTGAAACAAAAAGTGAGGTGCTCATACAAAGTGATTGAAAGATTAGGTAACAGTTGACTAGGGACTAAGTAACAACTAGATAACAATTTTACCATAACAATTATATTCTGCAAAAATTCATCCAAACTGTAAAAAGGGTGGTCAGCAAGCCAAACCATCAAATTTTGTTTTAGCCGAGTACAAGGAATGTCAGGTATTTCACTTGCAAAACAATTTACCATTTTTAGATGTTGCTCTCATGAGCATACTTGTTTATAGGCCATGCTGCAGGATCCATGACGTCACACTAGTGGATAGATTCACTGCCATATCCCCTATGTTTTTGGTAATTAGGCTGGTTGTTTGCCAGATTTCAATGGTAAGATTTTAAACTTCGGAAACTGGCTGGGTAGCTGAGTGGTTATAGTGCTCGCCTAGTAATCAAAAGGTCGCCGGTTCGATCCTGAGAAAAGTCAGTAGCTTTTTGACGGTTTGAAACTGGACCCAGCTGTTCCTGATCATTGGGCTTTAAATAAATGATCCTGACTAATGAAACCGCTGATCTTAGTCAGTAACAAAGCTACACAGGTCATCACACACCATTCTACACTCATCCTTCACTCATATTTGGGTTAAAATACGCACCTAGGTGGCGTCCCCATCTCAATGATTGATTGATAATTGATAATTGACAAGCATCTGATTTAGTGTTAACAATCAATAGCGGTTAAATGGTGAAGCCGATCTTAATGAATTGGAAAACATTCTACGCAGACGTTTATGTTCTTCAAACTAACTACAGGAACATTTTTTTAAAGCATGCGTTAGAAGATGTAAGCCAAAAACTGAAAGATGAATACAGTGATCTATATAAGATCTATATAATGGGTGGTTGGGATATGAATCCTAGAATTTTCGGAACCTCAGACAAAAATATTAGACTTAAAATTACAAAGGGTGTCTTACTCTCCTCACACCTTATTAGATAAACCTCTGGATGACCATCATGGAATAAACCACTATCTAATTATTCATAATCCATTTAAGGAAAGGATCTATGTTGTTACCAATTTTAGTAAAATTTCCCAATTTTAACTTTAATACTTTTAGCGAATTTCCCATATAGGGAATAAGCTATTACCGTAGTACTCATGGTAAGACCTGGACGCGGGACTGATTTACTTTTTTGTTTTGAGGTCCCTAGAGGCCAAAAACACCATCCGTTCAAATTCATATATATATATATATATTTATATATATATTTATATATATATTTATATATATATTTATATATATATTTATATATATATTTATATATATATTTATATATATATATATGTGTCCGTTAGCACGATAACTTGAGCAAAACTGATCCAATTTTGATGAAATTTGGTATAAACGTGTAAACCTATATTCATTCGAACGAGTTCGCGAACCAGCATGATCGGACCATGGGATCGGGTGTTTATGGGGGGTTTTATGGGGTAAAAATAGGTTTTTCCCATTTTTGACCCTATAAATACAACATTTCACAATTTCTTTCCAAACCATTTTGTAGAGCTTAAAAAAACAAATAATTTAGTATATTAAAGCATTATTGTGCGCCTAATGGTTACGGAGAAAATTCCAAAAAATTGTAAATTTTAAATTCCCATGTTATTCTTATGGAGAATAAGTCAACTGTTGTAATTTGCTTGTTTATGAACATATTTTGATAGAATTTGTAAAATACTTTCATTTCTTACTAAACTATTAACATTTTACAACAAAAATCACCTTTTTACCTTCCCTGTTGCAGCAAACCTAAGTACTCGTTTAACTAATTGTATTTAAATAGGGAATAAATGTGATATTTTTAAGGATGCGTTTTAGTGTAAATCCAAACAGGAAAAAGGAAATTCGCTTAGTCTGCAGGTTTGCTGCGGCGGGGGTATTTTTTCTATGAAATGGTGACCATACAAAGTAGGTAACAATCAATTGCCGTTATTGATTAATAAAAAAAACATCATACACAGAATTTTGTGTTTTCCAAACTAACTACAGGTGCATTTTTGTATAGCATGCGTCGTTTAGGAGTTGTAAGCCGAAAACTGGTCAAATAATCAACCTTTTGGCCTTGTTATTGAAAATATCCCAACTTTGAAAAGCTACAGCGGCTAAACGGCTCGGCCAATTTTGACGTATTTAACATAAATCGACGCGGAATTTAATTCACTAAAAGACATCTTTGAACAACATTTCCCTTAGGATTCGTTATTTAGGAGTTATAAGCGAAAAACTGAAAAAAGTGCAAAATTTTCATAGTTTTTTGACTCCCAAAACTTAAGCAGACGTCAGAATCCGTCGCAAACTCACAGGAGTCTTATTTGGGACCCCCAAAAGGTATTAAAACACTTTCCAGCTTTAGACGATTTTTTGGGGTGCACACCCTATATTTGATCTAATTTGCCTGGACTAAGTGTGATTTTAAGAAAAAATAAATGGGACTGTTTCTATTTACTTTTGTGTAATTTGGTAATAAAAAGGGTTATTTATCATCTTGCAAATAGACCTAACCAAAACTATGTGTGAATTAATCTATACTATGTACCTGTTGCTCGAATTTGAGCAATTACAGGCAGGTATTAAAGGCGTTATTTTAAAACGAATTAAAGTCATAATTTCTGATGACTTTAAAAGATTCAACTCAAATATTATGGAAATACTCAAGATGTACATAACAGATCGATATATCCTTACTCATAGCCTCATTAGGTTGTCCATAATAACGATACTAAATTTAAAAAAAAAAAATTTTTTCTATTTCTTCTCCTTGGTAGTGTTCTATGACTTTCCTATATTTCCATAGTTTGCAAATCGTCTCTTTCAATGATTATTAAGAAATGCAGCACAGTGTTAATTCAGTTTTTTTTTAGTATCAAATTATCCAAGCTCTCGCTTTTTCCATTGTAATATTTACGCCAACCCAATTTCAATAGTAAATATTTCATTTCAACCAAGTCAGTACCTAAATGTTTGTAGCAAACTGTTAAATTAGCAAACTTATTGACTGTTTACAATTAACATATGTACTTCTTTTCACTTTTAATTTCTGACAACAGCTGGAATTTTTATAACAATGTTTGTTTCCCATGTTAATGTTATGGAGAAATACAAAACTTTAAAGGGCCTTAGTCTGTAATTATTTCCCTAAAAAGAAAGTTTCCTGCACAACTTCACGTTACGCTCTTACCAATGACACCAAAAACATGTCAATCGTTCAGTAGTTTCGGAAGAGTAATTGTCACAAAAAACCTGCTTGCGTATTAAATAAGTATAGATTCTTGTAAACATGTACTTTAAACAAAGAGATAATTTCTATTGATCTGATTTTAAGCTTTGTTAGTTAACTTTCTTTTCTAATACAGTTCATACAATTTTAACTTTGAGCATGACGGTTAAGACTGTTTTCATTGATGTTGCATATCCTCTGGTGACATTGAGAGGTGCAACTTGAGAAGCTGGGATTTCCAGTAATCCAGAATGGGGCCAGTCTAAACCATTATCGGAAGCCCACTGTACATATTTTCATATCAAATTGATTTTGTTATTAAATTTCAATATTTTGCATTTCAACAGATTTTTGTTACAGTATGGAAAATGTAAATATTGGCATCCAAGTTGTAACAGTGTGGTTTATCTACATAATGTTTTGTGTAGGCTCCTGCTTCACTTGGAGGCAGGTATTTGTGAGCCAAAAGTACTGGACTTCTGTCACAGCCTGTACAAGGAAGGTTGCAGGTCACCGCATTTGTTGGCATATCTGGTGGATGCAGCTATAGAACGACTGGAGCATGGGGATCCCAACGCATCTCAACTCAAGGAAAATGCCAAAAAGGTTATGATTTTAAACGTTTTAAAATCTAATATCAATTGTATTGTAAACTAAATATAAGAGTCAATTAGCCAGTTTGGTACAGACTAATTTATTGGATAGTAAAAATGTGTAATGTCCAGAAGTTCCATGAACAATGAATGCTATGATGCAAAAACTAGTTTACTGATAATGATAGCATTATAGTGATAGAAAAGCACTGGGACCTACAAGATGTAATGTGCCTACACTTCTAGGCTCCAAAGTTTAGCATCCTCGGTTCCTTTCCAAAATTTGTTAGCCAATGAGGTTCTTTGTGAGGTATAATTCCTAGTTGGTATGGACCAAGTCAAATATAGCTGTTAGCGGTATGGGGATGTACACAAGGAAGGACCTTACTCCTACCACCGTCGCATTTGTTTTTTGTAGGTACAGTCATCTTAACTACAATCTTAATTGCCGTTAGATAAGTTTAATACCACTAGTGTCTATTAGTGAGTATTTATGCAATGACATTATTATTGTTTTTTGTTAGTGGTGTGGCTCAGTGTCATTCAGAGTTTTCCCCCATCTCTCCCACACCTAAATTACATGATATATACCTGCCAAAGCACGTAACACCTCTTAACAACTGCATCACACGCTGCCAGTAGGGAGCCGGTGTTTTCTCTTCCTTATGACAGAATGTGCAGTCTTCTGATAGTTTATTTTTTCTAATGAGTCTCTTAGTCTACACTCTACAGTGACCCAGTATATGAATAGGCCCAGTCTCAATTCTGGGAGTATTCTTGTTGAGCTTGGTCAGGACATCACTTCTCTTCTGGTTATAGTTCCCAATTACTTTTCTGGCCTGCCTAACCTCTAAAATGATAGGCAACTCCTTGATTTTTCAATGGTTTCGATGGTAATTTCCTTAACCTCTCTTGGAGGTAATTAAAAATACCGGACTATCATACACTTTTTATCATACAATTTTTATGTGAAGGTACAGGGTGTTTTTTTAAAACTTGCTTCTCTATCTATAAAATACCTTCAATAGATAGAAATATGCAATTTGCCGGGATCATCCATTGACGTAGAGGCCACAATTGTTGTGAATTCAAAATTAAGCTCTCATTCACCCCCTTTCTCCCCCTACTCTTAACTTAAAATTTTTAGATTGCAAGGTACCTCTTGTGACATATAAAATGAAAGAGCAAAGAAAAAATAAAAAGAATGGCACAAACTAGAGGTCTCTACGTCAATCCTATCAAAAGTAATGGCAGTTCAACATTTTAATTTTTCTCCCTCTTTTTTGAGAAAAACACGTTTTTTTTTAAACGGCTATAGCTCGAAAACGGTAAGAGCTAGTAAAGATTTGAATGAATTTTCATGGTCATGAATCTAATTTTCTACAAATTAAATTCTTGTTAATCGCTTTTTCCTAAAATCGCATTCCTTCGCCTTCAAAAAACACCCTACTTCTAAAATTTGTAAAATATCTCAGATTTTGACGTGTTTTTATTCAACAAGCATGCCAGCTAGTCACACCTTTGAAAAATGCTTATTGAAAAAGAATAGTTTTAACAATAAACAAGTTATGTTATACATTCCTTTCTCTTGTGCCATATAAACCAATCAATATAAATTCCCAAGTACTATCAGTGCTCAGACATACAACACACCCCTATAACAAGACCCCTCAGTTACTTTGAACCTTATGAAAATTGAACTATTGTAAAGCCGGGTTTTCCAAGGCACGGAAGAGGAGTGCGGAGAGCGGAAAAGATATTAACATGGTGTTCCACTCCGTTTCTAGGAAAACAGTAAAATTAAATTGCCTAAGGCAAGTGGAGTCCGCTCTCAGCATTACACGTTCCGCACTCCACTTCTGCGCCTAGGAAAACCCGGCTTAAAGGCCCCCACATGACACTTGTAGTAGAATGCTACAATGTCCAATACTTATGGATACAATGAATGTTGCGTTGTTTACTGGCGCTGAGCAATCTCTAAACAAGACAGAATAGTTTATTTAATGAACTACAGTATTTGTGTAGTAACATACTCTGTATTTATTTGGTTCTGTTGGATCCCCATATTGAGCTAGGTTGTTTGCTTGGAATGTTTAACTTGAAGTGTATCCAACTTAAACTTAAACTTAAATTTAATTATTTTTACAGTTGCTGAATGAACTAGCAGATCAACATGACAAAATCAGAGCTCAGTACTGGAAGTACATAGAGACAACATTAGAAAGTGTGGCAGTGGCTTGACTAATAAATCAATTATAACAAATTCTTATTTTTTACCATGAAATCCATAAGTAATCAACCCATTGACTATTGTAGCTTTTCACGGAATTTTGTGGTGAGGTAGCTGTACTGACAATCCACTGGCTCTCACTTGTGAGTGCTAGTATTGCACGTCCTAATAGTGGTACTCGACTGAGAGTAGATGCTATGATGCATATTATTATTACCTAATAGAAATTATACTGAATTGGTTCATAATAAGCATTTACTACCAAAACTGAGTATTCAAGTTAGTTTTTCTGCCATCTTGCAATAATTGCCATAATTTTAGGTCCTTGTTTCACTGATCTTTTGAGTATTTCATCAGTGATATTGACAAAGAATCAGCTCTTGTTCTTTTGCCCACTATGCTAATACAATTCAAAGTCACAATCATTACTCCTCTTTCATTATCCTTTTTAATATTCTGAAATTCTTGTGTAGGCTACTTTAACAACATTTTGCCCTGCTTCTTTAAAATTCTTAAATTTAAAAATTACCTTCTAACTAATTATGAAATACACAATTTCCCTTCATGATGGTTAATTCTTATAAAACAGAAGCATTATAAACACATTTACTGTTTTTCCTTAGAAAGAAGTCCGTTAAGGGTGAGATAGAATGAAATACTTGAACCAAGATTTTCAACCTTAAACTCTACCTAAATTTCATTGATTGCTTTTTTTTTACAATGAAACTTGGAAAAGATACGACACACCCCTTCCCTCTACTGTAAGTAGACCTAGCTAAGGATTTAAAAAGTATGAAATCTTTTTAAAAATGTATTTTTATTGTTCAATAGCTGGAACTGGGTGAATAGCACTGCGCCTGTAACAAAGTTTAACGTTTAAGTAATGAGAACTGAATTCCCTTTATATATGCATTGACTTAGAATACTTCACTACAATTTATCCATAGTAAAATATGTAATTAGCTCCATAGGGTGATACATTAAGTGGTACCACTACTGTAATCAATATTTATTTTTAGGTCAATTGTATAGTAAGTTTCAGGTTCCAAAGTTCAGGGATGTAGTAATTAAGTAGTTTAATGGACAGATCTGCTAATACCGTGTTACTAGATAAACTCCTAGGGGAGTCAAAGGGTCAAGTTCAGGGCTCCTGTCACGCTGGTCCCTATAGCCTACTCTAGGCCTATGGATTTAAGACCAGGTTCTGAATGAACAGTGAGCAGTAACTATTACAACTGAAACTAGTCTAAACCAGTCTAAATGTGCCTGCATGTCACATCCAACCTCGTTTTGCATGCTTGCTATTATTTTAGACTGCTTGGTTATGAGTGCATTTGCAAACTTGCCTGTAACTCATGTTCCATTGACATGTTCTCATCAGTGGCGGATTTACCTACGGCGCCGCCCCTAGGCCCGTTCGGCCGGCCGCCCCTTTGTGTTCCGCGATTGAGGAAAGGTTTCAGCGTAAAAGCAATATTAAACTTCCCGTTGTTGGCATGCTTATTAATGCATTTTCCAGGAAAAACATAGTCACTATATGAGTAGGGCCTACTTTATATTAAAGTTGTATTAATAGGTTTTAAGAAAAACATATATTTTGTTGTTGAGACAAGAATAAATATGAATATGAATAGCCTAAATTAATCGCCGAACGCATTGCCGTTCTTGACTAAATTCAATTCAAATGTATTCAGCTTAAATTGGTTTTGTTTTGGGTTTTCTTATAATTTCTATGAAATTATTAATACACATATATATATTTGAATTTAGGTGTTCACGTAATAGGGCTGCTGATAATATATTAAATTCCGGTAGTAAAAGTACAACAGAGAACCCCAAAAATTATATTTCTAGTAGATATATATATTCTAGTTAATTATAAAAACCTATTGTACTTTAAAAATTATGGGTTCTGGAAAATAGTATGAATATTGGTCTAGCCATAGACCATAACCAACATAATGGAATATATTTATCTACGATTTAACACATGCATTATAATCAATGGAAAAAGTAGGTTTTCCACTCCTGAACCCTACCCTTTGTTAAATCTGAATAAGTGGTTCATCTTGGTTAATTTTGTGGGTGTGCTGAGGTTGACGTCGAAATTCTTTAAAAAAATCACAAACTATTTATTTTTATATTTTAGGGTGTATTAATTTAGGCAAGCTCCTAATCACGGCTACCTTATAGGTGGCCGTGTCTTAATACTATACAAATAAGAACAACCCCCAGTGTTTATACGGTACCTAAAAAAATACATACTAAATTATATAATACTTATAACCTTCATCAATAATAATATATTTGTTATTAACTTTGAAAATTAACAAATTATAAATCATTGAGATTGGGACACCACCTAGGTACGTATTTTTACCCAAATGTGAGTGAAAGATGAGTGTGGAGTGTGGTGTGAGATTATCTGTGTAACTTTGTTACTGACTAAGATAGGCTATTTCATCAGCCAGGATAATTGATTTAAAGCCCAATCATCATGAACAGCTGAGTAATAAATCATAATTTGTTAGGTTTTAATAATTTCACTACGTAGGCCTAATTGAAAGAAAATTTGAACTGAAGGCAACCAACAAACGACAAGTTTCTGTACAGGTGACACAGCTAAAAAGGCGTGGTAGTTTGTTGATAACACATATCGACCCCAGTCATATCCTCATAACAATTTGTAACAATAAATTCGAATTCACATTCATTCACTTCGTAACTTAGAGCACATAGCTCAGCTGAGCTGACCGACAGCAACAGCTGGAGCTGAGCATTTTCCTTCACTTCACCTCAGTTCGGCAGTTAGTTCTCACCCTCATTTCATCGTCTTCTTCTTCATCTATTTGTTCTTAGATCTTGATTGTTTGATTGATTGACTTTTTTAAGTTGCAGACGCTGTTCTTTCAATGCTTAGATTAAGAGGGATTTTCAATATATTTTTAAAGAGACCCAGGCACTGAGAATACTCGATTATCAAAAAAATCCTAGTTGTTTTACCTGAAAATTCTCGAAATTACTCACAAAATCTGAATCCTCGCATAAATCTTCGCAGCTGGAAATCCTAAAAAATCGAGGATTTTCCCCGCAATTGGCAACACTGTCGCTACTGTTACTCGCAGTATATATTATGCCTGCATCTGCACGTCGGGACATGAACGTGAGTCATCTTCACCGATCGATAATCACCTGGCGCCCGCCGCCATGCACGCCGCCCGTAGTCGCGCCGCCCGTCACGTTACCCGCTGCCTGCCGCGGCCAGGTGCCCTTCAACGGCGGGCGCCCCTCAACGGCTGGCGCCCCTAGGCACGTGCCTAGTGTGCCTTATGGTAAATCCGCCACTGGTTCTCATATGCATTGGCAATATGCACAAATAGATCATTCAGTTCTTATTTAGTATCAACAAATAATTTGAATGTAGTGTGTAAATCCTACACTTGCCATTATCTGTAGTCATAGAGCAGTGGTCGACTGAGCTGCGCACGTTTGTTATCGAGTCGTTTAAAAGAAGGCTATGATTCAGTCATTGCAACTCAGCCGAAGTTTTTTCAATTAGGTCAACATTTAGAGGTTCCGTCGCGTTTATCTGTAGGGATGATCAACAATATTAAACAGTTTAATACAAATTAAATCTGTAGGGATAAAAATTAAGATTGTACTTTAAAATTTGCCCGAGCGGTCAGGCATGTTTAAAGCAGACGCTTGTTTCGGGCAGGAATAAGAGGACTGTTTTCCACAGCAGAACTCTATCAAATATTAGTTGTCTGGTGTCTCATTTGACTTTGGACGGCATGTCAGCTTCTTTTTGAACGCAGAAGCCATTGTTCTAAAGTTAGTAACCCGCTGCATGATTGTGCTACGTTACAGAACTTCTCCACGTTGCCCTAATTAAAAGAATGCACGGAACTGCCGCTCAGTTGCAGTGACTGAATCATTACTCTTTAAATACAGCTCGATAACAAACGCGCGTACCTCAGGCGACGTAGGTGTAGGCTTTCCAACGAGCCTACCCCCACCACCCTCAGACAACCTGTTACTGAATTCGTGCACTGCAGAAAATAGATGAGTTTTTTTTTGCCGCACCCTGTATAAGTAACTTGTTCCTCCAATTCAATATATGTAAAACATTAATCGATAGTTGTGCCCTTGTACCTGGAGCCAAAGCCATGGAAGGGATGTCTGTTTTGCAGGCCAGGGTAGTCAGCTGCCAACCCCTTGATGAAGTCTTGTTCTTGTAGCTGCTTGTTGATGGTCCCTTCTCTCCTAGGTAGACTGACTACACTAGGCTTGCGATACTTGTACCACCAGTACTCAAATGCCAAAGTTATACAGGCCAGCCCAATTCCAACAAATATTACTATAAACACCCCACCTATGGATGACAAAACATTTTGCAGTTATTTATTATTACAGTAGAACCTTGATAAGAAGTGTTTCGAGGACATTAGAATCAGTCATGTTATCAAGGTGCTCTTCTGGTTGAGAGAGCCTTCAAATTACTCTATGATACAGTGATAAATACTAAACAAAAAAATTATGTGCAGTGGGGGTTTCTCTTCTAGCGTGTTTGAGTACCTGAATCTGATTGGAGAACTTGGCAAGAATCTGAATCTTTGCTACAGGTTAACACGTTGAGTGCGGGCATCATCAATAGATGATGTCCGACACTAGCACTGGTGGCGGACATCAGCTAAAGCTGACGTCATGCCACTCTCTCCACATTAGTTTAGTGTGAGCTCAGCCATTGCCGGGGAACGTTATAATCGTTGCCAGCCTGTAGCTTAGATTATGTAGCTTTAGTCTGGTGTAGGTTAGTACTAAAATTTCCCGTAAAATCCCGTCTAGCAATACTTTCGTCCCGGTTCCGGCAATTTTCTCTTTTCCAGCCACTTTACAAAGACACTGGCTACGAATCCAGGCAGTGCTGCTACCTTTGGGTGTTTCAGTGAACTACGTCCACTCTCGGGCTAACACAGCACAATCACCGCTGCTCTTTTTTTATTCGTCAGACTGAAATATTTGAATGCCAATTGCGTTCACCGATTCAGTTGCGCGCTGCGGGGCTTCGCCCGGGCCTTGCCGCCATTATCGAGCGCCTGTTTGAAGGTATTCCGCACTGAACGTGTTAGCAGCAAACTATACGGGGAAAAAGAAAGTTATAGAAGATGAATATACCCAACAAGAAACAGAAAAAAAATTGTGGGAAAGGAGTGAAATCATAAATAGACATATCACGATGTGGGAATGAACGACGATGTGAGAATTGAATTGTAAGGTTCATTGAGAAATGTCAGGCTTTAAAAATCCTCAACTTTGTACTGTAGTAATGAAGAGAGTATATACTCTTTTTAATAAACAACCCCATAATTTTCTTGTGGATTTTACGTTATTTATTCAGTTGGTAGTAAGTATTTGGGAAAATAAGTTACAACATTTTTTGTTGGGATAACTGAACAAAGTCGGTAAACATGTAACATGCTTGTAATTTGTTACAGTGTTTTTTCACAATCACCTTAGACACAACGACAATGTAACATTCCTCAAAGCAAAAATTCAGTTGAGAGTAACTGGTATGAAGAAAATATGTTACAGTAGACTCCCTCTAATCCGGACTCCTCGGGAAAGAGGCCATCCCGGATAACGGTTATTCAGTTAAGTTATTCTTACCGTTAATACCGTTAACTTACCGTTAAACCTACGTCCCCAAAAACTTGTTAAAACAGACCGTTTACTGTGATATTCAACTTAAATTTAAGAGAGCATTGTATTTAGACACGTGATCACTGGTCTCAAATCTTTCCCACGAGAACATTTGTTTCAGTACCGCCCACTTCCTGCTGATCTAGTCTGGTTATACCAATGTGCTGATAAAATTTTCCAGTTAAAGAGATGTAATTTCCGCCAAGTGAAGTCCGGTTAAAAGGTGTCCAGATAAGAGGGAGTCTACTGTAGTCATGAATTATATATCTAACGGAATCATGATTATTGCTATTCCCACCAGGGTTGCCACCTTAGGTCAGGGAAAAATTGGGACATTGCCCCCCTCTCTCCCAGATTAACATAGGGTTAAATACGGGCATTAGAAACCAAAATCCGGACTGTCCCGGCAGAATCGGGACGGGTGGAATGGGAACCCTGATTCCCACAGCAAACATACTGCTCGGATAGTGACGGATAGGGTACCTCTAATCAGAAATAGAAAAATATCAACACCAGTAGTTTGCCAATAGTAAAATATTTGGGACTCGGGCAATATTTGGACCTGCCATAACCTGTTTAATCCAATTAATATAAACATTTCTAAAACAGATATTCAGTAAAAAAAAAAATAAATTGAAATGAAACAAACCTATGTTGTGAATGCTTATTCCATCTGATTGATCATCCTGTTTCTCACATGTTTTTTTCTCAGGATTTTGGTTCCACCAGGTTTCTTTTAATTTCTCCAATCTTCTTTTGTTTAGTAACTGTAATATGCTGTAATAGTAAAACAACAATTTCATTCTAAACTTCTCCCATTGATCCTTTGTTTGTGACAAAATTCATCTTTCTGTAATATCAATCAACTATAACTAAGTAAGTGCTTAAAACCACTTTTTTTTATATACTATGTTAAATACAAGGAGTATGTTAGTTGTTGTTTGCATTAACTGTCAATTGAGTACTTCTTGTAAGTGAAAATATGTATCTGCAATTACATTCTGTATACCATAGGGTGGCACACGGACCTCAGTCGGTCATTATCTATCTTTGGCGCTCGTAACTGTTTCCTCAAAGAGTCACAATCTATCATGTTTTACCTCCTCGTAAATATATCCTTAATAATATAAAATTCATTAAGTACTAAAAAAGCTAAGAGGAGTGATTTAAAATACTATGTGTTTCGATTAAAATTAACAATACCCCCGCCGCAGCTAACCTGCTGTCTAAGCGAATTTCCATTTGGCTGAATTGCTTTTCAATTGATCTATTTAAATAAAATGAGGTTTAACGAGTACCTAGGTTTGCTGCTACAAGGAAACTAATAAAGTGTGTGTTTTAAGTAAAATAATTATTGCTTAGTATAAAATGAATATATTTGCCAAGTTTGATCAAAAGATATCCATAAACAAGCAAACTACAACATTTTTACAATATTCTCCATAAGAATAACATGGGGATTTTAAATTTACCATTTTTTTAGTTTTCTCCGTAACCAATAACCGTACAAAAACACTTTGACATACTGAATTGTTTGTTTTTTTAAGCTCTTTAAGAAGGTTTAGAGAAAAATTGGGAAATTTTGTGTTTTGAGGGTCAAAAGTGAGAAAAACCAATTTTTACCCCATAAAACCCTGTTCCCATGGTCCGATCATGCTGGATCGCGAACTCATTCAAGTTTATCCCGTCTTACACCTTCAAACCAAATTTCATCAAAATCGGATAAAAATTACTCAAGTTATCGTGTTCACGGACACATATATATATATACATATATAAAAATTTGAACGAATGGTGTTTTTGGCCTCTGGGGACATCGAAATGAAAAAGTAAATCGGTCCCGGGCCTAAGTCTTACCATGAGACCTACGGTAATAGCTACTTCCCTATAGGGAAATTTGCTAAAATGGCCGAAGGTTAGCTTTTTAGCAGTACTATAGTTATAATTTGATACTATTTTATACTTTGTACAATATCATAATCTTGAGACTATAGTCCACTGTCAAATGTACACCCGTGTGCTCCTTGATGAGGCAGGTGTGGGAGTAGTCTTAATCTCTTCGTTTGACCTTTGAGAAATACAATTTCGATGGTGGCACTCTTGAAAATTGTGCGTTTGAACGCTGTGGGTAAAAAACAAAATGGCTGCAATTTAAAATGTTTAAAGTCAAAATCCATGAAAACCAGAGATTAAAACAAAATTTCGCACCTTATTATCGAAAGTCCTTTTTATTACAAATCGAATGACACTTTATTTGCGAAAATCGGATAATAAATAAAAAAGTTATGTTACTTTAATTATTAATAGTAATTATCAAAATGACAGTCATTTTGAAATGACAAAGTTAAATTCCATAGAAACTAGTGACAAAAAAAAATAATAAAAGTTACATAACTTTTTTATTTATTCTCCGATTTTCGCAAATAAAGTGACGTTCGATTTGTAATAAAAAGGACTTTACATATTGTGCTTCAAAGTTTTGTTTTAATTGCTGGTTTTCATGAAATTCGACTTTAAAATAATTTAATGGCCGCCATTTTGAAATTCGATGAGCCTGATCAAAGATTTTTTCGGAGAATGTTTATAGTTGTAGTCTTAAAGTTTATACCAAGTTTCATAAAAATATCTCCAAAAGCTTTGGAGTTATGAATTATTTTCAAAAAATACAAAATGGCGGATTACGGCTAAACTAAGTCAAAATCGAAAAAATGTTAAACAACATTTTAGACTTATTTTTGCATATAGAATTTGAATCTGCATAGCCCGTTACGCTTTACTGAAACACCCTTTATTACTTTTTGAAATATTTAACTGGCATTATTATTTACCCTGATTAATTGTATTTACGAAAAATATAAAATTATGTTTTATGAAAGAATGGTTGATCCTACATAAAAACTTTAAGCATCTTTTTTGTGCAGATTTGAAATAGCTACATTTTGGTATCAACAATTCTTTCATAACCCTAAAAGTTACTGATATAAGTAAGAAAACAAGTTTGCGACGGCGGCCATTTTGTTTTTTACCCACAGCGTTCAAACGCACAATTTTCAAGAGTGCCACCATCGAAATTGTATTTCTCCAAGGTCAAACGAAGAGATCAAGACTACTCCCACACCTGCCTCATCAAGGAGCACACGGGAGCCTGTATATGTACATTTGACAGGGGACTACTACCTATAATTTATTCCATTGAAAACATTTGACTTAACCGTGTTTTGGGTTTATTTGTGACTTTTATGTCATCAATACTTTAGGAAAAAGGGAGATAAGTGTAGTTTATTTTGTAAATAATGCACAAACGACTTCAGAATAATGATTATATTATTCCAAATGAATAGCACCTAAGTTTTTAAAGCCTTTATGGATTGCCTGTTTTAACTTACCTTTTGAGTTACTGTATCCAATTTAGATCCGGTCCCATTAGGGTCAGTTAAGAGGGGATCTAATATATTGTCTTATTTCTTAAACTTACCATCTTTCAATAACTTAAATGAAATCCCAGGAATACCTTAATATTATGACAAATTTTTCCACAGTTACGCTAATGGTTTTACAGTAAAGAATACTTGCGCATTGTTAAACTGGTCCTTTAAAGGTGATCCTTGTTGCACTGCAATAGCATAAGGTTTCCTGGAAAACTCATCGCCAACCATCTGCAGGTCGCAGTTGGTCATCTGCAGATATTTTATGTCTGTTGCGTCACCTGTAACATCATAATCTGCTTTGAACTCCTCCCCCCCCCCCCCCCTAAGAAGTAGCAGATGTAACTGGGAACATCATTGAATGGTTGGCTTAAAATGTTATTCATACTGAGGAAGGGCTATCAGTAAAATTGTTAAAAAATCTTTTGAGCCAAGATCTTTGACTGCATGTGTTACTTATTTTTTTTTTTTTTTTTTTGCTGCAAGCAAATTCTCTTGGCCTTTTCCAAATATCTATGATCATATGATTCTCTATAGTTTTATTGTCACTCTTGTAGAACAGATACCTAAGTAAGCGAAGCCCTCGCTAGAGGATGGCGAGTCCCTAACTCTCTGGACTGCCTCGTCCAGCGTGGCCGGCAGCTTAGCCTCCTTCATGGCCTGCCACATCTTAGTGTATTTGTCACTCACTGGGTAGTCCCACACTGCTAACTTGGCACGTTCAATCTCGCTCAGGTTGTCATTCAGTGACATTTCCTTCCAAATCCTGTAATTAAACTATAGATATAAATTTTTTAAGCCTGTGTGTATACTATTATAGAAGTTACTAACAGTAAGCTTTAATGCCAAGTGACAGGGTTTGTATGTTTTATTATTTCAGCTCCCTCTTATTTAACTTCAAGATCCCACCTGTTTTAATAATCAGTATAATAAGGAATAATTATTAAATAAATAATAATCAATATGAAACACTGTAGTAAATTAATCAAAATTAGGTGGCCTGAAGACTGATACTCTCAAGAATATGTTGGTTTAGGCCAATAGAATTTATATTTTTAAATGTCCTATATTTTGCAATTCTTACTCGTAGAACTTAGCTTCAATCTGTGACATGCGGTAGAAATAAGTCATTGTGGAGGACCCCTGAAGAGGTGCATATTGGATCTTATACTGCTTGCTTAAGCCGTCAAGAGATTCTATAGGCGTGTCCAGTCGTGACACAGTCAGGAAGGCCGCCAGGTTGGCTGTATACGAGGCGATAATGATGAACCCAAACAGCCACCAGGTAGCTGCTACCAGACGTCCACTCAGGTTCTTCGGAGCCTCTCCTCCCCCCTACAACATTGTTTGGGAATCTTTATTTTGGTTTTGAATCATAATTGCTTGCTGTAGTCTTCTCATTTCATAAATAGAAGCATTAGTCCTGATATTATTTAATGAATCTAATCATAAGCTATTGTTATTCTATAAAAAAATGTCATCTAATATAAATACCTGAGGGGTTAGGGATGTCATGCAGAACCATAAACACTCTTTCAAATTGAATTCTCTTTTTTCTTCATCATCTTTATACTTTTCTCTGTTGTTCTGGTAACTATATGGACTCCATCGATCAAACACCCACATCAGTAGGCTGTTAATATCAGCAATATGTTAAAATATATTACTCACTGAAAAGTGCATTGTTAATATTTATTTATAACTACTCTTATCTACAACAGATTACTGTACTTTTTACTTTGTTGTAAACATTAATTTACAAAGCACTAAGGTAATTTTGTTATGGACTTTCATGAACATGTTATTATAGTGTCTTAATATTTTTACCTTGTCAAGAAGTATGCTGCTAGAATACACAACCAGACATCTTTTTCTAGCACACTCAAGAACTTAAAGAGAGATGTAGGAATCTTTGGTTTCTTCATCAGTATGGAGATGCCCACTAGGTCGTAGTAAGGAATTGTAAAGTCTACAACATTTTCTCTCTCTGCCATCACAGCCAACGAGCCGAGGGCTATATCTGCTCTCTAAACTCACACCATCAACCAATCAATACACCAGGGAAAACCTTATTGTCAACGAAAAAATGTTAACCTTGTTGTTTAACACAAAAACTTTTAGAGTTTAAAATGATTTACAGGGTATAATTAGTACTGTATGATTGTAAATTATTGTTTAGAAAAACTTTGGCAGGCTTCCTTGGATGGGGAAGAGTCCACTTAAAAACAAAAAGCACATAACACTTTACACTATACATACATAAGTTTGGATTGTATTATTCATATTTTATATAACTTCATACTGACCTTTTCAATGAGTTCCTTAATCATGCCATTCCACTGTCCATTATCATCCATAAAGCCGAAACTATTGTCAGGTGCTACATATATTTCATATTCAAAATTTATCATTTTGCTGATTTCATCTATTAGATCAATGCAATATCCTTGAAATTTGCCTGTATCCTTGCCATTGCTATCCAAAACCTTCATCACAAAAGGCTTTTGCTGAAATAATAAGCGAAACAAAATATTTATTTCTATCCCAAAATCAAAATTTTTTAAAGATATAAGCATAAAACCAATACATTTAAGTAGGTTTTTAATTCAGAAAAGGCTATTTTCATATACTAACCAACACAAGTAGACTTCTCATCCCATTGTAAATTTTTTGAAGCTAGTTTTTCGTGCCTAGTACGGTGACACTGGGCGCTAGTGTTGACAAAATTTTGTTTCTATTATTTTAGGATTATTCTCTTGATTTGAGCTTTACTGTTTGGTTATATACTTAGAGGATAAGTTATTGTTTATGATAAGATCATATTATTTGGTTAAACGAGGTTTTAAATGACTGAAACAAGAAACAAATTGTAAACAAAACACGACCTCTACAGTCACCGAACAAAACTAACAATAAAATTGTCTTCAGCTGTTCCATGACCATAAGGATGAGAAATCTACTAAGGGAGTATGTTTAATCTATGTTATTATTTATTATTTTTTTATAACCTCTCGATCAGCACTCTGCCAAAAATTGTCATGATAGTGCACGTCCCAAGTTTCATGTGTTTGCTCTAAAATTCAAAAATGTTGTGTGTAATCAGCATATTTCCATTCTAAAAATTAATTTAAGTTAACTGTGATTAGATTACAATTAAAGACTATAAAACGTCTGTGTAAGTTATTTATATAATACTAGGTGAACCCTTGCGATTCGCACAAATAATAAATTAGGATATCATTATAGCAACGTCGTTGTATCGTTGGCTATATGCATTCTAAGTTCTTTTTGCTGTTCAGTAGTAGTAGTTTGCAGGACGGAGCTGAAAACTTGCGCGTATGGATTAATATAAACCAAATGTTGAATCAAAATGTGCATGAGTACAGTGCTGCAAGAGCCATTAGCTTTGTTTAGCATTCTTTCTACGTCGTAGATATGATTTTGGGCATATGTGCACCCCTTCTGACAGTTGTAAAGGTGCCAATTGGGTGATAAATTTTGTTGTGCACCTTATACATGAAAGGCCCTTCACCGTTATATACTTCAATTTAAGCTTGAGTGCTGACCATTGCGAGCGCAGAGTTGTACGATCTAATGTTCTCTTTGCATTGCTTGCCGTATGTTGACTCGCCATGTCCGACCGGCAATATTTCTTTGTTGTCGGTTCCTTGGCTTGGCATGTTTAAACGAAAATATAATGTAAAACTTTTCTCCCGTTGTGTCCTATATAGGTAACATTTCTTTGCCGGGTTTCTAATAATTTTTAAAAACATGCAAACTGTTTACATTTCAAAACCAAACAAAACAGCTGGGATTTAATGTTTGTAAAACTAATGTATTGATATCTGTTTCCGAATATAATGACATTCAAATCAATCACAATGTTATCCTTATGGAAGGAACTTTGAGGGCAGCCCACGCCCTTAAAAAGATATATTTCGAAAATCTAAAGCCAGTTTGCACATCTACACACCTAGACGAACATTTTGGTATATAGTATGTGGGGTAAAATCTTAAAACAAAAAAGCCTTATTGTTCACAAAGTTTCATGTCGCGTATTAAATATATAGATTTTTTATTGTAATTGGATTGTTGCAACTTTTAGTTGGTACTAGATAGTTTGATATTTTTGGTTGCAACTCGCAAATAATTTATCCACCCATACCGTAAAGTTCCATTGGAGACATCCAGTGTTTATTTCTGCTTGTTTGGTAAGATACAAGTGCCAATTTTGTAACTGCCCTTCTACCACTTATTATTTAAGAAGCCTCCTGTAGGGGTGATCTATCAAACTAAAGCGCACTACGGCGGCACGGCACGGACGGGCGGTACGGCACGGACGGCATTTTTAAGAGGGGGTGCGCGCACTAGGGCGGCACGGCACGGACGGACGGGACGGGACATCCGCACATCCGCAATTTAGGACAGTTGACAGTCTGCAAGCTAAAAATTGTGAGTAAAGATGGATGTAGATAAAGTGGTGATAGTAGGTTTAATTTTGGCAGAGGAAGAGGAGACAAGAAGGTGCAAGCAAAGATTTTAGATACACCACATAAACAGGAAAAGACTAAGTTTTGGAGAGTTCCACACCTTGTTTCCTGATCTTGTAGAAGGATTATGTGTAAAACTTACCTGATTGTTTCATAATAGATCACATTTCTGCCCATATATTGTCACGCCGGACGTTATTAAAATATTCCGGATGTCGCATGTTGTACAGTTTGGGGTTTTCTCAACGAGGAAAATCAACCTACTAACACTATGTTTACAACACACGAAAACGCTGCTACTTTGACAGAAATCAGTTGAGAATGGCGGATGTCCCGTGCCGCCCGCCCGGTCGGTGTGCAGTGCTCCCGGTCGGTACGGGCGGTACGGGCGTCACGGCAGCTCGGAAATGTCCTGGAGTTCTGTCTCCCGGACTTTTTAACAAACGGCGGAAGCTGCCGAACGTCCGTTGCCGGCCGTACTGCCGTAGTGGGCGCACTCATATGACATTCAATGTTATTAACTTTTAAAAATTGCCGTGCCGCCCGCCCGTCCGTGCCGTGCCGCCGTAGTGCGCGCGCAGCTTAAGTGTTTTATAGCTTTTCTCGTAAAGTAAATTGTTCAATTACTTCTTCCCCAATGTTTTCTATAATACAGTTTTCGGTAGGCGTAACAATTTAATGACGATGTTAAAAGTAATCGTAATAAGCCGTTATACAACAAGTGAAGTAATCTCCTTGCTCAATTCTTTATTTTAAAATTGGAACACTTGTTAGTGGTGTTTACCGTCATACAGGCTCTAACCTAGAATTTTGCTAAACTCAAAGTCTAACTAATAATCTTATTACATGGTATTGCAACACACCAAAACTGTGACCACACGGTAGATAGTGACAGCTGAAGACAGGTTGTTGATGCTGTTAGAATCCTTGAGAAAAATAGGAGGAGCATTGAGGCTGGCCTTCCATGTGCTAATAGGCTCGGCCGACACTGACTGGCTGTTGACAATAGACACACGCTCCAAGTGTAGAGAGAACTCCATGTAACTGTGTCCATTGCTCTCCACCACCAGATTGGCATATGAGGAGGGTTCAGATACCTATCAAGTGACAAAAATATTGTTTAAGAGGTTGAGCAATGCCAATCCTGACTTCGCCTACTTCTTAATAATAATAATAACAGTGTTCATGCCATTTTATACTTTTAAACCTAAGTACTCATTGAAATTATTGTTATTTAAATATGAAATAGATATCTGACAGTTTTAAGCTAATATTTTAGTAGAAATCCAGCCAGGTAAATGGAAATTCACTTAGTCTGCAGTTTTGCTACGGGAGTGGTATTTTTTTATGTTAGCCTCCGGATTACGTTCAATATACAAATTGGTGTAATTACCTCTTTCTAAGTAATCCAAATTGCTGCAAAGGCACGCAACTAGTTTCCACTTCACAAAGTCATCAGACGCAGAATGTCAAAATCACTTCATCAGAAGGTCGTCGTTCGAGTTTGTGTGTGAATTTACAATATGCGTATCGACAACCTTCTGATGAAGTGATTTCGACATCCCCTGGATACCTGATGATGACTTCGTGATGTTGAAACTAGTTGCATGCCTTTGCAACAATTGGGATTACTTAGAAGCAGGATTTACACCAATTTATATGATATTTTTAGTTTTTAGTTTCACCCTTCTTTACTTTTTTTCTTCTTTGTTTTCTTATTAATTTTATATATTCTTTGTATCCTTATGATACAATGATAAATTTAAAAAGTTTAAAGTTATTAACTTTTTAAATTTATCATTGTATCATAACTAAGGAGTCTAAAAATATAATCTTAACTTTTCTCTGGACAGATTCAGCAATCTTCAGATTTGAAGGCAATATCTTTTAAATCTCCAAGAGCCACATCTAAGTAGGAGACCAGTTTTTCATGTCTAGAGTCTAAAGAAAACGCATCATTTAGTTACCTGTTTAAAATATTTTCTTAGATCCAGATCTTTTCTCCGGGGCTGGCTGTCATCAGTATAATCATTACAAGACACATAGCTCATATTTTTTGGCCATTCTCCGCTCTCAAACAACCCCCTGTAAAAATGGATTCAACCTATATTGCCATTGCAGAAAAGTCATAAAGACAATGAATTATTGTTAACCTGCATAAATAAGGTTACTATATTGGTAAACACCTATATTTTTTAATTAGTAGAATCCATTAAAAAAGATTAGATACATTCAAGGTGCTGCATTGAATGTGCGCCAATTATATATATAATATATCAAATGCAATACTATTTAACATTATTCTTAATAACACATCATAACCAACGAGCACATAATATAAATCATAACAAAGCTTATTTTGGTTAATTTATGCCTTTTTAGCTTCATGGAGTTGTTTAAAATCAACATTCTTCAAAATAAGACTTGACTTCCTTTTTGGTCACTTGAAAATCCCATGGAGGACTTGTTCCAGCATCTTGGAATGAACTTCAGAATCACTAATTTCCTGGACAACTCTTAGCTTCAGTTTAAGCAAATCTCTCTGGGGCGATTTTGAACAATCTCGAACTTTAATTAGCTTATAGGGAGAACCCCCAATGAAAGATAAGAGCCAACGTAAAGCTTCCAACAATGAAAGCTTCCTGGCAAATCTCTTTTGGACTTTTGAGTTACTGCGACTCACACTCTTTTGACTTTTGACATTATTTGCTGGTGTACCAAGATGTTTGCTTCCACCGATTATTTTTAGGGGTAATACTTTAATACTTTTTATTGAAATGGCGACTATGCAAAGTATGTATTTTAAGCCAAGTATGAATGGAGATGAGTGGTGCAATCTTGTAGTCTTTTTAGTGACTAAGGCTGACATATTCATTATACACAGCTGTTAATTAATAGCCATAAAGCTAATGGCAACTAAGGGACTTTCAGTTTATAGTGGAATACGAACTACATTTATGCCTTGATATTAACAAATTGGTCTAATGATCAGGATAGTACTGCGGATAGTCGTAGGACTCACTAATGCGGACGTTAATCCACACCAGGGAGTATCGCATCCACAGTGCATGCCTATAAATATCCACAATTTGTAACCTCCTAGTAGCTGGGTTACAGGACAATGCCACTGTCCCATTCAGAATGATAAGTTAAGATGCTATCCGAAAGGCGAGTTGATGTTATAAACACAGCTGCTCAATCATCATGTGACAGTGAAAGATAATTGTGGTGCTTTTGTTGCCCAACTCTGTATTTATAATTTACTTTATTTTTCTAATGTATCTATATTTAGAAAGTGGTAACCAGAAAAGAACCAACGGTTCACCCACTTGATAGCAAGAAGTGTGCGAATGGTGAGATCAAAGTAGAAGACTGCATCTATTTCAGGCTCGGCAGTAAGTGTGTAGGTTGTGCGAAGGTTTGCCAAACGTTCCTTAAATGTTGAGTCTGGTTCTGGCTTGATGAAGATAATAGTAGCATTGGTACATGCACATTTTAGAAGTCCTTTGTCCTGTAAGTAAGTAAGGTTCATGTAGATTTTTTTTAATATTTCATGACGTTCTAAATATCTCATTGATGTCCAAAACTTATTCTTTATTGAGTTGTTTGCTGTAAAATAATAGTTAGCTAATAATTAAGAGATGACCAAGAGTTTTTCACATTCAAACCCATGAGTTCATGAGTCTTAGAATATTTTGGCCTTGTGATCCTCATTCCATAATGACATTAGCTCTCATTGTCAACCCAAAAGGGAAGAATCTGGCTTGATTTACCCAATACACATTACAATATATTTTGAAAACTTAAAATGTAAAGTGAACTGTCGTCCCTCACCTTTGTTATGGCATACCAAGTGAACTTCTTGCTAAAAAACTTATTAGCATTGGCATTGTCCAGGACCATCTTGATGGTTGTAAGTTTTCCCAGAATGAAGTAGTTGACAATGTCTAGATCTCTGAATCTTGTGAGCTGATGTTTTATACTCTCAACGTCTTCCACCTCTGCCATAATATGTCTTGTTGGAATATTCTGCAGGAGTGACTTGGTTTTGTGATCAACAACTAGAATACATTCAGAAGTACCATATAACGACTCATTTCTTGGTATTTATTAATTGGAGGTTGATTATTTTTAAAGCAGCTACAGTAAAATGAATATATATTTCTCTAAAACGAACACAACATATGCTACAGTTAGATATAACCTCATATATGAGTAAAAATGGAATTAATCTGACACCTACTTCAGAATGCATCATTACACTAAACAATATAACATTATAAACCCGAAATACACAGGAACAATAAGTATTTTTTCCTACAAGGAAAATGTAAATGTTTTAAAGTCAATTAAAGTAATGTCATCCTGGAATAATAGCGTGGTTCTTAATCTCAAGAAATAGTCTAGAGTATGAATATTGCCTCTAACATCTCAAGGAAAACAACTTCCAATAGAATGTTACCTATCTATTGTTTTACTACCAATAATATTGTTGAATATAATTATTTTATACCGAAGGAGTTGTCGTACAAGATGCCAGCATTGGTAATGTTGTACATTACAACTATACTTCTGATGATTTCAGGGATTATGTCCCCAGGTGGGGATATCTGGACTAAATACTTCTGCTGCTCCCCATCTAAATTCCGCCATTGCCTAAACATGTTATATGATTACAACTGGAAATGTGAAGACAATAGATTAGTTCTTATTAATTTTAAAATAAAATTTTACTTAAAGTTAAACAGCAGTTTCTCATGGTTTGCTTCCTTTTTACCATACCACACAAATCTTTAAAAAAGAACCTACAATGGTAAAACAAAAAAACAGTTTGTAAGAAAATCAGTTATTTTCATCAAAGAGATAAAAGTCTGTAACCTAAAAAGAAACAAATAAATACTGTGTATTGTTATCTTTGATACCTCAATGTGGGGGAGAGAGGAGGCAGTGTGATATGACCAGAGTTCAGCTGTCTTGACCTCATGGTAGACAGAGGTCTGAATTTTTCAAATCATGTTGCACATACCACTCAAGGGTTCATTTTATTTTTAGACCCACAATTAGCAACAAATAGGCTACCAGAGAGCCTAATATCAGTTATATCCAATAGAAGTGCTAAGAACAACTTGAAAAATGTGAAAGATAATGTTAAATGTATTTGAGTATTTGAAATAGTTGTTCTTAAATCTAATATCAGAGAGACGCTATAGCTAAATAAATGCTCTATATTGCATAGACACTTGGATCAGCTAGAGATAGATCAATTAGGTTTATCGACTGAAAGAGTCAGAAAGTTTGAAGGTGGTGAGTTACCTGATATCGCCGTCCTGTCCGTAGGAAGCAGTGACAGTAGGCAGACCCAGTGCTGCTGTAAAAGTCTTGGCAGCCTCAGAGATCACACCATATAGGGTTGTGTCCAAAACCACATGGGGTGGCTTCCTCTGCTGTAGCGAACTGTTGTATTTGTCACACACTGAAAGATCATAAGTTCATTGTTATTTGTTACTGCTTTTGCTATGTGAATCATCCTGAGAGGAAAGAGACACAAATCCAAGTCTTGTTTGGTAGCTTTGTTGGTACAAAGCTGTAACTGTAAACATTAGATGTCTCCAGAGGAAATGAACGGTCCCTCCTCTAATCTCAGAAGTTGTATTAGCCTCCTCTAATACAAGGCATGTTGCAACGGCATACAGTACCTATTGTCATGGTAATAACATAAATAACAATAAAAGTGTAAATGTAAACATTTCCTACGCTCCATTATAAATTAGTGCAACATTTGTTTCCGTTTGCCGAGACAGGGGATTTGCCTCTTTTGTCTCTCCACGGCCTTTTATCAGAAGAGGCTATGGTATGGGTTTCATATAAATTATTTGTGAGTTGCAACTAAGAGCCTGACATCCATCACAACACTAACATAAGACATAACATAAGACTATTAAAAAAATTATAAACTATTTGTATAGGTACCTTTTCCATATTTATTTGTAAAATTGCAGTATGTCGGGCAAACCTTACTAATATTTATTGGGTAGTTTTGCTGAGAACCTATTGAAGAATTTTAGTATGCCATGTATACAAACTTCAAATTTTGCAGAAATACATTTTCTTATTTTAGTTTGTATCGTGTATGGTCCAAACTGGAATTTAGAGTTTATTATTTGGGTGCAAATAATTGGAAAACACATTGAAGTTCGGTAAACTCCTTGTTATGTACCAAAACTTGAGACGATTGCCTAGTTTTTTATTTTCATTTCTTAGCTTTAAGTAGAAAAATTAAAGGTTTATTGTTGTTTGAAGTTATAAAGTTAAACACCCTGTATAAACTTGCATGTATGAATACATGTGTATGTATGTATATATATATATATACAGGGTGTCCCAGAACTCTCTACCAATATTTTAGGGCATTGCTCCTGGGTAAGAAACATAACTAAATATTATATTTAAACTGTCCGGAAGTCCTTAGTTACTCACACAGCCGCCATTTTGTTTTTTCCAGTTATTATTTTTTTTTTAAAGAATGGTTAAAGATACGAAATGGAAACTTTGCACAAACATTTATGATAGCTAGACAAAGCTACAAAAAAATTTTCACGATTTTTCAAATTCATAAAACAAAATGGCGGCCATTTAAATTTTTTTTAAATCAATGGTTTTTGAGTTATTTAAGAAAGAAAATTTTAAATGGCCGCCATTTTGTTTTATGAATTTGAAAAATCGTCATAATTTTGTTGTAGTTTTGTCTACTTGTCATAAATGTTTGTGCAAAGTTTCCATTTCGTATCTTTAACCATTATTTAGAAAAAAAATAATAACTGAAAAAAACAAAATGGCAGCTGTGTGAGTAACCAAGGACTTCCGGACAATTTAAATATGATGTTTAGGTACGTTTCTTACCCAGAATCAATGCCCTAAAATATTGGTAGAGAGTTCCGGGACACTCTGTATATATATATGTATGTGTTTCCTAAAGAAGGGTGATTTTATTTTGTTTTAGTGCTCCGTATGTTGATTATAGGGGACAATTAATATTGAATGGACATTATGCCAACCCAGCAGGTCGTATGACTATTGTTGTATGTGCGCTATGGAACAAAACTACTGTATTTATTTCATTTACATAATATGTAATCAATGAAGCACTTTTTCTATTGTATTCTATTATATTCTACTATGAGAAATTGAAAAAGCTTTTTCTAATATTTGAAAGATGATTAGAAATTGCTCTGAAAATTTGTATAATGTTCATTGTGGAAGATAATTTTAGCTGACATGTGTTATGGACATTATTGACTGATAAGATGTACATACAAGAGTTGAGGAATACTCTGGGGTCCTGACTGTTGGCTGTGACTTGTATGAACTTGTCCACATGGATGCCAAGGTGAGAGCTGCGTCTGATGAAGCTGAGCGCCACCTCCACGGCTCTCTCTGCCACAGTGTTGTGGGCCTCATTCACATGCACTGCACACATACAATGTTTCAATGGAAACGTGATTCGGCAAACACTCCAAGAAGCATCTTGTTGAATGATTTTACATTTAAGGCGTCATTGTCAATTAACTATACAAAAAAAAAGAGGGCTATTTAGAAAGTTGGGAATGTTTCCTTCTGACGCCGCTAGGCACCTACCTGCTGATCACACACTTTGAAGTACAAATGTGTTTGCCTCCTCAGTGAATGTCCATCTGCTACAGCAGAAAGTATTGGGTGCTGAACATTGTTCTGATATACTCAAATTTAAAAAGTGTGCTGAAATTAAAAATCCCACTAGTTGTAAAGGTGTGGACTGTAATATGGAGTTTGTTGGCTATACTTAAAACCTATGGAAATTAATTGTCATGTCCAGAAATATTGATGTCCAAAATTTTGTTAATGGCATGACAATGCCCGACCTCACATAAATTGCACCCAATATCTCTTTCATTAATTAAGACGGTAGATTTTGCCTAAACCAATCTACAACCCAGACCTTGCTCCTTGTCACTTTTGACTGTTTTCTACAGGGAAGACTTTGTTAGCATCACAGTGCTTTGATGACGACGACAAGTTTCAATTAGGTGGCACCGAGTGGCTGAGACCGCCAGGGACAAATTTCTAAACCACAAAGGAATTTCAAAGCTCGACTACTCTTATGATAAACCTCAATTTATTTGGAGACGAAATAGAAAATTAATATTTTTGTTGTTTTCTCAAATGTTATAGGTAATTTACTCACTTTTTTGTTCAATTTTTTTTTTCAAAACGTTCCTTACTTTCAGCGTAGTTTGCATACATTTTAACATTATCACACAGACAGACAAAGAATAAAAGGTGTGAACAGAAAAAAGTTTTGTTTGTTGATATGCATAACAACTGCAAACACAAAATTTTTAGTTAATTGGAACAAACTCAGTACATGATGGAATTGAAAATGAATTTCCATGTTCATGCAATGGTTGTGTTTAGATGGAGCTGGTAGATGGAGGATGTCGCCACTAAACAATTTTTTGTTAGAAATAATCTGATATGAAATAGTTATTTGTGTAACTAGTGGGGAAAGTGGCACTTTGCTGCACACGAGAGCAATGTTTACGCACGAGCCGCAGGCGAGTGTGGGATGATCTCGAGTGCAGCAAAGGCCTTTTGCACTCGTGTTACACATTATATTTTTCCTACAGTCACTATAAAGCATATAAATAATTTAGTCTTTTTAACACTATATAACACGTTTTTTAGGTTCAGCTGGCAACACAAATAGGTGCCCTAGAGAAAGTAGTACCCGGTCCGTATCACTCCGCTATTTTTCCTCGGCAAGAAATGTGCTCCACGTTTTGAGAATATAGTTCCGTATGTTTTTGTAATTTGAAGTGGTTTCCGCGCCTAAAAAAATGCTTTAAAGGTATTTTTTAACCGACTTCCCCACTACCAACAAAAGGAGGAGGTTCTCAATTTGTTTGTGGTGATGTTTTTTTTTTTTTATGTATGTTCACCAATTTCTCTGTGATTCTTTTACCGATCAGTGTGGTTCCACCACCAAAATAACCAGGAGAGTTTCTATTTGGTAGCTTATATATTATGTTTAAGTATAATATTCGTTTCGGCAAAAAATTCTGAAAACCTTAAATATTCAACATTTATTTTGTTTACATTTGTGCAGATTGTTTACATTTGTGCAGAGAAGGCAATAAATAATAATAACATTCCTACAGCTGTTAGTTGAAACCATTTAAATGAAGCTACAGACAATTCTTCATGAAACAGTTGCTTCATATTGATCAATAAACTATTTCTCGCCATGGAGCCTAAATGAATTACATTGAGAAAAATGTTTTGGTTACTATAAAAAATGTATTTTAACGTTTGACCTGATTTGTGTATACAGTAATTCTGTTTTTATTAGTATTGAATATTCTGACTTACAAAAACATATGTTTCAGTGAATAGCTGTATGATATTGACAAATAAAGGTGTTTTTTTTTGTGAAAACCAAAGCATTCGTAAAACAGGTCTAAATATAAATTAAATTCAATTATTCCTTACACGACCTAAGAAGTGTGACAGTGCATAATCGTCAATTGCCTTAAAAGTGTTGAATATTTTAATTACTAAACATGCATTTGCAGATGTGGAATGTTTATTGATATTCTCTACCCAGTTACTATATCATATCAATACTATTATGCCTGCTTCGGAAAGTCCTAGAGAGGAAGATGATTTGCAATTTCGACTAGGCTATATCTTGATCAAACAAAACCACCTACATGGCTTGCACCACTTTTAGCTGAACCAATCTTTCATATACATATTTCATTTGCAGATGTGGAATGTTTATTAATATTCTCTACCCAGTTACTATAACATATCAATATTATTATGCCTGCTTCGGAAAGACCTAGAGGAAGATGATTTGCAATTTCAACTAGGCTATATCTTGAGCTAACAAAACCCCCTACATGACTTACACCACTTTTAGCTGAACCAATCTTTCATATAATATTTTCCAAAGGTACTATACATGTTAACGACCAATTTTCCACTTTTAAAAGATTTTTTTTGTGCTGGTGGCTGAGGAATAACTTTCATATTGTTCCAAAAGGCTTGAGACGTTACTGTATTTCTTTTTATAATGTAGAAGTACACCGATTGCAGGAAACAATGATGTCTGACATTTCAATGTATCTAGAAAAGACAATTAGTTTTTCATTAGGCCTAATGTAATGGACAACTCTTTCTTTCTTAAGGAATATCTAAAAATGTTTATTTTCATACCCATTGATTATGTAACCTGAACAGGTGACTCAAGCAGTTTTAAAATAATGATTGTTTTGTGGAACTTTTGATTGTTTCAAACAGTTTTGCTTATCAAAAAACCTCAAGTAATTAATACACACAAAATTATACAGTCACTAAAAATCATGAAATAATTTATTTTTGTAAAAAATACAACCGACTTCAAACGCTCTAAAAAGAATGAAATAATTTCAATAAAGTAAACTTTTGTATTAGGCAAGCTCACGTATTTCAAGTCGGCGCGGCTCAAAATGCAAATATGATTGAAATTAAATATTGTGTGTGTATTTTGAAAATCAATAAATTGTAGCTGGATAACATAAATATATAAAAAACATACTGAACTGTTTTGTTTATATATTAAAGGAAATATTTTCTTGTATTTTATGTTTACTTCAGAATAAATGCATTATGAAAATAACACACACAAATGTTCTATATGAATAGGAAAATAATTTAGTTTGATATTATGATAGGGAAAAGAAGCTAGTTTAGTATTAAAACGTTACTTTTCCAAGTTAGAAACATTTAAATGCGTTATAATCTTTTTAAAGATACTCGTTAATACCACTATAATGCCGATCTCTGATTACGGTAATAAAAGAACACTTAACGCATACGGTAACTATAAAAAAGAAATGCAGATTAACACCTTTAGTTATAGATAGTCACCTGCAATATGGACACCCTCTTTCAATTTTGTACCAAAAATCATCATAGAGCCGCGCCGACTTGAAATACGTGAGCTTGCCTAATACAAAAGTTTACTTTATTGAAATTATTTCATTCTTTTTAGAGCGTTTGAAGTCGGTTGTATTTTTTACAAAAATAAATTATTTGTTTATTAAGATGGTAGGAATGTTTTAAAAACGTTTAAAAGAAAAGTCCAGAAAGTTCAGAAATACCGAAACTATAAACACGAAATGACAGGTTAAATCGTAGTTATAATAGTCAATCAGCTGCTCATAGTATTATTATCTTTAAGTGTTGCCAACCTATTTTCAAGCGTACACGGATTACGTGCATAATAGAACCACGCTGTTTTGTGTTGTTTCGTTGGAATCCTGATGTGCGGCAAAGTATAAACCGTACGACAAAGTATAAACCGTACGGCAAAAGTATAAATATGCAGCAATTAGCAGCTTTCTGTACTGTAAACAGTACAAGGAAGCCAACTTTGTCGGGTGACTGTAGGAAAAAAGAATTTTTTAACAACATGAAGGCAGCAAGATTTACACCAAAATTGTGATTGTATTGGTATGAACAGTATTAAATCTTGAGATATCTAGTAAGGCTGATGATTAATCTAATTTTCCACCTTAACCTTAAATGGGTTTTCTGTACCTAGTCATAACTACTCAAAACAGTGCAATGCAAAGCTGTTTTAGTAAAGCTTACTAGTATTGGTGCTGATTAATCATTAAAATGTCTGATTGTTAAACAAGAGGGTTATTCCAAAAGAAAGGTCCGGTTAAGAAAAACTAATAAAAAATAAAATGTTTTCCATAACAATTGTTTTGTTTACATTCCTTGAATAGGCCTACTTGTCTATATAATTTCCAGCTTATTTAAACATTTGTCCATCGTTCAACAAGCTTTTGAATCCCTAAGTCGTAGAAATCGCCCGCCTGCCAATACAAGATAACCAGCAGTTTTTAATTGCTTCTTTCACTTCATCATCTGTGTCGAAGCGCTCGCCACCACTTCTTTAGGTAGCGGAACAAGTGGAAATCAAAAATTGAGAAAAGTGGAAAACAAGTGGAGATCTGAAATAGTGATTCGTCGATCGTAAAGAATTTTTTGGTCAACCACATATTGGCCAAATCTTCTGAAATCACTTATGGTCGGTCAGACCGTGATTCATCATGCACATTTTCCTGCCCTTCATTCAGCACCCACTTGCACACTTAATTATTAAACTGTTATTAAACATTATTAAACTGTAGTAATCTGACGATGAATTTCTGCCGCTGAAACGTTTGTTGCGGACAAAACCCATATCACTGCCCTTTACTTTACAATCGGCGGGCCGACTAATTGCCTTAAATATTGTGAACTGACACTATAAGCAGCACACAGCAACAATAACAAATGCATGTCAGGAGTCGACACGCATGCATGTTTTGTTCTTGGCGCCCACTTCAAATAGTAACAGCCAGTCGGACCTTACTTTTGGAATAACCCTCGTACCTTGAAAATAATTCCAACTTCATCAGGAATACTTAAGATAATAGAATGTTTATAAAATTTATAAAATGATATTTTTATATGGGGCTCTACTGTAAAATTTGTGCTTAGATACCTGGATGATAACTTACAAACATTGAATGACTGTCCAACTAGTGCAGAGTACACCAAGTGTACATTACAGAGAAAAAAAACACACTCATTGAGATGCATTTCATCCTGGAAAATACACAACATTAGGTATAGTAAAACACATAAAGTGCAGTACATCCTACGATGCTATGTTCTTACTACTTCATCTACACTTTGGCCTGTGCAGTAAATAAAGTGTGGCAGATCTCAATAGTCTTACGTTTACCACACTAACGACAGGCCCCATTAACTTGTCAACAACCTTTACCCTGGGTAGGCCCTGGAAGTAGTTATGATATTTTATAGGGAAAATCACAAAAGCTGCATTAACTTTTTAAACGTAACTTTTAAAACAATTGGGGGTTTAACTATTTGCTTCCGAATTAAGGACCATAACATACTAACTTTATTCTAAACCGGGTTTTTTATTTTCAAAAATCCAATTTCCCGTTATCTACAGGGATTAATTATTTTTTATTGGGTAAAGCTTAAGCTATATTTGGTAAAGTACTATAAACTTGAATGCAGCCTATTTCCAAGAATGTGTTAGTGACTTACCCGAGGAGCCCAGTGCAGTAATGTAGAACTGAGCAAGTTGCCGTAGCGACTAAAGTCACAAACACACCAAATACCGTGCTTGATCGACCTGTTGTCATGTTGATTGTAGGCAATGTACATCATTGATGTCTTGTCTGTCCATCACGACCAAGCTAAGGGGCGATGTTTACAAAGGAACCGACACGATCACGAGACACTAGATAGTAGTTTGTTAATATTTATAAATTATCTACACTAGCTTTTTTCTTGATAATTGTGTTTCTATCTTTAATTTGTATAACAGAAAGACTTTTGCCAAAGAAAAAAAAACATTCGCCTTGTGTCAAGCTCATATGCTGAAAATATTCTATGCTATTCTCTAAACTGTTGTGAGATTTCTGTTACTGAACATTAGACTCTGTCTTATATGATTAAATTCCAACAATTTCTTTTTGAAATATTCGTTTTAATACTCTCCAAATTAGAGTCTATTGGATCGACAAATCCCTAATAATTAATAATCCAACAATATCCCCCTGTATTTTCACTATTCCTGCCTCAACTGGGCGGACACACGTCGACGTTGACTATATTACAGTTTGGTAGCTTGTTTACACTCAATTATGAAAAAAATAAATCTAACTTTATCACTCAAAAGTACAACGTTTAGGTGGTTTGTGCTAGCTGTGTATGACCAGCATAGCTGAGAAAGTAAAAAAATCAGTTCCATTATTTTACACAGAAATTTGAAAACCAGTAAAAGCCATGGGTTATAAAATATCCTCGGCGGTATAAAAATAAAATAGAACAGGAACCATTTTCCTCGGTGACTGCATTTTCTGGTGAAGATAAAGGAGGATTTTTCCAAAGCTCAAAGAAAGGCTTAAAGTGTTAAATTTAAAAGTAACAAATATTTCAATACATTTGTTTTCTTTAATCCAAAGCCAATGTTGTAACCCACGCTTGAGGCAGCGATCTGTTCGAGTGATAAATGGTTGTCAAGATAGCAACCAAATGTCCAGTTTTTAGGGGTTCTTCGGTTGTGTGATGTGAAAATATTCTGGTAAACAATTTCATATCCACCCATCCTGGCACCCTGCCTGAACCAATCAAGGGCACCAGTTGAGACTCCAATGTGTGCCCATGGTACATGTGGGACCAACAGAAGTCAGAAAGTAGGATTGAGAAGGAGGATTGAGCCAATTAACTGTTTGGGTAGTCGAGTAGTTGGTTGGTTTCAGAGCGAGATTGTTACCATACCCAGATGTAGTTTTTCATTGGGTCATCAATAAATGATGCTTTCTGGTCGGTGTTAGATAGTAACAAGACCAGGGTTTAGGACCATAACACTGACGAAAAATTGTAAGTGAAAATAAAATATAGTAGCAAGTAGATGCTAGCTGTCTTGGATTCACTGGGTGGGTACCCCTCTTTGATGAAGCCTAGAATTTCTTGGTCTTTGATCCGGCATGTTCTTCAGTGGTGCAGAAATCACACAGACGCCAATGTTGGAAGGAAAGGAGTGCCTCTAAAGTCCTTACCAATTATTTTTTTTAATGAACAAGGCATTCAAAAAAATCATGAGCTCGGTAAAAATAATTAATAAATAACATTTTTATTGTTTACAAATAATTAACAACAACTATAAACAAATAATATTGAATAAGCAGGCGAAGCGAAGTCGAAGTCTTCTGAAACAAACCACAATTTATGCGTCAAAATTACCAATGGACAGTTTAAAATAGATTACCACAGTAAATTTAAATTTTAATCTGGAGAGAGCTTATATTACTACGCTCGATTTCGAATACTAATAGTTTGTAGCTTGAGTGAGATATTATTCTCATCCATTAAGGTATTGACACTTAAAAAAACTAGGCGTATACATTCATGGGAACGCCAGAAGATGACTCGACTAATTTGAATATCCTCGTTTGAAGTTCATTTTTTGTTATGGTGAGTTTACGTTATTTAAGATATTGCGGCCTTTTGTCATCACGATAGTCACAAAACAGAGTTTTACGACGTCACAATCATAGATACGAATTTGAACGGATTGTGTTTTTGGCATCTAGGAACCTCAAAACGAAAAAGTAAATCAGTCTTGGGTCCAGGTCTTACTATGAGTAATACGGTACTACGGTAATAGCTTATTCTCTATAATGGGAAATTCGCTAAGACTATCAAGTGTGTGTATTTTAGGAAATTTTATGACTTCAACGGTACTCAAACCTTAATGATCAGTTTATAAACAATCAAGATATACCCTTTTTACCTTAGATATATACCTTTTACTTTCTCCACTAATTCATAGTATATAGAGTGTTGGCTTCGTCAAAATTTTCGAATTTGAGATTTGAGTGGATATAATATGTCCGTTTTTGGTCCCCATGAACCAAAAAAGCTGTTTTCGAAGTGATGTCTGTGTGGATGTGTACAGAGCTACAGACCACACCTGTTGTCAGATGTTGATGAAATTTGGTACGTAGGTACTAATAAATTATATCTCCAGACTTTTTTATTTTTCAAAATTTTTCCATAAAACCCTATAAAATAACGGAGAAATAAGATTTTCTCAAAAACAGTAGTATATTATATAGTCCTTTAAATTTTGAACAAAATGGTACAAACTATATTTCCGTAAAATTAAGGTTCCAAAGTAATAACTTATGTAATTTATCCATAAAAACCCTATAAAAACGAAAAATTGGATTTTAGAAAGGCCGGTCCTTGATTAAAATGAGTATGTTATGGTTCTTAAATTTTTGAACAAAATGGTACAGATCCCATTTTCGTAAAAAGTACACGGTTCAAAAGTTATTGTAAATTATGTTATTAAGAATTATTTTATAAAATCCTATTCACTATTGATGAGTATTGCTCCTGGTTAGTTCATATTTGGTTTATCGAGCGAATTTAAAAATATACCCTTTGGTGAACTCGAGATACTGCAATATGCTTACATAGTGGTCATCTCTTGATATAGAGTAGTCGGTCACAGCAACAGCGAGTGATCAGTCTGTGTTCCTTGCAACTGTTGGCGTGTAGGAAGCTGCAGTCGGCCAACTGACACTGCGGGGGCAGTCCTCCTTGATCTGCAACAAACACACCAGGATAATCTGTGAAATTCTGTAGCAGTCTAGTTCTACCACTACTGCAACTACTGTTGGCATGTATGAAGCTGCAGTCGGCCAACTGACACTGCGGAGGCAGTCCTTGATCTGCAACAAACACACCAGGATAATCTGTGAAATTCTGTAGCAGTCTAGTGCTACCACTACTGGAACCACTGTTGGCATGTATGAAGCTGCAGTCGGCCAACTGACACTGCGGGGGCAGTCCTCCTTGATCTGCAACAAACACACCAGGATAATCTGTGAAATTCTGTAGCAGTCTAGTTCTACCACTACTGCAACTACTGTTGGCATGTAGGAAGCTGCAGTCGGCCAACTGACACTGCGGGGGCAGTCCTCCTTGATCTGCAACAAACACACCAGGATAATCTGTGAAATTCTGTAGCAGTCTAGTTCTACCACTACTGCAACTACTGTTGGCATGTATGAAGCTGCAGTCGGCCAACTGACACTGCGGAGGCAGTCCTTGATCTGCAACAAACACACCAGGATAATCTGTGAAATTCTGTAGCAGTCTAGTGCTACCACTACTGGAACCACTGTTGCATGGGCACCCTTCACATTATCTTCGCTTCTCTCCCCATTTGCCAAACCCTTTATAGAGTTTTCATGAATATAATGATTTGACTTATGCTCTTCATCAGCTTTTTATTTGCTTACCTTTCACTTCCACCTTTTGATACGTTTTTTGTATTATAACTACTGAGCTAGAAATACAACTGGAGGTACAGTAGCACAGACAAGGCACCTCTGCTAGAAAATAGACGTTGTAATATTATATTTCATAGCAAGAGTATAGATAGACACACTTTCACTCGTGTTTTGAAAGTTACTACATAGACTAATTGTCTTAATTAAAACATACATAGGATATTTCTGTATTACAGTTAGGAACATTACAAAACTCATAGCATTTTTAGGTCATGCATCCAATTTAAAGTTAATATTTACTTAAGTTGTACAGTTTTGGTGGTTGAAAATTGATTCAGTTTACTAAACAATAACACATCTTTGTTTGCTTACGTCAGCAAAATAAAAAATATAGTAAACATTACTTTCGCATAGTAAACATTCCTTTTCCGTAGTAAACAATTTAATGATGAATTTTTGCAGGTGATAACATGTAACGAAAACAGGACATTTCACAGTAGTGTAACGAAAAAAACCATGTTAACCTTATACAAATCTTGATCTCTATCAAAATAAACGTAAAAAACATTTTCTAATAGATTACATAAATAAAAATTTTTAAAGATGTATATGATGGGAACTGGAGAATTATTGATAATTTATTGAGTTAGGGAGGCCTTTGACTTGTATTAGGTTGGATATTTGTATGGAACAACATACCGTAAGGATTGAGGCAGCAGCAGGCGTCGTGCAATAGTTTGTCGCTGCAGTAAGGATAGACACTGGAGTCGCAGTATGGACACCCAGGATTCCTTTGCTTGGCGACAGTAACTCCGAGGGTGTTGTCAGCCACAGGTGCGCTGGCTGCTGGGGCGATCACCTTCCTGGCTGTCGCTGGCATTGGCATTGGCATTAGCATTGGCACAGTCGCTGCCACTGGCACTGAGTCAGCCGTCTGCAGCAGCGGCACCGGGTACCACAACAGACTTGGCACGGAGAACTGCGGACCTGGTGAATCCGAGCATAATAAACATTACCAGAAAACTAAAACTCATAGTTTCTCTTAGCCTATTCGAAATTCTGTTTTTATCTTTTTATAGAAACGTAAGGAAGCTTTATATGAAATACTTTCGGCCAAAAATATTATTACCATCTTTGGACTAAAAGAAAATTGTCCAAAACATTTCGGTACAAATGAATTGAGCACTAAGTCTCTATCATCAAAAGGGTCCACACATCAACGCACCCGAATCACACAACGTACTTCAGTTCTAATATGGCTCTAGAATTTGTCGTTCCTCTATGCAACAGTAAATTGTGAATAACTGTATATAGACGCTGAGGATACGTTTCCCTCCATTTGTCGACCATCCAGCCAGCAAGCCTTAAGATCGTCGTTCTCTGATTATTTGACATAGATTGAGATTTATTGATATTTTTATTGACAACAGGAGCAGCCACCTCCCCTCTTCTCGTATGAGCTATCTGCTGCTCGCACGGATCATCTGTTGCGAACAACCAACGAGGGTTTCCACTCACGGCTCAATAAATAATGTCCATTGTGGCAAACTAAAATGTTCACCGTGTTTATATTTTTGAAAGATCTCGAATCTATTAACGCAAATTAAATGTGTGGCTAAATTTTATTTGGTCTATAAAAAATACAGTAAAAATAATGAGAGGAGTATTTTCCTTTGAATATGTTATGTTTCATTTTTGTTGTTGTTTCAGCTTGCGGAATGACTTATGCTGGATCTAGAACAATCAAGAAGCCTGGTACACGTTTTCCTTTAGGATAGAAAGGAAACTTATGAAAAGGTTTCCTAACGTACGTAAACCTAAGTACCTTATTAATAACCTTAATAACGAATACAAATCGAAATTCTAATGCCAATAATTTTAGACACGATTACTAGAAAAATATTTTTCTAGTATTTTTCTAGTAATCGTGATTTTAGGTAAACTAAGTCATCATCATTTCTTCGGGAGAACACAACATTTATATATCTCGAGTTAAATAACTCCAAATTTTAGTACACATTTACGTGTAGTTTGTATATTCAATTGTTGTTCGGCAGTCACCAACCAAATGTGATGGATTATTTCAAAGTGAGCATCACTTTTTAACCATACAGATATTATTTTATATTTTACTATTACGTTTTATATTAGGTAGTGAGTAAAATTTCCGGTTTGTACAAATTCGTTGTTTTCTGAACCGGCTGAACTGTGTATGATGAGTTATAGTAGTTAGTCAAGTAAATATTTTGAAAACCCTTTAGCTATTTACTCCGGATAGCCAATTTTTTTATTTTTTTAAATTTGTTTCACAATTAACGTATTTTGTAATAGTATCTAGTAGTATATTTATTTCATAACAAGAGTATAAAGTGAGTCATTACATATTTGAGGCCATGTTTGAAGTGCGAGATTCATCGAGCACTTGAAATGGTCGAGAATATGTATAGACCCACTTTCATTCGTGTTTTGAACGTTAAGTTACTTTTCGCTACACTACAAAGAATAATTATTTTTTCATTACTCAACTCAAGGATTTTTTAAAATTATGCCTTCAATTTAAAGTTACATTACTAGGGTTGTCGAAAATTGAGACCGTTGAAAAAACTATAGCAAATATTTGTTTGTTTACGTCGGCAAAATCCAAAAAAGATAGTAAACATTATTTTCCGTAGTAAACAATGTAATGATGAATTTATGCAGGTGATAAACATGAAATATAACGAAAACAGACCATTTCACAGTAGTGTAACAAAAAAATATCTTTACGCTACACTACACTCTTTAACGAACTTCCCATGCAAGGATTTAGTCCAGAAAATAGCTGTTTCCGCCAGCTTAATTAAATGGGGTTTCATTTCGTGCTACTATACTGTAATGCATTTTTACCGGACACCAACCAGCTGATTATATTTGCAATGAGTAAAAACATAACCGCTCTTGGAGGTTATGAATAGTTATGTCACCTTTAGTCCTTTAGTATGTGGGAATATAAGGATTTGTTCAATAATATACTACAAACTGAACATATTATGGCTTAAAAACATAGTTCGACATTTTAAACCAACTATATAACTTGAGTTTAGTTTATGCCATGCCTGGGTTTATGTTAGGTTTATTCTGGCTTTACATTGTTTCCACAACACACTCGTCTCGGTTCTGCCCAAGAGAGGTTATACTTGGCAGAAGATTCAGTGTTGTGTCTAGGAACACTAACCAGATGGCTCTTTGTGTTTTGCGTTGTGTCTTACTCTACTATTTGAACCACATAGAATTGAACGCCACATTAAGTGTGTTTCTCGACTACTCAGCGTTGAAAGGCACGTTTATACATTTTCCCGCCAAATGAACAGAAAAATAAAACATAAATATGAGTAAACTTTTAGTTCGTCAAACCAGAAATTTTAGTTTTACTGATATACAATTGAGAAATTATACTACTGCACCATTTTACTACTGCACCATTTTACTACTGCACCATTTTACTACTTCATTTTACTACTGATAATACTGAAAACGTGCTCTAGAAAAAAAATTAAATTAAACTATTGGCATTGGAATTTTGATTTGTATATATTATTATATTTGTAAACCAATATTTTTAACTTGAAATAAAATTATGCTAAATTCAAGGAAGATATCGAATTTGTTTGAATGTATAAAACATCTGCAATGTTTTAAAAACACTGTAAAAACAATCACAGTGGTTGAATTGGCAGAAGTAAGAATGTATAATTATAATAATTTACAGTTCAAAATTATGATGTTGAACTCTCATTAAAGGACGAAATTAACCATTGTATAACTATTCTATTATAATTCTTTTCTTTTAATTTGGACAGTTGGTTAAAATTTATTAGGCAACTATAAGTACTGTATAAGTGTATAAGTGAAGCTGATTCATGTTTGAAAATACTGTAACTTTATTGTTTAATTTAATAAAAATCCATGCACCACAACGGAAAGAGTACGCGAAAGAGTTATGTGTTACATATGTATTGTTCATTTAAGAAAAAAAAAACACTTTTTTACCACTTAGTGTAGTACAAGTCTTTTCTTTAAATTCAGATAATGGGTTAGTTAATGACAATTTCAGTACAATTTAAGCACAACTATTTTAAATATTAAAAACAATGTAAAAGTGACGCTTATTCGTGTTTAAAAATACTTCAACTGTTTGATTTAATAAAAAAAAAACATAAGATAAACTTTTAAAGTTAAAACCTACATTAATACTAAAATTCAAGACCATAAAGTTAATAGATCCAAAGTAATCTAACAACATAACGTAGTGTAACAATAAAATCAATCACTTTATAGTAATGTTTCATAAAATAAATATGTTTTACCCAGATCATTCAATTTCAGCCACGCCTCATAACGTGTAACTTATTATACAGGGTGTCACACGAGAGGTGTCTCACATTGATTACGGAAAAACGGCTTAAACTGGCTGTGCCACTTGACATATGTTGTTATTTAAAAATTTTGAACATTGAGCATTTGCAAATTTTCAAAAATAATTTTTTTTTGAATTTTCATTATTAAAAAAACGTTACTTTTCGCATATCACAGTAAAGCTAATTTCATAACGAGTAAGAAAATTCAACCGGAGAAGGGCTAAATGCATTGGTATAGGAAACACAGAGTATAAAAAAATTTAATAATAATATCTAAGTTCTTACCGTCAACGCAATCAGGGGTAATATTTCACTACGGCCGTTTCGGAGATGACTCCATTGTCAGGTGCGTAGTGGTACACTAAACTATAGTCTTGTCACATTTAACACGAGTTTTCTTCATTTGCATTGCGTCAGGGGGTGAATAAATAATACACACATATATGTACAGGACGGACACACGAAAACACGAATACACGAAAACATTTAGAGCACGTGCACGGCTAGAAAACTGACGACCGACAATAATTTTTGTATATACTGTATATAATATATAAAAAAATTAATAAAAAAACTGTTGCCATTTTGAAACAGAAAAATATAATTAATTTCTGTTTTCGCCAAAATGTTTGTCTATTAAATACCTTTAAAATGATGTATAATATGACATATGTTTACGTTTGAAAATTCCGAGATTTGAACTAGTGACCCTCAGTTTGTGACACACCCTATTGGAAAAGATTTAAAAATAGTTTTACGTTATTCTTTGGGGTCGATTTAGAGGGAAATAGTTTTATTTCATCCTTGTACGTTAAGCCGTTTTTCCGTAATCAATTTGAGACACCTCTCGTGGGACACTCTGTATAAAGTAGACTATGGAGCTTAATTCTACAAAACCTTTACTGTACTACCTTTCTTAGTTGACTATATATACCTACAGGTATATAAACTATATATACCTATAGGTATATATTGTCAATGATTGAACGTAGACCTCTTACTGATAGTACAGGTAAAATAATACAAAAACACTTTATATAAACAACAAAATTTGTACATTCATGAAATTTCACCTGTGAGTTACTAATAATATAGCCTTAAAAGATGAGCACAAATTTTACTGTATCACTTTAATAGTATAATAGATTTTTAGTTTTGTTAATCATGTTTAACAAATTCTTTGTGCCTTTACTTAGTGTTCAAAACTTATTTTAATAAAATAATAGTGCTTACAAAACAATGCCAACCATGCAATACTATATTATCCAATATTATAACATAACAATATTATCCAATGATTTGTAAGGCAAGTGTTACGTGACGGCATACATAAGTGTTGCAGATAATTTACATCAAGTGTGGTGTCCGGTTAAAAGGCTCAAATGACAAGGAAAAAACATAGAGCCATTAGTTCAAGAGCCTGTGCCTTCCGTAAGATACTCTAAAGCCACGTTCACAACAACTGTGTTTAAACAAACTGTTTAAGAATTTTTTTTGACATCACCCGTTGTCATTTTTTTGCGTAAACAAGGTTTTGGGTGGGATAAACTACTATGTAAACACGGTTGACGGCCCACCCAGTAATACTTTACCATCAATTAATCCATGTTTTATCAATTATAAATTATTGAGATGGGAACGCCACCTATGTTAGTATTTTAACCCAAATATGAGTGAAGGATGAGTGTAGAATTGAGTGAGATTATATGTGTAGCATTGTTACTGACTAAGATCAGCTGTTTAACTAGCCAAGATCATTTATTTGATGCCCAATGATCAGGAACAACTGGGTCCAGTTTCCAATCATCAAAAAGCAACTGACTTTTCTCAGGATCGAACCGGCGAGGTATAGTTTGGGAATTCAGTGTATATCGGTAAGCATTCCGTTGTTCTACTATTTTAAAATCAAATACATGAATTGAAAACATCGCTCGACTCACCCGGGACTGCGAGGACCGCTGTCAGGACGGCCAGGACCACGGAGGCTGATGACCACACGACATACATGGCAGCAACTGAGGTCCTGATCCTGAGCTCCTCCTCCCCTCCTCCCCTCCTCTCCTCATCATAATCACCAACCTCAGGTATTGGCTCAATAATAACGCTAAATTACCATTAATTAACATGAATTAAACGGCTCCATTCCGAATATCCGTGAGATGTTTCCGTTGTTTCGTGTTGACAGCTGTATCAGGTTGGTCTTTCAGGTGTTCACGCTCCAAACATATTTCAGATTTAAAAGTATTTTTTAGTGATGTTTAATCGATTGACTGATTATTTTGGATCTGTTGGATATGTACACAATTGGCTTTTGTGGTACGTTTGGACCCCATTCGCTACAACCAGTTGATAAGGACGCATTTGATATCAAATGAAAGCTCTTCCTTTTACTCGTGCCTTTGGTGGGTTTAATTTAAATACAATTCACTCCCATATACTAGTCTTGGTTCTGTTCAATTATTGTAACATAAAGCATGCAATGAAGAATTTTTTGCATTCAATCAGTGGACTCGGGCTGTAAGTTGATTGAATGATTGTCATAGTAAAACCTTCGACTATTAATACCCAATAGTCAATGGTAAAACTTAAATATTTTTCACAAACAGTTTCCTAATAATATAAAGTAGTAACAAAACATTAATATTGCATGAAACTATAGTTATTTAGATTCCTAATTAAACTCATTACAATATAATTTGGTTTAGTGATGCAGGTACTGTACCACAAAAATTTAAAATATTTTAAAACCTAAACGGTAGCGATATTCTATACATTTTCAAGCATGTACATACTATTGGTTACACGCAAACTATACTATTGGTTACACGCAAACAAGTACATTTTATTTGAATTAAAAAGCTGTTTAAAAGGTAACTAAACATACAATTACGCATCTGTGGTATGTAGGAAATAACTATCATAAGAGGCTTAGCGCTCATTTTAAAATCAATTAAAATTATCTAATGCCCGTAGTCCAAGATAACAATTGATTCCTGTTGTATCGAAGAAGTAGCGTTAAGTGCTTACGTCTCAAAAACTGTATACTTGGAAAATGTATAGTTTTTTTTATGACATTACATTTAATTAAAATAAAATGAAGAAAGCGATTAAAATCTGGTCTAAATCATACACATCCAGTAGAGTATCAGCTCACTTGACTAGAACATCTCGAGAACGGGCTATACAGTTTTAAAGGTTCTTTAAATATATTGTCTTGTCATTACCATAATATAAAACACAACTAGGTCCATTTAAACCCAAACTAACCAACCCGTGTGAAGCATTTGCACTAAATCCTTCTCAAATCCCACTTAGTAAGTTAATCTGATCCGTATCAGAGAAGCTCCGCAAATAAAACTAAGTTCAAGTTCAGACACCAAGTTCAAGTTGGTGTATTTACCGAAGATGTCCTTGATTTCCACATATTCTACATGTGTGAGGCGATGGCGAGGCGAGGTTGATGGCCCCACAACTGTGCCAAACCGCCCGCTGATGTCCCGTTACTGCCCCCAGCCACGCAGACCTGTCAAATCAGTTTTAAAAGAGTAGTAAACTATTTTTTGGACTCGTATTCATTACAAAAGTATAATATCTTTCAACATATTGTTCCCATCTTGTTAGTATCATTAGACTACTAATGATAAACACTTCATCTGCGCTGTTCCCAATTTAGCTTATTTTGCTATATATTCTAATTTTTTGGCTGCAATTTACATCACTGTATATACACATTAACTAATTTGTTATTTCAAATACTAAGCTCTTGCTTAACTGGAATCTCGACTCTAAAAAGCCAAAGGTTAAAGATTTAATTACTAAGATAGAGATTAAATTTCACGTCACAAACCTACATTAAATTTAGATTTTTCTTTGAGTAATTTAATTTATATTTTAGCTCAATTTTACGTTATTGTTTCAAATGGTTCTTAAGTTTTAAATTAGAAGTTATTAAATGTTAGGCTATTGTTGTGTTTTTAGTCGCAAGTATTATATCACTAACCTTTTCTATGAATTATTATTTTTAATTTATATCAAATTCAGCACATGTTGAATTTAAATATTTTAATATTTTTTATGTTAAGTATTTTTTAACATTTATGTAAAGTTAATATTTTTTATGGTGGTTCTTCTCGTTAATCTTACATAGCTTACGATTTAAGTTTATACAAAAATTCATACAGATATTATTTATTTTACCTAATGCGAATCTTTGTGAAAAGGATCCAAGTAGGAATACTTTCGGCAGGTAAAAATCAAATACAATTAATATCTTCTTCATGAATTGCATTGTTCTATGTATATAATATGAGTATAGATTGCATAGTTGCAATTTTCTTTCCCAGAATCTGCATCGAGAACCATAAAACTGTCTGTACAACACACTTAAGTGGCAGGTTATGTGAATACTGTATACTCCATGGTGGTAGCCCGGAGTTCCATGGCCCCATATGGAAAATTAATACATTTAAATACTAACAGTTACCCTGCGCACGTTGCTGCGCTAACTATATTATTTTAAATGGTAATTTGTTCTTTATGATAAATAATAAAAATATATACCAAAAACAAAAGTATAATACTTATTTTACTTAATTGCCAGTGGATAAACAATGTTTTTTTGTTTTTTCATTAGGTACCTATATAAATATATAAGTTTATAGGTTCATAGTTCATTAGTTCATAGTTCATTAGTTCATAGTTCATTAGTTCATAGTTCATTAGTTCATAGTTCATTAGTTCATAGTTCATTCATTCATAGTTATAAGTTCAGTTTATAGTTCACGTGCATGCTCCACGTGAGCATGCAACATACAGCTGTCCGTGTGAAATTGTAGTCACTTGAGTTCAAAGGGTGATTCGGAGGAAATCATCGGTATTCTTGGGATTAAGACTATTCCTCCTTCAAACTTACCACTAATGATTGTTGCTTCGATCAAGTTTGGTGTCATTTTTTCAATCGTTAGTCTGGTTCCGTTGGGGGATTTAAGTTTCGCATTACAGTAGTATTATTGGAGTTCCTTCGTTTAATAACAGTAATGACAAATTGGGAGGCATTTGAAAACCTGAGATAGCACGCACGATCATTATTCACTTAATAATTTTGTAATAGGTTGTATGGGTATAGAACAAAAGATAAAAATATTAACGCATTACCATCCCTATTATTGTTTATAATACTTTGATAACGGTTTTTACTTTTTATGTTAACATATTTAATAGTGGAGAATTTAAACGTTGTTGATTGCACAGGCATGCTGTGATTGAGGTTTAATATACTATCCAAAGTAATTAAAAGCTTTATAGTTACTGTATGCAAATAGACCCACTTTCACTCGTGTTTTGAACGTTACTTTTTGCTACCTACACTACAAAGAATAATTATTTTCTTCATTACAAAACTCATAGAATTGTTTAGGTAATGCCTTCAATTTAAAGTTAATGTTTACTTCAGTTGCTGAAAATTGAAACAGTTGATAAAACAATAACAAATATTTGTTTGTTTACGTCGGCAAAATAAAAAAAAGATAGTAAACATTACTTTCGTATAGTAAACATTCTTTTGCCGCAGTAAACAATGCAATGAAAAGTAATGATAGATTTTCGCAGGTGATAAATATGCAACGAAAACAGGTCATTTCACAGTAGTGTAGCGAAAAATATAATGTGTAACACGAGTAACACTTAGCACACTTTGCACACTTAGTTACACAAATCGCCCATTTGTAATCAAACTTGTTTCTAATAATAGTTTTACGATATGCCTTCAAAACTTTGGTTGGTTCGTTGTGATACATGTTACACACAAATGTAGCTTCGGAAGTTTTGTAGGGGCTTTAATCAGTTGTACCCATGACTATATACTGTATATATATATATTATCCACTCAGAGCTGTATATGGTTCTAAATAAGGTTTCAAACCTTAATTGAACCGTAATCTTAATTCCTTGAATGCTGTTTTCAGCTAAAAGAAATGCTGAAGGTAAAGGATAGTACAAAATATTAAAGTGCATACAAATACAGGGAGATTAAAAGAAAATTATAAGGCTATAAATTAATTACTGCTTGGTTTTAAAACATTTACTAATTTTAAATAGGTACTTATTTCCCCCCCTCTTTAGTGATCACAATTTTCAATTTTGCTTTGTGTTTTTGTTTTATTTATATTGTGCTTCGTTTGAAAACTTCAAACAATTGAGTTTTGAATATCACCCTTTGAGCAGTAACAATACAGAGAAATATTACGGTGCACTGAAACTAAGTCAATCCTACTGATTACTGATTAGTATTTCATAATACTGTATTAGTTTGAGTATAAATACAATTTATTTTGGTCAATGAATTTATTTTGGATACTTGATCATGTATGTAAATCATAATTCATTTACAGTACTTGTATCTCGTTTTTCTGAAAAAATAACACGTAAACTGTAAACGATTTTGGTGTGGGACATCCTGTTCTTTCAGAAACAAGGCAGAGCAAGTCAAACTGAGGTTAATTGAGATGTAATTAAGCCTAAGGAGATTAAACAACTTGGCATGAGTGTGGCATCTGGCCAGCCCCTCTCTGTAGTTAGGTTTCGTCCACAGTGGGATGTTTCGTATAATGGAATGTTTGCCTATTGGGTCTGATGGTGATGACTATAGGCTTACAGTGTCACTGGTTTGACTTTAGATAGACGTTTATGTTTTAGAAACTGAGGAATTTGTAGTTGGAAGATAAATACCTCCGTGAACTAAAATTATTTGGAAAGATTTGCACTGATAAAAACGTTGAACAACATTCAACGTCATCATTCAGGGTCAATCATTATACAGGGTGTCCGGTCATAAGTGTTAAATTAAATTACCCGTCAAACTGCATCATAATGGTGATTGAATGACGCCTAGTTGAGGTTCCCAACTCTTATAAAAGGCAAAGAAAAGAGGTAAAGGTAAAAGAATAAAAGATAAATTAATATTTTATTTAAAAATGGTAGTTTTTATGAAAAATACCTACATTACTATGTAAGAAAGCTTGTTAAAATAAAGGTCGTTTTTGAAATTCTCACAAAAAATACAATAAGAATAATACATAAACATTGTGGTATTGAATGAGATTCTACTTAAGTTTCATCGTAAAAGTTAAACATTTTAACAAAGACAAAAATTTAATAAATATTAAAATTTTTATATCTATGTCGCGGAGTTCCGATGAAAGTGTCGAATATTATCAAAGCTTACTCTTCAAATAAGCATTAAAATTATCTATAATAAATATCCCTTAATTGCCGTCACATTGCATAGTGTAATTCATGCGTCATTATGAAAATACCCCCGCCGCAGCAAACCTGCAGACTAAGCGAATTTCCATTTGCCTGATTGGATTTAGACTAAAATGTCTCCTTAAAAATATCACATTTATTCCCTATTTAAATAGAATCAGTTTAACACATACTTAGGTTTGCTGCAACAGGGAGGGTAAAAGTGTTTTTTATGTAAAATGTTAATAGTTAGTAAGAAATAAAAACATTTTCCAAATTTGGGCAAAATATGTTAATCAACAAGCACACTACAACGGTTTACTTATTCTCCATAAGAATAACATGGGAATTTTAAATTAACAATTTTTTGGAATTTTCTCCGTAACCATTAGGCGCATTATAACGCTTCAATATACTAAATTATTTGTTTTTTAAGCTCTACAAAATAGTTTGGAAAGAAATTTCAAAATTTTATGTTTTTTTGGTCAAAATTAGGAAAAACCCATTTTTACCCCATAAAAGCCCCCATAAACCCCTGTTCCCATAGTCCGATCATGCTGGTTCGCGAACTCGTTCGAATAAACGTAGGTTTACACGTTGGTACCAAATTTCATCAAAATCGGATCATTTTTGCTCGAGTTATCGCGCTAACGGACACACATATATATATATATAAATATATATATATATATGAATTTGAACGGATGGTGTTTTTGGCCTCTAGGGACCTCAAAACGAAAAAAAAAATCGGTCCCGGGTCCAGGTCTTACCATGAGTACTACGGTAATAGCTTATTCCCTATATGGGAAATTCGCTAAAACATGGCCATGATAAAGGCCTGTAATTTTAAGTATAATAAAGTTAACATACTATTTCGCGCAAACGATGTTTGGGTACTGTAGGCATACCAATGGTGACGAAATATGCATATCTTATTAATCTCGAATCGAATAAGACCTAAGTTGACTGTTTATTTGTGACTGACTGAATGTTTTTTTTTTAGGACTCGGCTTTGTTATCTTAGCTAAATTGTTGTTACTATTGTAATAATTGAATCTATTAAATACGGGTATTAAATGAAATACCCCCGCCGCAGCAAACCTGCAGACTAAGCGAATTTCCATATGTCTGATTGGATTTACACTAAAATGTCTACTTAAAAATTTAAAATTTATTTCCTATTTAAATAGAATTATTTTAACAGGTACTTAGGTTTGCTGCATCAGGGAGGGTAAAACTTTTTTTTGTAAAATGTTAATAGTTAGTAAGAAATAAAAACATTTTCCAAATTTGATCAAAATATGTTCATAAACAAGCAAACTACAACAGTTTACTCATTCTCCATAAAAATAACATGGGAATTTAAAATTTACATTTTTTTTGGAATTTTCTCCGTAACCATTAGGCGCATAGTAACACTTCAATATACTAAATTATTTGTTTTTTTAAGCTCTACAAAATGGTTTGAAAAGATTTTGCAAAATTTTATTTTTTTTGGGTCAAAAATGGGAAAAACCTATTTTTACCCCATAAAACCCCCCGTAAACCCCCGTTCCCATAGTCCGATCATGCTGGTTCGCGAACTCGTTCGAGTTTATCCCGCCTTACACCTTCAAACCAAATTTTATCAAAATCGGACAAAAATTACTCAAGTTATCGTGCGGATGGACACATATATATATATATATATATATATACATATATATATATATATATCTATATATAGATATATAAAAATTTGAACGAATGGTGTTTTTGGCCTCTGGGGACATCAAAATGAAAAAGTAAATCGGTCCCGGGCCTAGGTCTTACCATGAGACCTACGCTAATAGCTACTTCCCTATAGGGAAATTCGCTAAAAAAAAATGATTCAATTGAACAACTGAATTAGAATGAAGATAAACTTTTCTTATTTCATATCAAATAAAGGCAAATTAAAAGAAAATCGCGAAATGCCCCAACTTGCACAAACGTCACCAACAAATTATGTGTTTCTTGATGCATTTACCAGTTTAGAATTTGTTGTCGCATCCGATATTAATTACCAATGATTGGTCCAGACTTTAAATTTCTGAACTGTATTTGTAATTGTACCTGTATTTGTATTACGCCGGTGCATCGTTATAGATTGTTGGCGAGTGCTTTCATTTGACAGTCTTTTGGGCGGCCGTCCCTGAGAAATACAGAATATATAAACGGCGATAAGAATGATTTGATTTGACACCTCCAGATCTGAACTACGCAAGGCTGTAACCAGGGGGGGATTAGGGGGGTCAAACCTAGTTAGGGGGTCCCCCCCACCGAAATCCCTGAATTTAGTAGTAAAAGTATTGCGGTATCCTACAGTATGTTGAAATTTATAAATGCAATCGTCAAAGTTTAGTTTTCAAAATGTCTACTTGTTCATCACAAATTAAAGGGGAAATGGGAGGTTTTTGGACACAGTTGTAGACGTTGAACATGGATTTATAAAGTCACCAAACTCCTTTTAGGAGGATATGACCGTAGTCTACATTATGTTTTAAAGGGGTTTTTTGGAGAATTGGACACAGTTTTAGGCGTTAAAAATGTCTTTAAAAAGTCACTAAACGGCGTTAAAAATATCATTTTTTCTAAGGCACAGGACCACACCCCAAACCCTCCCCCTTTGATGCAACCACCACTGACCAGACCCCACTCCCCAAAAGTTTGTCCTGGCTACGGCCTTGGAAATATGCCATTGAAAAAGGGTAATCAAAGGTTTAGCAACTGCATTAAACAGTTCAATAAATAATTTATTTCTTCACATAAGAAAATAAGCAACCGTTCCTTTATATACATACATTTGTACACAGTGCTATTTTTACTAAGACTTGACGAGACACAGCCATTGTAAAGTACAGTAAGTGGTTGTTAGCAGTGCGGTGTGACGACTCTATGCAGTGGAGGGGTCCAGGGCGGAAGTATGACGTAGTGCGATTACTACCGGAAGTAACCAGGTTGGAGAAGCCAAGTGGACGGAAGTTAAGCCGTTAGAAGCCTCTTCCTTCACTGGAACAGTAACACTCTAATTAGGATTTAAATCACTTTCGAGCATGAGGCAATTTTGTGTTCAAGTCTACAAGAAGAAACTTGAGTTATCAAATAAGGGAAACAATAAAAAAATCCAGGAAAACGGAGACACACAACTGACTTGTCACACTATACCATGCATCGTCATACAGTTGGGGCTAAACAAATATATTATCAATATTTAAAACAGAATGTCACACAACCTATTTATTAAAAAGGTGTTAAACAATCAAATATTTTGCAAATAATACCATTGTACTATTTGTACAGAATTAGCAGTCAGGCTTACTAAGTAGTAGTCTGTGTGATTATATGCACAAAGTGACAAGGTGTACATGGTACAAGAGACTCAATCAATATGGAATATGTCCAAGAGTTAAAACACAAAGCCTAGTCGACATCATATCCAAAGTCCAAAGTGTATTCTAACCGATGTGCGGAATTTGTAATTCATGAGTTGGAAAAAAACGTTCTTTCCTAATTTATACCCAAATTTACACCTAATTTATACCCAAATTTTTCTCATATTATATTACCATTTATCTATCTTCATAGTTATTTGTAGGATAAAACATAAAATAATGCTGACGGCTTGCGAAGGGTGCTCGAAACAAATCTGACGACATAAATCTGGTGTCACCCAACTAATGTGCCAAACCTAATAATATTGAAGAGTAAAGAGTATTGTTTTTGATCCATGTGCCAAACTTAAGAATGATGTTTTAGACAAGAGTCAAACACTTAATTGATGTTGTTTTAGAATGGAAACAAATCACTTTTGTCTATTATATTTGTTAATTTAGTACAGGAAATCCAGTAAAGTATGCAAAAAATAATAGTACGTAATCATTTTGCGTGCAAAATTCCCACTCGTGAAAAATCACACACTTGCTCAAATTAAACATAAGCCAGTAGAAAGAACCAAACAAACAAAAATCTAACATCAAGTACCTCCACCAATTTGTTCAGTGATTTTTTGAAGCAGTAATGGGGTTACGGCTATGCTGCTGGGTGTGGGAATACTCTCATTTCGATCTCTATCCCTCACTAAAACAGTGTCAGGAATATATCACAAAAACATATGAATTGACTTGTAATCATTGGGTACTAATATATAAACTCGGTGATACCATAGACAAAAAGAATTAAATTAATATAGACTGTGAGCTGTGCTATGGTTACCATAGGTTCTGGCGCACACCGCTGGGAGCGCCGTGTAGTTACGTAGCGTACGCCGTAACTATGACGCTCGCAGCGGTGTGCGCCAGAACCTATGGTAACCGTAGCACAGCTAACGGTCTATATTTAATTCTTTTTGTCTATGGTAATACTCGTAATCTTGATGGAAAATAAACATAGAAATTTAAATACTGAATATAAACAGATAGATAATGTCTTGACGCTCTTAACCATCGTGCTGGATAAACAGACAATTTCTAAACAACAATTAATTGATTAGGGCACACGAAATACGTATTGCCTTTGTTCTAACATTGAAAAACAGCATTGTTTCGCAATACACTGCTGACAGCAGATCAGATACTAACAGCGCGGCAGCAGCACGGCGTGACAGCAGCACTCCAGCACTCGCACGTACTCCAGACAGTCAGTGGCGAACGTGGGATGGAAGCGGTTAGGCACGTAGCAAGTGTGCTGCATGTAGCCCAGCCGTTCTGCAACATTTACACACATAAAGGATTGTTATGTTTGGAGCAATTTCCCTTACAAGTTTACTAAATTTTTATTCAAGATTGATAAGAGGCATAATTCTTAGACACAGTTTAAGACTCATTACACAACTTAAAAAATAGTAAGTGGTTTAGTTATTGATCAAACATGGAAATTCAATCTTTTGAAATAAAACAAATGTTGGAGAAGAAAGTCATGAATTATTCAGTCTACTTAGGCTATGTATGAATTTATTTTGATACTGAATTCTCGGTCTTGTGGGCGAGAGCCGCTTGAAGTAGGTATTTACACTTGTGTATAAGAACAAACGTTTCCCCCATTCTAGGGGCCTATGTTGAGGCATTCTCATTGGCAAAGCTGAGATTAGACATCAGGATTCGTATCAATCTCAGCTTTGCCACTGAGAATGCCTCATCATATTATGGGCGAAACGTTATACAAATGTAAACACCTACTTGACGCGGCTCTCACCGAAAAACTGATAACTCAGTGATGACACCGGCCGCTTACAAATGAAGATTAATTTTAAGATACATTTTTGAGGATTTAAACATTTTGCTGACTAAAGCTACCGAAGTCGTGTTCATCTTCGCCGCAAGAGGTCACACAATATCGAAACATTCTGAGGATTTTCGTAAAATAACAATAGTTAATGTTTGGTATGGTACCCTTATGTCTGTGGTCGCAGAAGCAGTGGTCCATGACGAGGTCCTCGCTGAGACAGTAGCCAGTCTGTTGCTGCGTGCAAGTCTTGCATCCCTCACCCATCACTGCAACACCGACACCGGACATTCATAGCTACAGTTTAGCCAGACTACATCAGATTAGTCAGAGACAATGTTGATGTAGGCAGATCTGGTGGGTTAGCTACACAAGACAAACCAGCTAAAAGTTGCATCTTGGTTTTGAATTTCTCTGTAGATTTTGTTTCTGATGGAGTTGCATGGTCGCAAGGTTTTCCCGAGATAACAAGGGTGTACCAAGTCGAGTACCATCTACTTCTAAGTTGATATTAGCTGATCTGTTACATAATGGAAGTAGTATGTAGGTTACCTACTTCCGTGTTGCTTGCATTTGAGGTTTTTTTAATCCATTGTTTTTTAAAATGTTCCCAATGCATTATTGATTCAATTAATTTAATTATTTATTCGCCTCGGTCCCCCGGTACTATATCTAACATATATATTAGTATGATGGATTAAACAATTCATACGTTTGTTTATGTCTTTAACCCGTTTAGGCAATGTTAGACAAAATGCTAGTCTTTGTATTGTATAAAATACTGGTGTCTAAGAAAATCAATTAATCATCGTAGGTAACAATGAAATAGATTTGTCGAGATGTGGCAGCAATCACGAACACGTTCGTTTTATTCGATCACGTAAAAGGTATTTTGTTATTCAGAAAGGCTCAAGGCTCCTGTGTGAGTGTACACATATTGTAATGCATTGGCATAAGGTTGTGGTTGAATAATATTTACTAATCGTTTTAGTAAATTTATAATTAAACTTTACATTAAACATCAGTAGGTGTGGTCGGCACACCCTGTTATACACGGGACGACACCGATATAACGTCAACATGACGGGTTACTGTATCTTTCTTGTACAGAAGGCTGGGAACCCGAATCTTTCCGCATTTGATGAAATTATAAAAGCAGTTAATAATCGACAACATTATTAAGTTACATTGACGTGGTATGTTAAATCGGAATCAATAATATGTTTTTACCTAACCCGCCATGTTAAACTTCCCTATCCCAAGCGTGATGTATACAACTTCCTTACTTCTCGAGTGATGTAAAGTATCAAAAACTCACTCGGTGATGTAAAGAAACCCATTTAAATAACATTGACTGCTTAACTTAAAAAATATAACTCTATGGAGCCAACGACGTTCAACGCTAGAAATCAGCTGTGCGCTTGAATGTTATTGTTATGCTTTAATAGTTATTTGTGCAACTAGTGAGAAAAGTGATCAATTGACTCACTCGAGAGAAATCCTTACTCACGAGCCGTAGGCGAGTGAGGAATGGTTTCTCGAGTGAGGCAATTGTACTTTGAACTCGAGTTGCACATTATACTTTTCCTACAGTTACCATAAAACAAATAAATTGGTGAAGAAACATAACCTATTTTTACACAGAAGTGAACTTTTAATATAACATTTAACGTGAAGTGACAAATACAACACAGTACAATAGCTGACCAGCTGATTTACAGCCAGTGCTGCCAACGTATTTCGCGCGCATACGACGTTGCCTGCATGCTACGCGCTCACTTTTTCGTGCCTTCACGTTGAAAATCTGGAGTGAGACAAAGTAATTAGAGTGAGACAATGTTAACATTGTCTCACTGATGAGCGAATTGGCCACTTTGCTTTCTCAAATCAGCGAGAGAACATGTACATTGTTAGGTAACTGTAGGAAAAGTATTTTCTTAACCTAGCTTTTGTTTGTAAAAGAACGTTACTGTTAGACGATGAGTGAAATGGATGATGAAAAATATTGTACATAAACCCATGTATATTGTCGGGTCAGGTAAAATCTTGTACGTTACACGTTACGCAAGAGCGTGTTTACATCACTTAGGTGAATTATGCAACTCGCTTCCGCTCGTTGCACAACATTCACTTGCGTGATGTAAAAACGCTCTTACTACACTTGTAATGTAAATAGCTATTACTTTATTATTGTTATACCAACCAACCTTATTTTATAGATCGTAATATTTGTCATATTTAAATCTCTCGTATACGATGCCCTTGAGGTAAAAGATAGTTTTGTGTGCAAATTGTATGTTTTAAATGTAGTTCAAATATGCTTTGTAAGCCTAACTTGATTTGAATTTTAAATTAAATTTATATTAACTGAACTGGTCCTAGAAATTTATATTTTCTAACATATCATATGCTATATGGTGAGTTGGGTAAATCTTACTAACTTGTAGGACATTTAATATTTTCAAATAACTATTTTATAGAGTTTGTATTTGGAATAATAAAAACGGTTCTAGCACAAATTATTATGTTTATGACGTAACACCCCTGAGGTGCACATTAAGTTTACGTTAAATACGATAAAATGGGGAAATTCAAGTATGTACTCGATTTTTTAAAAGTTCATTACAGTATCGGAACGTCGTTTTGGACTCCTCATTGTTTTCTACGTTTTGGCACGTGTCTGTTACCTGTCCTACAAGAATGACGTCATATGTCCTGATAGCTTATCATTACTAGGTCACGGTCGCCATGTTGAATCGATAAATGGCACCCCGCGGCCCGCCCCGACGCCACCGACATCGATTGTAAGGGAAAGCAAAGGACAACGGTCTTTGTGTTAACCTTCAACAAACCACAAACCAGAACAAAGATTTATTTTAAACTGTAAAAAATTAAAGAAAACACTTTTTAAACCTATATTATATATGGATTAATTTAAAATTATATTTATATTTTATATTGTGTCATGCTTTATACTAACCGTGAAACTAACTGATAAATATATCGTACAGTAATTTGTTTTCCTCCACACTGAAAAATGCAATTAAGTGAAAGGCACAAGACAACAATTAAGTTAACGAATCAATGTTACATTATATGATTTTTACACAATTGTGGAATACTACGACTAGGATTGCGTGGCAGCCGGTAGTAAAGTGATACAAAAAATTACACTGACATTGTAATAGACAATCAGAAGGCAATACTCATTGTTGGAGATGATAACATCAATTTTCCAATTTTACCGTAGTTGAACGTTGCAAATAACCTAGCACTTTACTATTTCATAACGCTTCCTGAGACCGAATAAACATATGAACATTATTGTGTATGAGCCAAACATATTTTGTTGGTATGATGCATATCTTACACTGCTAGTATACGGTTGGGCCGGGCCCCCCAAGGGCGCAAGAGGTTTGTTGGGGGCGCAATGGAGAGAAAAATGTTTCCACAATGAAGGGGGAGAGGGGCGGAATTATGTCTCGGACCCTTAGCGCATCACATACAAACTGCGCGCCTGGGTACAGGGGCTTGTTGGTATTATTTTATTGTGCTGGTAGTACGACCACCGCCACAGGACATATACAGTACGTGTGGTGTGTTGAAAGTATAATGAACACGCCACACGTCACATGCAGGCCTGGCCCGGAAGTAGCGTCATTACCTATGCTATGTGTTGAAAGAGTCGCGTATCAGCAACTTATATTGTTAGAGATCTAACATGAAAAAATATATTTTACTATTTGATTCATATTAATAGTATAATGTTAATCATATTTTTGTAATCTTGCAACAACAATTCCGACATGCTGGTATTTTTCTCAAGTCTCTTTTCTAAGCTGTATGACGTTTCTGGACCGCTTCATTATTGGGGTTGCCAATGGCTGTAATAGAGAAGTGCCATAGCCGTAACACATAGTAACAGTTTACATTTTTCTCAAGGTCGTCAAGCAATCCATAGAATTCCGTCTGCACTTTTAGATTACAATTTTCATTATTTCTAATAGGTACTCGAACCTTATATTTCATTAAGAAATCCCATTTATAAAATGAACATTTAAACGGTTGGGTAATATATTGTTGCAAATGTATGTAAGTTAGACGCCTTGAGTTAGGCTTACTTAAGTGGCCGGACAATCCACCTGAATACTATATTAGGTCAAAACTGTTAACTTACATTACTTATATACTACATTATGTTCTTCCCAGCTCATGAACAATGTACAATTATAATCAAGAATACAAAGTATGGACTTTTTCTTAGTCACATAGAAATTATTTTTAGTGAGGATATACAAAACCCTCACCTAGGGAAGAGGCATTGGTGTCCGGGCAAAAGCGGACACAGAACTGTGGGGACACATCATTATTAAAGAGGACAAAAGCGGACACTAGGGATTACTGCTACCCTACCTGACAAGGGGTTGGCAGGTCTCTGCAAATATTTCAAGGGTGGAACATTGCGGACATGTATCTACGATGGGGAAAAGGGTGCGAGGGAGGGAGGCCATGGGTATCACTAAGAGATATTGGGTTTTCTTAGTTTATTAGTCCAGGCGTGCTGGTTCGCGAACTCCTTCGAAAAAACGTAGGTTTACATGTTTGTTCCAAATGTTGCCAAAATCATATCATTGAACAAACGGTGTACGCCTACTTGGCCTCTGGGGAGCTCAAAATAAAACAAAATCGACCCCGGGTCTAGGTCTTACCATGAGACCTACAGCTTATATAATAAAAAAATACTCCCATTGCAGCAAACCTGCATACTAAGCGAATTTCCATTCACCAGGCTCGATTTCTACTAAAATATTCCCTATAAATTTTCAGATTTATTTCCTATTTAAATAACATTAATTTTAGTGAGTAGTTATGTTTGCTGCTACGGGAAAGATGTTGAGGTGTGTTTTTTCAATTGAAATATTGATAGCTTAGTATGAAATAAGCCAAATTGCCAAATTTGATTGAAATATATCCATAAACAAGCAAACTAGAACAGTTTATTTATTCTCCATAAGAATAACATGGGAATTTTAAATTTACAATTTCTTTAATTTTCTCCGTAGTCAATGAACATTCAAAAAAACTTCAATATACTAAATTATTTGTTTTTTTAAGCTCTTCAAAATGGTCTAGAGAGAAATTTAGAAATTTAAAGTTTTTAGGGTCAAAAATGAGAAAAACCCATTTTTACCCCATAAAACCCCCCATAAACCCCTGATCCCATGGTCCGATTATGCTGGTTTGCGAACTCGTTCGAATAAATGTAGGTTTACACGTTTGTACCAAATTTCATCAAAATCGGATTAATTTTGCTTGAGTTATCGCGCTAACGGACACATATATAAACATATATATATATATATATATAAATATATATATATATAAATATATATATATATAAATATATATATATATATATATATGAATTTGAACGGATGGTGTTTTTGGCCTCTGGGGACCTCAAAACGAAAAAGTAAATCGGTCCCGGGTCTAGGTCTTACCATGAGACCTACGGTAATAGCTTATTCCCTATATGGGAAATTCGCTAAAAGCATTATACCAAAAGCGGGGAACAAAAATACTTATTACCATGGGAATAGTTTAAAACCGAAGACGTTGGAAGCCTATCGTAAATTTTACGACCAAAGTATCCTAAAACCTAAATCTGAAATTTTTGAGTTAGTTAACAAGGTTGGAATAACATAAAAAGTTATAAAAAATGTTGTAGACAATAAACACGCAATTGGTCCAGGTTTAATATGTTGTTGGTCTTAGGTGAATTACTAAAGGATTCAGATTTATAAACCGATTAGTGTATGACGATATAACCGTTGGGATCTTTAAACAATTTCTGTAAATGTAAAATGTACTTACGATCAGACACATTAACCTTTGAAAGGGTAGCGTGAGCCATTTCTGAGGTTACTTGATGTTCTACGATGTTGCTTTCGTTTGGAGTTGCTAAAGAGCCATCTAAGAACACGAGGACAAAAAAGGGCCACATCACCTACAACTCTGCTACCTTGTCTCGCGACCATCTGTGGACAGAAACATAATAATTTATCGGATGAGTGTCAGTGTATCGCGATCAAATATCTACATTTACATTTACCTGACAAAGAGGGCTTCCTTGCACTGATTATAGTACAGCAAGTTGCTAATTGCTGCATTTACTAAAACCAAAGATTACATATGCTACGCAAAATGTACATGTTTCATAATGTACATTGCTACATGGTTTTTTTTGCGTAGCATATGTAATCTTTTCTAAAACTAAAATAGCGTGCTTTTACTATGCACGTAATCCGTGTACGCTTAAAATAAGTTGGCAACACCTAGATACTACGACTACGATCAGCTGGTGCAGAGTTTCCCCATTTCGTTCAACGCTTGGTTTCAACATAACCTAAAACGCGTTTGAAAGACTAATTATATTTTTATGCTTTATAGTATCTCTAAAAAATATAATGTGTAACACGAGTGCAAAGTACCTTTGCTGCATTTGGGAAACTTTCATCACTCGCCTGCGGCTCGTGCTTAAACATTTCCCTCGTGTCACAGAAAACGTACTACGTTTTCTGTGCTCGTGTGCAGCAAAGTGTCACTTCGCACACTAGTTACACAATAGTTATTTGTGTAACTTACTTTACTTGCTGCACACGAGAGAAATTTTTAAACGCATGAGCCCTAGGCGGGTGTGGAAAGTTTCTCGAGTGCAGCAAAGGCAGTTTGCACTCGTGTTACACATTACGGTATATTTTTCCTACAGTTACTATAAATCATATAAATAATTAGTCTTTCAAATACTGTACAGCACGTTTTTAGGTTAGGTTAAATCCAAACATTGAACGAAATGGGAAACGCTGCACCAGCTGATCGTAGTTGTAATATATTTAAGTGTTGCCAACTTATTTTTAAGCGTACACGGATTACGTGCATAATAAAAGCACGCTGTTTTGTGTTGTTTGGTTGGAGTACTGGTGTGCACCATAGTAAAAACTGTGCGCCAAAGTAAGGCGAGCTACGCGCGCACTACGGCGGCACGGCACGGACGGACGGGACGGGACATCCGCACATCCGCAATTTAGGACAGTTGACAGTCTGCGAGCTAAAAATTGTGAGTAATGATGGATGTAGATTAAGTGGCGATAGTAGGTTTAATTTTTGCAGAGGAAGAGGTGACAAGAAGGTACAAGCAAAGATTTTAGATACACCACATAAACAGAAAAAGACTAAGCTTTGGAGAGTTCCACACCTTGTTTCCTGATCTTCATGTTTCCTGATGTCACGCCGGACGTTATTAAAATATTCCGGATGTCGCATGTTGTACAGTTTGGGGTTTTCTCAACGAGAAAAATCAACTTACTAACATCTATGTTACCAACACACGAAAACACTGCTACTTTGACAGAGATCAGTTGAGAATGGCGGATGTCCCGTGCCGCCCGCCCGATCGGTGTGCAGTGCTCCCGGTCGGTACGGGCGTCACGGCAGCTCGGAAATGTCCTGGAGTTCTGTCTCCCGGACTTTTTAACAAACGGCGGAAGCTGCCGAACGTCCGTTGCCGGCCGTACAGCCGTAGTGGGCGCACTCATATGACATTCAATGTTATTAACTTTTAAAAATTGCCGTGCCGCCCGCCCGTCCGTGCCGTGCCGCCGTAGTGCGCGCGCAGCTTTTCTGTACTATAATCTGTGCGAGTGCCTAAGCCCACTTTGTCGGGTGACTGTAGGAAAATAACTATTGATTGATCCTTGTATAGGTATATAAATAAAGTTTTAACTTTCATATTATAAAATTGTATTTAAAGAAACCCGTTTTAAGCCTCAAACCTATCAACCCTATTATTGAACGAGAGGTTTTGATGTGAAACTTCCCTGAAACCCCAGTTTTAATTAAATGATTGTATTTATTCACATTTAAAAATATTAAAGATATATCACTCAGTTCAGTGGTTACACTTGTTTTTATAGTTTGAGTTTGCTTTACTTTTTCCCGAGTTTATCTTTTGATTCTCATCATAGATGTTCACATTACGGATAAAGTTACGGTACCGGTACCGAGATTTGCGTAATCATGGTATATATATTTGTAATTGTTTGCAGTAATTTTAGAGACCCACATAATTCTTTTGAGTATTCTTACCTCGTTGCGAAGAACGGGCAGAACAACTAGTCATAATGTATAATCCACTATGACCACATCGAACCCCCGTAAAAGGAATGGAGGTTTACGTTGCTTAATTAACTCGTACTTACTCAAGATATAATCCATGAGAGGATGCGATGTACTTCGCACGTTTGCACGTTACACTGTCGCGTAGTACTGACGACTGACGAGTGAGGAGTGACGTCGCGTCGCGGCGGAGGTGGAAGTGGTGTGCATGGCTTACAGCGTCCAGCGTTACCATGGGAACCACTCGCTCCCCCTCCTCTACACACCCCCAGTGACTCAACAATGGTCTGGTTGACTTTCTTGTACTGTATAGCCATTGGCATGGAAAAGCTTTCACACTTATGAAATAGTTTACAAATTACGTTCGGTATTATACATGTGTATAGGCCTTATATGTGCACGTCGTGCCCTACTAAGTGTCATTATAAGTGAAGCGCCGTATGCTTTTTTACATAACCCTAAAAGAAACACACAACCAATTTTTTTAAAAGTTTAAAGGCCCGTTAGTTACAATAATTGGTACTTGCTAATATCAATAGCCCAAGCTATCACTTCAACACATTTGGGACGTGATCACAATATAAAGAAAATATCCTCCAACTTTGTTAGGTGGACTTCAAATTTCTATCTGCCACAATAACAAAGAACAGTTATTTGTGTAGGCCTAAGTAGTGTGTAAAGTGGCAATTTGCTGCACACGAGAGAAATGTTCACGCACGAGCCGTTGGCGTGTGTGGAAAGTTTCTCGAGTACAGCAAAGGCAGTTTGCACTCGTTTTCCACATTATATTTTTCCTACAATTACTAGTCATTTAAACACTGTACAACACGTTTTTAGGGCAGGTTAAAACCAAACATTGAACGAAATGTGAAACGCTGCACTAGCTGATCGTATAGTCGTAATATCTTGTGTTGCCAACTTATTTTCAAGCGTAGGTACACGGATTACGTGCATAATAAAATCATGCTGTTGTGCTGTTTGGTTGGAATACTGGTGTGCGCGGAAGTAAAAACTGTGCGCCAAAGTAAGGCTTTCTGTACTATAATCTGTGCAAGAAAGCCCACTACTTTGTCGGGTGAGTGTAGAACAAAATATGTTGTAAGACACGTTTAATATTATACGTCACGGGCCGGCATGCTCGAAACTCAACTTAAAAGAGTTTAACTATAACAAGTCAATAATATAACTTAAAATAATCTAGAGTTAAAATTTTTAAACTAATTGTTTAATTTTCAAAAATATTTAAAAGTATTATAAAGGCGAGTCACCTCTGTGAAGACAACAGAATAGATTACTCGCATGAGTGGGTATCAATGCTACTGGGTTATGTTCCGAGGCACTGATGCGTCATGAGGAAATAACGCTAGAATACTTTACTCGCACCAGTGGGTAAGTCAACTGGAATACCACGTCCCAATGATTCTAAAAACCCAACCGGGAGCATTGAATAGGGTGTATATTCAATGCCAGGAGGTTTATCTGTAGGCCCCTATAGTCATCCGTATTTCTTATGTCAAGGAAGGGGTTAGCTTCAGCATACTAATACTAGGCATGCTAATGCTATTTAGGGTTAACCTTTTAAGAACATTTTGTCGTAGAGAGTATAAAAGCCAGAAAGGGGAGTTTTAATTGAATGTGAACCTTCGAGACATCTATTCATGTTCATTTGGATTAAAGAAATGCTTCTTAAAACTTGTCAAATAAGATTTTCAATTAGTCGTTAGAAAGATAGACGGCAAGTGCATATAATTTTCACTATAGTAGGCTACATATAAATTCAGTCGAACTCAAACATCAAAAGAAAGACTTGCAGATTTAAATCATTATATTTTAAATGGACAACAGTTATTGTTAAGCTGAATAATTAGCTATTGAAAATGTGTTTCTTTTCATGGTCAAGTTTACTATTTGAGGCATATAGTTCCAAAAGCACGTAAGTCACATTTTTGTCGAAATTGAGGTGGCAGCTGTTTATAATACATTGGAAACAGATCTATAAGCCTGTCCAAATGGTTAGTGACGAATAAATATACATCCAGACCTTTTTTTCTGTTGAAAACTGCTGTTAGAAACAAATAAAGGTAAATCCATTGACAGTCCAAACCAACAAACAGGTATCTCCATTGCAGCCAATCAGAATACAGCTCCTCCCACCAGCTGTTACAGTGAGCTGTCTGTTGTTCTGTGCTGTGTGTTGGTTATCTGAGCTTATCCCGTGAGCGTGTGTTTTAATTAGTTCAACTTAAATATAATTTAGATATTTTACTAAAATGGACAGCAGTTTTTCCTCCACTGCTTCTATTGTAAGCCCTAAAAAGGCTAGAAAACGGCCAAGGCAAGAGGATAAGTGGAAGAAGAACGTAGCCAAACGAAACAGGTAATCCCTTATACTTTTATCATAGGCCTAGGACTAGAATTTTTGTTCCCATAAAGTTTTAGAGTTTAGGCCTATAATTTACTTCTACGCGATTCATGAAAGCACTGCCTCAGCATCAAGTCCCATTTAATAGGCCCTAGGCTCTAACACAGTTTGTTTTTTGTAGGTACTCTCCTCACAACATGCCTGTGTACCCGAATTGTAACCACAAAACTAAGGCCTACAAGTGCCGAACCCTAAAAATGGCTCAACTAAAGAAATTTCATGCAGCATTCTACGAATCAAAGGAAAAATATATACAAGATAATTTTATCTTATCTCATTGTGCTTCTAAGCCTATCAAAAGAAGAAGGACAAAAACCGGCGAAAAAGAACATAGAATGTTTTCAACGAAGTATTTTGTGAGGGACTATGACACTCTATCAATAATTCCAGTGTGCAAAAAGGCCTTTATAAACATACTAGGCATCCGGGGCTTTATAGACATACTAGGCATCACCAATAGTCGAGTCGATAACATCAATAAAGCTGGTTTTAAAACAGGGCAAGTTAAAAAAGACAAACGTGGTGGTGACAAAAAATCACAACAATACCTTCCCAAGAAAGAAGCAGTCGTAAAGTTTATTTCATCGTTGCACTGTATCGAATCTCATTACTGCAGAGGAAAAAGCTTGAGGAAGTATCTACCATCTCAATTATCAATCAATAAACTGTTTAGAATGTATGACGCCCAAGCAGAAGAAAGTCTAAAGGTGAAGAGTTCTTACTTTCGACATATTTTTAATACTAAATTCAATTTGGGATTTGGTCACCCAAGAACTGATATGTGTTCTATATATGCCTTGAGTTTGGTGAGAGAATTAAAGCTGAAAAGGACATTGCTAAGAAGAATACATTACTAATAGAAAAAAGAGTGCACAAACTTCGTGCTAAAGCTTTCTATGACTTTTTGAGGGAGAAAAGTCCAAATGTAATAATAGTTTCCTTTGATTGCCAGAAGAATTTAGTTCTTCCCAAAGTACAAGACCAAGAGGCTTACTACCTAAGACAACTCTACCTGTATAACTGTACGATTGTAAAAGACCACTCCAAGTCTAACCTTACCAAGGAAAACTGTTTTAGCTACTGCTGGACGGAGGACCAATATGAAAAAAGTTCAAATGAAATCGCAAGTTTTTTATTTCATTTCTTAACACAATTGAATTTCCCGGACACTGCAAGTAAATTACTGCTTGTTGCCGATGGCTGCGGTGGCCAAAATAAGAACCGAATGATTTTGGTGATGACTTGTGTTTGTCTATTGAAGAATGCACCTGAAAATATCAAGTTGGTTGAACTTGTGTTTCCTGTAAGAGGACACTCTTTTATACCCCCTGACCGTGTCTTCGGTAACATTGAAAAGGATTTGCGTCGACACGAAGTTATTGACAACCCCGAACAATACCTAGAGGTTATACAAAATCATGCCACTGTCGTAGCTGTAAAAAATGACTGTCCTATTTATGACTGGAGAGATGAGGTGAAAAACAAAATAAAGGAGACAAGCAAACTGCATTTTAAAATTTCTTCTAAGTGTAAGAGATTTGTTTTAAAACGGTCAGCCAAGAATTCGTCGAATGTATTAGTCAAAGGTGAAGAACTTTATAAAACTGACCAGAACTGTTTTAAGTCTATTACTGCATCAGGGCAGACTATTCGGAACATCCATCCAAGTATCATACAGCCTCCAACAAAGTGACGGCAGCAAAACTAAAAAATGTTGAGAGACTTTTGAAAATCCAATACGGCGAGAAATGGGCAGAAAATGAAAACCTGTCATATTACAGACAAGTTTTATCATGTCCTTTGCAACCTGATGATGGTGACGAAGGAGATCAAGAAGATCCTCTATGTGAACCAATGGAGGAATAATCCGAACTAAGAGTGTAACGAAAGCCTACAACTTGTTGTTGTGAAAAAAAAAACAACGAAGAAAAACTGAATTTTAATACTTATTTAAGAACAAGGATTCTTATTGTGTTTTATTGATATTGCTTTTGTGATTTTTGTTTTCTGCAGGTAATAAAATACATCTTTTTAAGCAAAAAATGTGTCTTTTTTTATTTTCCTTACCAAGAGGCAGTGCTTTATAAAGATTTTAATTTAGCCTACTAATACTATGCCAGGTAATGATAATGTTTCCAAATAATTTAAATGCTTTATTTTGTTTCACCAAACCATGATAATCAGTGACCATCTCAAAAGTAACTTTCATAACCAAGTAAATCCTCTTAATTAAGTTCCAAAAACAAGTAAATCCATTTTTTATTTCCAAATCCAGGTATCTCCAATTTCAAAGCATTTTATCGCAAAATCTGATGTGGAAACACCCATATAATTTTATTTTATAACAAACAATGATTTTTTTACTATTTTTTAAGGTTAAAAGTATGTATATTGATTGCTGGCAAGTATATGATACAGTTTTAGGCTTCTCCTAGAAAATTTGGTTCAGGTGACTTACCTGCTTTTGGTTCTATATGCCTCATTTGTCGTTTATTTTATAGTTAAAAGTTTGATTTAAGGCTGTCAAGATAAGCAAGCATAATGCCCAACCCATGGAACAAGATATCTGTCTTTGCCCTTCCTGTAAATTGTCCTGCAGGTGCCCTTATTTATAAGGATTATTATTTAAACACAAACCTGTTTTCTTAAATGGGATTATTTTTTATATCTTATAATTGGTCGATAAGATCAGTGTGATAGGATGGCATAAATTATGATTTAATCTATTATAAAATACAATAAAAGTATAGTCAGGGCTTTATCTGTTATTTTGCAAAAGTATATAACGGTAACTAATTTTCTAAAAGTAAATTATTGTAGCCTATAGAAAAAAAGCAATCAAAAGTTTAAACGGATGGGTTGTAATGAAAGATAAGTGCGTTTTTTTCACGGGGATTTATCGGAAAATTACATAAACTACAATAACTTTTGAACCTTAATTTTTACAGCAATGGGGATTTGCACTATTTTGTTAAGATTTATAAGGATTATCGCCTACTAATTTCAATCAATACCGGCAACGGATATATCACCTCAAAACTCAAACTTGAAAATTTTGACGAAAACTATACTTTCTACATAACTATGGTATATGGGGAGAAAGTAAAAATTATAAAATTAACTGTATAATTTAATTAAGAATGATGTCATGGATCTAAGGACCATCAAAAAACGTCATGGGTGGCTCCTGTGAGCCTGACCGGAACGCGACCCGGCGAAATGCGAAGAGCGAAGAAGGGAGAAGGCGTTCACTGCTTCAGCTCTTCACTCCACTCCGTTCACTCGTTTAGTTTCAGTAGTGATTAAGTGATTAGCGATTATTTCTTCTAATTCTAACCTCACTTTTTCATGCAAGAGAAGAAATAGTATTGATCAGTCTAGTTTCAAGTGATTTTATTTTCATTCTAAGAAATTATTCGTGTTTCTGTGAGTAATCGAACGTTGAATTTCGGTTATAATGAACGAATTCTTTTACCTTGATTGCAAGTTGTAGGTATGATGCAATTCCTTTACGCAGTAAATGAGAACTAGCCTAGCCTACCCCTATGCCCTTACGAAAATATTCATGTAAGGTTAGGGTGATCATCAAAATGAGGGTTCAATTTTGACTCGGGATTTGATCCATAATGGGATACAGTTTCTTAACTGGGCTACGCTACTATTGGTTCAATTAGTAGATAGGCCTAAACCTTCATTCGATTTTTTAAAACTAACAAATCAATGAAACTGTTAACCAAACCAACTAACCAAACTTGAAGGTTTACTAGGTAATTGAAAGGATATTTTCAATCGATAGTATCGTAGCCCAGTTAAGAAACTCTAGCTAGGCCTACCCACTAAATCAATTGGTAGTTAAGTTAAACCTTATTACCAGTTAGAATTTATGGGTAGCCTACAACTTATTGGGTAGTCTCGTAAAGAACCTATGATAGGCTAGCCTTACCTGATGAAAATTTTGGATAGGCCTAGGCTAGTAATTTATTTTAGATCCCACGTAGAAACTAGAATACCTGTCCTACCTATAATTTATTGGATGACATTTTCATAGGGCCCAATATAAATATTGAATGTTTAAGTTAAATACTGTAGGCCTAAAACTTACTGATTTTCTGTAATGGGTCTTTTCGATGTCGGTTTAAGTAAGTTAGACTGTCACCATTCTTTTCAAAACACTTTTGAGGCTACGTGTACCACTAGAGCGGGTGACTGGGTAGCTGCCATGAGTGACTGGGAAGCAGGGCCAGACTATGTTTTGGGACACCAAGCTCGAATGCGGCTAGCTAGTCGTCGCCCTACGCTCGTGTGAACGGCTCCATTTTATCCTGTGGTTCGCTACCCAGTCGGTCTTACCTAATATTCTTCTTGATCTTAGGCATCCTTTCTGAGTGGGTTTCAGTTGTCTTGCGTTTGATCTTTCAAAAACTTCATTTCAATATTCTTCTTGATCTTAGGCTTTATGTTATCGGCATTTTGTGGTTTAACTTAATGCAATTTGCTGGTGGAAGCCAGTCGTTGTCCGAAGCTGTATGATGATGATGATGATGATGAAGCTGTGCTGTTATTTGTGTTCTGTAGCTGAAGAGAGCATTTTGAAGAGCTAAAATTCCATCCTTAACTTTCTGTTTTGTTGTGTACAGTGAAAACTTTCCAAGTGTGAACCAGTTTTCCCTCAAGGGGGTGTCCCGCCTATCCATCCCATGTTAAGTTCTTCAACCTAAGGTACATTTTTCTGAAAAGGTATTAGAGTTAGGGATCTAACTATGATGTTATTGAAAAGAGTGTAGGTATATTGAGTTTTTACATCTGGTAACTTTTTAAAATTGCCTACCAAGCGGGGTAATTTAATTTTTTTTTTAATCAGCTGTTTTTTTACAATTTATTTGTAGGCCTAGGCCCTACAAAAAAAAATTGTTTTAAATTTTGTTTGTTTTTGTTTGTTTGTGACGCTGCTACCGACTGAGCCACCGACTCACTAAACCTGTACCTTTACTTATTTATTTTAATATTTTTTAGTTTAATATTATTAAGTTGAAGAAATTAACATTGGATAGATGGGCAGGATGACCCCCCTTAAGTTACTTCAGTAGGCTACTTCAGATTGTAGGCTAGGCTATGGGATTAATAGAATTCTGTTCCCTCAAATTTCAACCCTACTACAAACCAACGATATACAACACTCCTGGATTGAGCCCGCTGTGTTCGCCCGGCGCTCCCCCCACCACTGCATGGCAAAAGACACTGCTGCCCTGACCACAGAAAACATACTACTATAACCCAGAATGCCAACCGCATGGTAAAAAGCGTTAAGTACTTTGAGAGAGCTTTGCCTGTCAATTCGTAGGCAGCGCCACCAGCGTTGCTATGCTGAGTGCATTGCAACGCAGGGCGTCAGACAGCAATCGCGACAGCGCCATTGCCATGCGGTGGTGGGGGTAGCCGAAAACCGAGCCCGTAACTGCACAGTCGGGCGCAATCCAGGAGTGTTTTATATCGTTGAGCAACGATGTACAACCACAGTTGGTTTGTAGCACTAAAAACTTGTAAGACCTAGCCTATAATTAGCTAAGTTGCTTTCCTTGTCTCAAGCACTTTTTATAGAAATAGCATAACTTAGGCTAATGATTCATTATTTTTCAGGTCTGGCCCAGGTTCAATTAAAGAAACCAATGCTGTTACATTCAAGAGGTATATCGTGCTCTCTATGAAAACATTGTTTGGTGAAGTAAGTTTTCTGGTCTACATTGTTCAGTTAGGCTATACATTTCTTTATCAATAAGTTGTATAACTTAGACCTAGGTAAGCAACTTAGGCCTTCCTAATTTTTCATTAAATAAATATTATACCTTAGGCCTAGATTATAACATAGCAGGGTGTCCACCGACCTGGAAAACCGGGAATTATGCGTGATTTTTTTGAAACCGGGAAAACCCCAGGATTATGCATGAATTTCGTATTTACCAGGAATTTTCAATTTTTTGCGATATTCACATAGGTTTATCGTTAAACCTAAAGATGACGTTTCCGTCACCGCAGGAGACAAAGATGATGAACAAACTCCAAACAGCCGCGGGATTTTGTAGTGATTCTGCCGTGATCGCGCATGACGACGATGGCGTTTCCGTGACCGTGGGAGACGACAATGACGTTTCGTGACCGCGGGAGACGATGATGACGTTTCTGTGACCACAGGAGACGATGATGACGTTTCTGTGCCCACAGGAGACGACGATGACGTCTCCGTGACCGCTGGAGACGATGATGATGTCCAAACTCCAAACAGCCTCTGAAGTTTTTAATGATTATTGCCGCAATCGCACATGATGACGATGGCGTTTCCATGACCGGGGAATTCCATGATGTCCAAAAACTATTGCTTGACGATGATGACTGCGGGAAATTATTAGAACTAAGCTACGATCGTGGAAGATGATGATAACTTTTCTCTGAATGCGGGAGACAATTATAATGTTTCTGTTACCCCTGAACAATATCAGGATTTTGTCACCACCACGTAAGACAGTGGTGATGTTTCCGTAACTGAGGGAGATACTCAGGATTTGGCAGTTATCGCGGGTAACGATGATTGTGTATCTAAAACAGTGGTGGATGATCACAATATAACCTTGAGTTATGCTTGACCGAAAAATTTCAAAATGGCCCATTTCTACAGTAGAAAGTTTCATTTTTATATTTTTGTAAAATCTTCATTTATCTTTAATCTGGTATTTATTTAATGTGTTTGGAAGGGTTTAAATCTCAAATTGGCTATGTGAAATTTTTGTAATTTCTGCATTTATTTTTTCTGCAGGCTACCTACTTAAAAAACAACCCATAACGCCAAATTTACATGGCCTACTACATGGAAGTACAAAGACAGGGGTTGGTGTAGTAATCCTTTCAGAAAATATGGTAAAATTAAAATTGTCTGTATTAACATTTTTTTTCAGGTGTCGGTACGGAGATTTGATCAATTTTGGTATCGACATATCACTATTTTTAAGAAAATATTGATAAATTGCAATAAATTTGCCCAAAACCACGTCAGAAAATGTAAAATGAAAATTACAACCAACCTGTACTACCTGGAATTACTTATGATTTTTTTCTGGTTGGCCTGGTGGACACCCTGCATAGAGGTCCTAACAAATTTATGAAACTTTTAATAATCAATACGATACTTTAAGTTATCACGAGAATCTAATTCAATTTAAACTTGACGTTACGAGCTCTCTTTTTGAGTCTTTCCATCTTCTTTTTTGTACTTTCCATAAGTTATACTTGATCAAGCTTAAGTAACTATTCCTGGTATCGAAAATGGCTCAGTTAGCAAGCTGTCAATAGTTCTAATTTTGGCAACGCTAATAAGTCAACACAAGAGAAATTTTGATTTTACCAGGTCCACCACAGCCTGATCTAAAGTTCATGCTGCTACCTGGAAAAGAAAACCAATGATGTACTATTATAGTTCCCCCTACTACTTCCTTTAGCCTCCTATTTAATTTCTTTTAATTTGTCAATGAATGTTCTCTGTACAGTAAAACGCCCAGTAAACGAATCGCCAATCATCCGAATCGGCTCTAAGCCTTTATCTTATCTTCTTTTTTAAATGTAATTAAATATTATGATGTAGAGTTACAGTAAATATAATTTATTCAACTGTAACGAGAAGAGAAGTTTGATTTCATTATGAGAAAATATTTTTTCAACTTAAATTTTGAAATAGGAAGGAAATGTTTACTTGGACTGTTGGACATAATTACACAACATGTACAGCAAAATCATGAAAGGCTCCCATGATTGGGGCGACAGCATCATCTCCTGCGATCACGGCATAATCATTTAAACCTTCCGTGATTGTGGAGACATAATTATTTTCCCTCTCGATTCTGGACAAATTTAAAACAACTGATATTGTTGTTATCGAAGAGACTTCATCATCGTCTCCATCATTATAGAAAGATTCTGAATATATGTGCTCCTGCAATCCTAATTGTATCGCAAAAATAAAGGTTCGGTTCGGTATTAATTTACACAAGTTTTTTGGCCATGTTCAGCTCAGCTTTAAAATTGAACCCCTCTCTACTAAAATCGGAGAGTAGCACGTAACATTTGGATGTAGTATGAGTTGTAACCACGAGACTAAACTTCTACTGAGTCAGGTTGCAGTAAACCGTCTCTTAGGCAATGCTCAAGATATTTACTCATACTGAGTGTAGGATCAAGATTTATTGGAGGTGTGTCAGACTGAGCAGGTTGTGCATGAAGACGTCACGGTATACCAGGAGGCAGCGGGCTCCTTAATGTGTTGATAAAAAAGAAGTAAAGCAGCTGCAAATTTTATGCACAAGAAACCAATTACAAAGCACGCTCAACATGTGCCCCATTGTGATGCGGCTGCACCCTCCTTGCGCACCCCGCTCAACCTGGCCCACCTCCCTTCTGCAATTCATACATCTCGTACAGTGCTTGCAACCCTAGAGTTGTGGCTGCTTTTTCCTTTGAAAGTTTTTGTTTTTTTTTAATCAGTATCTTTAGCTGTGTATGATGGTGACTGCTTGAAATTCTTGATATTACACTTTTTCCTACGCACAGTACCTAAACACATTTACCCCAATAAAAAATAAATCAAATCAGGTAACAGGAACAACATAACTTGGTACTCCTGGCTTAATGAGCTAAAAATAATAGGGGGAGAAATCCCTGCCAGTGGTGGATCTAGAAGAGTCACAAGGGGGGGGGGCGAACCAGGGGGTCTGAACTCCCCCAACCCCCCTGAAAAATGTTGTAAACTAAGTCTCGAAAATGGCAGTTTTATACCACTTCTTTGTCCAAAGTTAGTGTGACAAATTATTTTACGCAATGTGTATGCACTACTGTATTATATGCAGTAAAAATATATGTGCCCGAGGGGGGGCGGTCGCCCCGTTGCCCCCCATCTTCGGATCCGCCACTGATCCCTGCTATCCAAAACTGAATGTGTTAAAAAGTCGTTTGTCTAAAACAAGTCTATTTTAGGTCTTAAATCAACAGTTTGGAAAATATATAATTGATTTATTCAATTTCAATTTTGTTTACAGGTAGGAGGCTGCAGTAACATAGACTTATTGACGTACAACCCTTCAGAGAAAAGAGCAGTCCTACGGTGTTCGTCTAACGTGTATGTAAAGCTGAGATCAGCTCTCACATTGTTTGAGTCCGAAGATAAGTGCAGCATTAGAGTGATTAATAGTTCGCCTATCCTACTATCATTAATTTCAAACTCTAGGTCTTTTTGCCACGAATAAAAATCCTTTATTAAAGTTAAAATTTCAATTGAAAAGATGTCTTATTGTCGCCGTGAGGGTAAAGACTCAATAACTTTTGTCACAAAGGAGGACCATGAAAAGCCGAGTTCAGTAGTAATACCGGAGCCAGAACCGGGACCAGGCCTGATCATGCCTGACGGATCTATCAACTGGAACTGCCCTTGCCTGGGGGGAATGGCAACGGGACCGTGCGGGATGGAGTTCCGAGATGCCTTCACGTGTTTCCACTACAGTTCAGCAGAGCCCAAGGGCAGCAACTGCTATAGTGTGTTTGAGGAAATGCAAGATTGTATGAGTAAATATCCGACAGTATATAATAAAGATGATGAAGAGGATTTCCCCTCGATGAGTGAAGCAGATAAAAATGTTACAAACTCAACTGAAGACAAGAGTTTAGAGAGTACGTCTAGCAAAACAGAAAATACGATAGAAAAGAAAAAGTAGTGTCATTAGCACATGAGTAGTAGTGTTACATAGTTGTTATTGTTAAAACTTAAAAAAATTGTGGGGCATTTCGTTTTGCCATGATGTAAGCTTCTCAAAGAAGCGACAAATATTGATTGTGTTCTTAGTCTTATGCTTGATATATTAAACCACAATATATTTTTTGTTTACAAAAGTTAAATTATCTAACAATAATTTTATGTCCTTGTTGATAAGACTAAATTGTTATTTTCACAATAGATATTTCATCTAGTAATTTTGAAGTGTTTTTCATTGGTTACTGAAATTTATGAGCAACACATTTCTTAAACATGATGAATAGAGAAAATGATATACAACTAAAATTGATTATTGACCTCAACAAAGTTAGTAGTACGTTTAGTTGTATTTAAGTCTACAGATTGACAATGTTTAAGTTCTCTTAACAATCCACCTGACTAAGATTTTCTTTTAACAACAAAACCAGCAAATATAATTTTGGCTGTTTTTACAGATTTATAAAATGTATCTCTTGTAATTTATATATACAGTTATGACACATAAAACATTAATTAGTATTACTGTACACAAGATAGCTTTAATTGACAGAGCTGCTTCAGTCAGAGTCATCATGCAGCTACATGTCAAGCAACAACAATACTGAGTATCATTTGTGTTAGGAAGGAAAAAATTAAGAATGACATTAGTGTTTGTATCAATATGTAAGTTAATTCATTATGACACTGTCCTTTTTTCCTAAACCTACCAGTAAATGAAAGTGGTAAAGTTTGCTTTATAAAATTTAAATGATAGAATAGGATTGGAAGACTTTGCATTTATATATATAAATTCATTCCTAATGGCCACAATGTTCAATGTAAAGAAACATAGTGTATAATATCCAGGTTGTTTTGTTTATGGATAATGTTTCATCTACTTTACATTGTTGTTTTGAAGGATGTATAACTTTTATCAAACCATTTTCACTATAAACTGAACATATTGAAGTACTGGTAAGTGTGTTACTGTATCTCCATATTTACATAAGAGTATATTAGTCATTTGTTGAAATGTGTTACTAGTAATAACATACTTGTATGAACTCAGTTAATATGCTTTTTACAAACGTAATAATTATTATTTCTCAGTTTTATGATTAAAGTGATTAGCCTATATTAAGATTAAATCTTGATTTCTCAGGTGAATATTCTGAAGGTGCTTACAAATGTAACCTTTATGGCCATCTTTGTGATTTGTTAATGTCTGTATTCTGTACTTAAATTTAGTTAAATATAGAGATGTGTTACATAAAAACTAAATTTTTTTCATCAAATCCTTCAAAATGTTAGTAATTTAAATGTTGTTATACTTAAGTACAACTATTTGATTAGTTCTTATAAATATCCTCATGAATGGCAGGTTAGGAAGGAGTGGTATCATGGGATTTTGAAGAAAATATTCAAGTGTCCCAGATAAGGCACTCCTGGATTGTCCAGGTATTTAAAAAAATACTGTTACATCAAATCTTTAAAAAACTGTACATCTTAAAAAGAGTGAGATTAACTCGTTTTCCCAGATAACCATGATTTGGGATGTAAATGAATAAATGCACTTTCACATGAGTTTTCATAATTGTTTACTAGTATTTGAGCAGTAGATCTACATAGTTCAATCAAAGTAAATCTGGTGGATGTACGTCTTAAACTCAAAAAGAAAATTTTAGAAAGAATAAACTAGATTTTGTTTAAAGAGTTTATTTTTATCTCTTCCCTCTTCAATTTTTAACTCATGTACATAGACTCCAATTTGTTCTTCATAGAAATTTTTAGTAACTACTTCTTTGAGACATTGATCAAGTGCAATAATCACATAACCAAATAAGGGAGTTCCAATGGATAAACAGCTGGCTGGTAGCATTTAATGTTTGTTGTAATGGCAAATTTATGAACAAACTAGCTGTAACCCGCGGGCTTTGCTTAACTTCTTAATTTTCAAGATTATATCGTTCGCATGGCTCAATCACGTCCTGGTTGAAGTTTGTTCGCAACGCTCACTCACCTTTAGGTTAGAGCTCGTTCGCTGCGTTCACTTGCCTTCAGGTTAGCTCGTTCGCTACGCTAACTCGCCTCCAGGTTGAAGAGCTCACTCACCTTTTGGTTGCAAATTAGCTGTTGTCATAAATGTAAAAGAAATAATAGTGCTGCACCCTGTTGGTAATCCTTGTAACTTTAATGCTATTGAACATCATAGAACAGAACCAACTTGTTTAATTGAAACAGCTGTTAAGATTCAATAATTCCATTTCTCATAAGGTTAACATGGGAAACTCCAGAGCCACTGGGGCGGAGCCCGAAAGGATTTTTGAAATAAGAATATGCCTATATGTTAATCGGGAGTGTGAGCTATCATCATGCCAAATTTCAGCCCAATCCGACCAGTATTTTTTCGCGTTCACTTGTCACAAACATACATCCATACATCCAAACTTTCTCATTTATAATACTAGTGGGATTGTTTAAAAAGTTCTTTTTTATGGCATAAAATTCAGTTATGGATAAATACTCTTTTAAGCTTTGATTATTTACGTAGTAAAACAAACTGTATTTCAAGTAAATCAATTCTCTTAATTCAGCCGTTATATTACACACCATCCTTTAGCTTTGCTTGTTGTTTCTGCTCTATCCCCATGTGTATCTGGGTTACTTTGTTTGTAAATCTTCGTCCAAAAGTATAAAATTTTATTGTTAGTTTATGGCATGTTCTGATTGCAATTAACATATAACACAACCTTTAGCAGCATCGGTTTCTAGGTAAAAGAAAAACAATTAGTAGTGACACTGACAGTAAATATTGATCGAACTATCCTTGTGGAACAATAATTGTCCACTCCAACATGTAGCTGCCAGAAAGGTTACACAACTTTTAAGTATTTCACTGTAGGTATAGCTAGATAACATTGTGCGAGTTCCACTGACGTCTAAATGACTCATGTCTGCTGCTGATAATAATCTTAAGCCGATTAGTTTTGTTATATAAACCTGCAATTGGTGAGAGTCTATGGCATATAAAGCCTGTGTCTCACTGATTTAGGATTTAAAAAATAGGAAATAATCACAATACAAAACAAAATGAACCAAACAAAAAATTATAGAAAAAATGTGCCACTTCATGAAAATAAAAAAAAAAAATTGTAAGACTTACAGGCGACTGTTCATTATTCGGGTTTGACCTTAACAGGCAGTGTCGGATTTGCCCTTAATCACAAGAGGGCGGAAGCCTATTGTACAAAAACAATTTTTCCTAAACAAAAAAAATGAATTTTTTTGCAGTTGGCAATTATGGTGTCCTGCTGAGATGTTCTCAATTTTTCCACGGCTGCTAGTGTCTCCCCTTGATGTTGGGGAGATGTTAATTTTCTCTCCGTAATTGAGAATAATGATGATGATGTCACTGTGATGGTGGGAGATGTTACCGATTTTGTCGCTATTGTAGGGAATTTCCACCTGTGAGGGGTGGGGACTCCAGTTAATTTTGCCCTAGGGCTGCAAGAACCTTAAAGCTTTTTCACACCGGCGTACTGGCCTTGCCGTCCAGTATGTGGTCCTTCCACACCACCCAGAAACTTCCGAAACGTCCACTTGTTCACTCGGAGTCAGAACAGTAACACCCTCGCTTATTATTAGTGTATTAATATTAATGTTATAAGTGTATTTGTTTTACCTATGCAAAAAATATCTATCATTCGATCTGCAGATTTGCAGCAATCTCCTCCCATGCAGCGTTCTTCATAACTTGTATATTTCTAAAGTCGTGTCTCAGATTACTGGATCACTACGCACTTCCTCAATCAACACTTCCATGGTACAAATTAATGCAACAGCAACAACAAAAACACTGCAGACGACAAGGGAATGGAGCACGTACTTTTGAAGTGTTCATTGTGCATGCGCTAGGCCATGGATGTCTTGGACATTTGAGAAAAATCGCTCTACAAGCGATTTACACAAGCAGTGTTCTCCAGCCGGCTCCCGCGACGGTACAGTTAAATAAACACAGGCCTGTATTCCGTCCCCGAGAACCTTTTGTTAAATGTTAATATTTCCGCATGTGTTCGTGTTTGTGTTCATGTGATTTTGACAACGTCCAAGCGACCGACTGTGACAACAATGCTTTGATTCCTGACATGTCCTATGTGACCATAACGCAAACGGCGTCGAAACCATGGTTGTAGCTTCTATCCAACATTTTTGAGCTGTGACGAAAATACAAGTTAAATAAACCACTATTAAGATTTACACAAGACTGTCGCAGACATCCAGGACGTACTGGACGCGCGGTTTGAACGGTCTCATTTGATAGGATGTGCATCACAGGGAAAATCTACGCATACTATTAGAAAGATATTTTCCTGATGTGTAGAATCCCTTTATAAATTAAAATAGGTCAAAAAATAAGCACAAAAATAAATTAAAAATTAAAAATAAATTAACATGGACCTTATGGGTTACCATGCTGGCAACAAAATAACAAAATATATAAACAGAATACCCCCGCCGCAGCAAACCTGCCGACTAAGCGAATTTCCATTTGTCTGAATTGATTTTCAGTTAAATATATTTTAATAACATTAGGTTTAACGAGTACCTAGGTTTGCTGCTACAAGGAAACTAATAAAGTGTGTTTTTGAGTAAAATATTGATAGCTTAGTAGAAAATAAATAAATTTGCCAAGTTTGATCAAAATATATTCTGAAACAAGCAAACTACAACATTTGACAATATTCTCCATAAGAATAACATGGGAATTTTAAATTTAAAATTTTTTTAATTTTCTCCGTTACTAATAATCGAACAAAAATACTTTCATATACTAAATTATTTGTTTTTTTAAGCTCTTTAAAAAGGTCTAAAGAGAAGTTGGGAAATTTTGTGTTTTGAGGGTCAACAGTGAGAAAAACCAATTTTTACCCCATAAAACCCCCCGTAAAGCCCCGTTCCCATGGTCCGATCATGCTGGTTCGCGAACTCATTCAAGTTTATCCCGCTTTACACCTTTAAACCAAATTTCATCAAAATCGGACAAAAATTACTCAAGTTATCGCGTTCACGGACGTATGTATATATATAAGTCTATACAATATACAATACAATAACAAAATATATATACATATATAAAAATTTGAACGAATAGTGTTTTTGGCCTCTGGGGACATCAAAATGAAAAAGTAAATCGGTCCCGGGTCTAGGTCTTACCGTGCCACCTACGGTAATAGCTACTTCCCTATAGGGAAATTCGCTAATAGCTACTTCCCTATAGGGAAATTCGCTAATAGCTACTTTCCTATAGGGAAATTCGCTAAAATCAAAACAAATGGAAGAAACTTCAATCACATGTTATATTTACAGTGTGGAGTAAAAATAGAGAAGTCTGTACCACTGGACCTCTAGTTATTTTTAATACACTGTGACATGATCAAAGTTACTAAGAGCAGCAAGAAACTCATACACTTCATTTAAATTTTCTATGGAATGAAATCATAATGCATGTTGTGGCAACCCTGATAAAGGCCAGCTGCCAGCTGTTTGGATTGTTGTGTCTAGTTACCATGGAAACACAACACCACACATGCTGGACACTTGTCAACTTGTGCTTTTACCTACCTCTATGTAAGCTGTACAGGAAGGAGGATATTACCCCTAAAAGTATAAAGTATTATTTTAATAGCAAATACTGCCTTTGCTTGTGTAATTAGTGAAATATAAAAATAAAAACATTAGCCTATTAACATGTCAAGTAGGTAAGCAAGAATGTCTTTTTGACACAAGTATATTGATTATGCACTTCTGTATTATTATTTACTACTGATACATTTGAAACAAATCAAATTGGATTCATGCCTTTGTTGAGTTGTACTTAAATTGCTTTGAAACCACCGTAACACTTTAAAATGTTGATGATTTAAAATAGGGCCTAGGTCGTAAGGTTTTTAATACAGTAACAGGCAACGGAAAGGGTCCACTCTAGCACCATAAACATAAAAACTTAGAATGTTTCACTATCACTGACAACATTTCAGTACCTTTCTGAAAGAAAACCCTTTGCTTTATTGACAAAAGTAATTGAGTATTTCAATAAGGTGTTTTCACCACACTATGATGTTTTGGCTGTAATACATACGTTAATTGGTGGCTGAAAGTTACGTTTTGCTGGCCATGCCAGCTGTCATCGTAATTTGGGGACCGAGCAGGTTTTTACAGGCCGGGGCCGCAAAATCAGCTGTCCGCTTACTTACTTAAAACATGAATGCATTTGAAATACACAATCAAAATCCATAGCATTGCAATGTTATTGTCACCGTTGCCTAGCAACTATTTATTTTTATTTTTGATGATTCCTCAAAATTGTTTCTTCACATAACATTAAAGTTGTAGTTGTGTTGACTATCAGTGTGCATTATTATGGTGGTGAATAGTGGTCAGAGGGTATAGTGTGGTGAAAAATAGCGTTCGTACCACGGACCGAAATGGTTTTGCAGCTCTCGATCGATTTAAGTTCTCGACTTCGTCTCGAACTTAAAAACTATCTCGAGCCGGCAAAACCTCATTTTCGGCCCTAGGTACGAAATATACTATTAGGCCTGTTTCCCTTTAAAAGGTTTTGGGGTTAAAGAGAAAATAATTTCACTGGTATTAAAAAAGTAAAGTACTGGACACCTAAATCACGCAGCAGACCAAAGGTATAACCAGTGACATAAATACCTCTAACCCCCCCCCCCCCCCCCGCAGTAAATGTAGATGGTGCCCCCCACCACACCAATATTATCACCACTTATGTTTTATTCATTTATCTGCGCAAAAGCTGTGATTGCGGCAAAATCCAAAAACTCTCGCAGACGTTTTTTCTTTGTCTCCTGCAGTCAAGGAAACTTGTCATCGTTTTCCGTGATCGCGGCAACATCTGGTTTTCTTTTCTTTATACACCTGTGGTATTTTTAATTAAGTCAATCTTCAAACACTTTAACATTATCACTTGAACATCACCCGCGGTCTTGAAGACATCATTAGCGTCTCCCACGGTAACGGAAACAACTTAATCTTTTTTTACAATAGTGCAGAAATCGTTGATATCTTCTTGGGCCTTGTAGACATTATGTTCGTCTCCCACGGTTACAGAAACGGTGACATATCTTCTTCGCTCTTGAAGACATCATCATCATCTCCCGTGGTCACGTTACCTTTTTCCACAACAGTTCCAAAATCTTGGATATCTTCTTCGGTCTTGTAGACATCATGTTCTTCTCCCACGGTCTCCGAAATGACGTAATCTTTGTTACCTGATTGCGGCAAAATCATGAATATCTTCTTCAGCTTTGAAGACATCATCTTTGTATCCTGGGTCACGGAAACGACATAGTCTTTGTTACGCAATTGCGGAAAAATCTTGAATATCTTCTTCGGTCTTGTAGACATCATCATTGTCTCCCGCGGTCATGGAAACGGCGATATCTTTTCTGCAATTGAGGCAAAATCATGAATATCTTCTTCGGTCTTGAAGACCTTATCATCGTCTCCCGCTGTCACAGAAACTGCAACCTATTTTCCGCAACTGCAGCAAAATCTTGAATATCTTCTATTTGCTCTTGAGGATATCATCAACATCTCCCTTTTCCGCGATTGCGGTGGGTGGTGACAGTTGGACCTCGGCGCCGCCCCTGCACTGGGTTTATTTACTGGGTTATTTACACCAATGGGTATAACTCTTATGGTGAGTTTTCAGATGGTGATAACAACAACCCAAGCTGCAATTACAATGAAGCTCATTATTTTAATAAGACACTGTTTTACTGGTACTGTAGTGTACATGCTCTGTGGTAAATCTGAATGTCAAATTTAAATTTTTGACTTTTTTGTGCCCAGTTTAAGTAGGTAAAATACCCCCGCCGCAGCAAACCTGCAGACTTAGCGAATTTCCATTTGCCTGATTGGATTTAAACTAAAATGTCTCCTTAAAAATATCACATTTATTCCCTATTTAAACAGAATTAGTTTAATGAGTACCTACTTAGGTTTGCTGCAACAGGGAGGGTAAAAAAGTTTTTTTTATGTAAAATATTAAAAGGTACTGCGGTTTAGTAAGAAATTCATGTATTTTCCAAATTTGATCAAAATATGTTCATAAACAAGCAAACTACAACAGTTGACTTATTCTCCATAAGACTAACATGGGAATTTTAAAATTACAATTTTTTTGAATTTTCTCCGTAACAATTAGGCGCATAATAACGCTTCAATATACTAAATTATTTGTTTTTTTAAGCTCTCCAAAATGGTTTAAAAAGAAATTGTGAAATTTTGTGTTTTTAGGGTCAAAAATGGGAAAAACCTATTTTTACCCCATAAAACCCCCCATAAACCCCCGTTCCCATAGTCCGATCATGCTGGTTCGCGAACTCATTCAAGTTTATCCCGCCTTACACCTTCAAACCAAATTTTACCAAAATCGGACAAAAATTACTCAAGTTATCGTGCGGATGGACACATATATATATATATATAGATATATAAAAATTTGAACGAATGGTGTTTTTGGCCTCTGGGGACATCAAAATGAAAAAGTAAATCGGTCCCGGGCTTAGGTCTTACCATGAGACCTACGGTAATAGCTACTTCCCTATAGGGAAATTCGCTAATAATATTTTGTCATGAATATAAATAATAGTTGTAGAATTAAATTTAAAAGCAATTGGATTTATATATTTTATTAAATAAAAAATATTTAACTGCAGCAAACCTGCCGACTAAGTGAATTTCCATTTGCCTGGATTGATTTTCAATTAATCTATTAAATTAACATTTATGTTTAACTTTAACGAGTACCTAAGTTAGCTGCTACAGGGAAACTAATAAAGTGTGTTTTTATTAAAATATCAATAGCTTAGTATGATATAAATAAATCCACCAAATTTGATCAAAATATATCCATAGACAAGCTAACAACATTTTTAATATTCTCCATAAGAATAACGTGAAAATTTTAAATTAACAATTTTTTGAATTCTATCCGTAACCAATCACCGTACAAAAACACTTTCATTTACTGAATTATTTGTTTTTTTAAGCTCTTTAAAAAGGTCTGGGAGAAAAATTCATAAATTTTATGTTTTAAGGTTAAAAAATGAGAAAAACCCATTTTTACCCCATATCTTATTTTATACGATAGTTTCCACTAAATATTCCTATCATATCCTTATATATAATACGTGAAGGCGATTTCTACAAAACACTACTCCTCCGTTAATAATGGACCGATTTTTACAAACGACGTGTCAAAATAAAGTATTTATTGTGTAGACGCCCCCTTTCAACAATTCCTGTAATAAAAATCCTCGGGCTTTGTCCCACAGGCCATCAAAGTTGGAGTTTCTCCCATAAGGTTAACATGGGGGAATCTAAATAATTAACTGAAAACTTTGTCCCCACTAATTTGAGAAAACAGCTGGGCGAAGAAACTTGGTAGATGTGTCCAAAGAAAGGTCTTGGTCTGTAGATGAGTTATCAAAAGAAAAACTAAGCAAAATCCCTTAGGACTCTGCCCCAGAAGCCTTTAAAGATCCCTCCCCACAGTTGTTTACATTTTGGCCATGTGAGTAATACTTTTTAATGAAACAGCTGTTCATTTTTAAATTGTATTTCAAACAACACTCATTTATTGGGAGTTACTAAATTCTACCAAACAAGTATTTGCAATGTTATTTTCTGATTTTAAAATTGATTTTCTTCTTTATCATGTCATGTTTTGCAATATAACGTTCCATTACGAAATCAGTGGAAAATCCTTTTATCACAGCAATTCTTAAATTATTTCTTATTGAACTATCTTATATCTATTGTACGGGTTGGTGTCTGCCTCTTTCACCACTTTTGCCTACATTTTATCATATTATTCTACACATATCAAATATTTATGTAGAAATATCTGCTCTTATCGTGTCTAATAAAATCCAAACATAGAAACCTTGCCTAAAATGGTACCCATCTTGACAAATTATTTACACCTGCCTATATTACGGACTTTGGCGGGGTTTTGGGATCAGGTTGGTAACGTTATTAAAAATAACACAACATTTTGGCTGTAAAATATGATACAAAGAGAAAATAATATTTAAGCAGCTACTAACATGACAGAAAGGCCATATTCCTTTTAAACTAGATCACATAATCCTTTATAAGATACGGTGATTAACAATATGTAAACGTCAATATATACGACACAGCCAATTTACAGTATTTTTGCTTTTTGGAAATGTACCATTGCTATGTCATTTGCATTATTTGTTGCCAATTAAGCCGCCAAGACCATATGAACTAGGAGGCCCCTCAAGAATAAAAGCCAACTTCACTTCAAGTATTCCACTACACCTAACATTCCGTAGAGAGATTATATTGACAACTTTATGTTATTGATAAGGCTGAGACAACTAACTGACATCCCCCATCTCAAGGAATTCCACCTTCAACAGTAACCCCACAATCAATTTCTCAAAACTATGCTAGAGGGTTCATTCATTGGCACAGAAGTACGTTATGAACTGACACGACGTGACGAAGGAAAAATCAAACTTACGCTGTAACGGATATAACTCCCTTTGAAGTTAGAATATGTCTTCCCAAAAAATATTTTCTTTTCAAATAAAATCATATTACACTGATGAAATCACGGAAGTGTTTAACTACAAAAGATCCAACAATACGATTTTAATACTATTTAAAGGTTCTTTCAAAGGAAAAGATACCATATAACATACTAATAATAACTCCGATGATGTACAGTATAGAAAATATTTTAATCATTGAATGATCAACCAAATTTGGCAACTAACGCAATTAATACAATTATCGTTTTTACACTTATTACTCTTTAAACAATGCTCAAAATATGTATATGTCACCCAATTTATCGCAGTTAGATGGATTAACGTAAGCCTTGAAAGTAACCGTCGATTTCGACGGGTTTCACCTAGTGTTTCTTTAATTGGTGAAATACTGGTACATAACAATATATATAATAAAAGTAGGATTGAATGAAGAAAAAAAATACTGATCTGGTTGTGTGCAAAAGACTGGACTATTGCATGTCAAATGAATTATTTTTAGAATTTACCTATTTACAAGTTACCTATATTAATGGAAATGTGTTACAGGTATAAGTAGCCCATTTCAACAGTATTGGTGGAACGGAAATGAAAATGTTAGTTGATGACATTATATGTTAGATTTTTTGCCCTTGCATCTTACATACAATGGCCGCTCTTTGTAATATGTGACTTGTAGGATTATCCAACTGCAGCAGCTATGGATTGATGCCTTCACCGACCCACAAGCAAGCATTCAAACATTCTCTAGTTGCATGACTTTGGCAGACTTGAATGCTGATGATAACTGTAAACTCATCTTGGCAGATCTGGGTAGTGGGTCTACTCATGTCAAACTCAAGGTAAGCATACCACCTTAGAACTACGTGGGACCTGTCCTCTACCAATATCAATATTCCATCAATATTTGTTGCATACTATTGAACATGGAAAACCTCTAGTTTGGAACGGCTTGTTGCTCTTTATGCTTTAGAAATTGTATGAGTATGTTTGGGTAACCAAGTGGTTATAGTGCTCGCCTAACAATCAAAAGGCCGCTGGTTCGATCCTGAGAAAAGTCATTAGCTTTTTGATGGTTTGTAACTGGACCAGCTGCTCCTGATAATTGGGCTTTAAATAAATGATATTGGCTAATGAAACAGCTGATCTTAGTGACAAAGCTACACAGATCATCTTGCACCATTTATACACTCATCATTCACTCATATTTGGGTTAAAATACGCACCTAGATGGCATCCCCATCTCAATGTTTGATAATTAAATAATTATTTCTTCAATTATTATGATTCTTTCTCTCCCAAAAAATTATTAACATTTTGTATATTATTATTGCTTAACAATAATGTGTCCATAAAGTTCTTAGAATTGAACAGATAAAAAAAATGCTTGATATAATTAATAAGTACGATTTGTACTAGGCTATACAATTTTATACTCCTTATCAACATTTAATGATTAAAAAGATAAATTTTTTCTTTAAGGAATGTACAAAGTTTAGTCAATAAAAATTCAATAAATTGCTTCCTAAAACTCCTCGAAAAGAAATTTTAAAAGTAATTATCTTTACTTACCTATATTGCTTAGTATATAGTTACTTCAATTTGGAAAGTATCATTTATGCTTAAACAATATTTTATACATGTAATACTGTGTCTAATGTATAATATGAACAGGTTTACAATGGCACAAACCTGGTCAGTGAAGTACCACTGCTGGATGCCCCATCTTCTCTGGTGTCCTTGTACACAGACAACAATGATCCTCACATTCCTGGTCAGTCAATACTTCCAGTAGTTGTATAATATCTTTCAAGTTGTATAATAATGTTTTTTTATTGGATTTCATATTAAGATTTACTGAGCGTATGCCTGAATTATCCACTAGACTATAGGTGTGCACGTAACTAGGATTACCCCAAGGAGTTAGGGGGAGGGGTTACATTGGGGTGTCTGGGGGACAACCCCCAGGCAAGGGGAGGGGTGTCCAGGCCCCCCCTGCTCCTCCATAATTGTAAAAAATCACACTTTAAGGTCAAGGGGGGGTTGAAACCCCTAACCTCCCCCCCCCCTGGATACACCACTGCACTAGACCTCCCCAGGCTAGTTTGATCTTTGTGAGCCCTTTGTAAGTTGACATGCTTAGGTTTATTAGGGATTGCCAATCAGTGTTTTTAATGAAAAAATTAAGTGTAGTCAAATTTTTAAATTTTAATCTAAATATTTGAGAAATTTAGTTTAAAATCTGTAGTACCAGTACTTAAGCAAGTACAATATTTACAAAATTGCTTTTAAAATAAATTTGCATCAGTCTTTACTAAGGGTTTTAAGACTTAAGAGGCTTGAATCCAAGTCTGAGTGAGGGTTTGAAGTATAGCTCCAAACTCTTTGGCTGTAATAGTGAGAGAGTAAAATGTTAAAAATATACTTACATTTTGTACTGTTGAGTAAATTTTGTATTTGGAGGTAGCAAAGTTGCTGTTTTTCAGGTATCGCAGTGGCGTGTGGTGCCAACGTGCTGGTGTACCGCAACTGTAGGCCTTACTTCAAGTTCTCACTGCCGCTGGTGGACGGCAGCAGTCTGGAGGCAGACATCTGGAGACAGAGGAGTCAGGTGACACAGCTGGTGAGACTGCTGGAGGACCTCAGTCGAGAGATCGGCTACTCCAACCTGAGCGCTCCCTCACAGCAGCTGCTGGCGTTGGACCCATCGGCCAGGGAGGAGTTTGCCTTCAAACACAGGCACTGCTCCATCAAGAAACAGGTTAAGTTCATCCTTAGCAGTTTTATCCCAGTTTGCTATGGTAGTAAGCTGGGTAGCTGAGGGTACACAGTTCACCCAAAGTAATCTAGGTTGCCGGTTTAATCCTAAGAAATGCCAGAAGCTTTAATGGTTCAAAACTGGACTCCGCTGTCCTCGATCATTGGGCTTTTTATAAATGACCCAGCTGATCTTTATAAGTTAGTTACGCAGCTGTAATTTCATTAATTCAACCCTAATCCTTCACTTATCTTTGCTTAAGCTTAGGCATGTTGATTGATATTTTTAATCATAAACTTGTACTTACTTTTTTTATACTTTTCTTTAAAATGGCGACCATACAACTCTTCTCACAACAAACTTTTCATTACAAAATAATTTGTTTATTGTAGATCTCAATTGGGATTTTTTCAAGTTTAGATAACTTTTTCACTTAATACAGTACTGTTACTGTATGTAGGAGTGAAAATGTCAATCACAACTTGAATGTTGTAAAAGTTAGAATCATAAGCAAACTATATCAATAATTTGTTGGATGCTGTACATACAAATTTTAAATGATCATTATCAGTGGCGGATCTAGGATGTAGTTTAGGGGGGCTAAATACCACTGCGGGGTCTGGGGCGTATGGAATACTCTCTCGTACAACAGGGGGGTCTGGGGTGCAATTTTAATGCACTCTGTGACTGTGATATTAAAAATCATAACAAGGTTATTTATCTTTTCATTTCTCCTCTACTCATTTCGTTATGATCAATTTTCATATACACATTTTGTATAAAGTTTTTCACATAGTACATTTATGGTGAGTATTGTTTTTTTTTGAACTAACAAAAACAATTTTAATACAGTTGGTAATGTAATTTATTTCATAGAAAATATAATAAAACCTAAATGCACATGTAACTTGTTTAAAAGTTATCAGTCGCATTCCCAGTTCTCAATTGCCATACCTCTGCTCTTCTTTTGAAAAAAAAAAAACAGAGATAGACGAGTTCATCGCATCGCAGACTCCCCTTCGATTATACAAATGGACTCGTCCATCTCTCCTGTCAAAATCTGCGAGAGCTCAACGCTGCTCAATGCACGCAAAACTAATGTGCAACATTTATTTTATCGTAATTTTCAAAAATTGTGATTTTTTAGAGATTGAGCTTTTTTTATCTAGCATGATCTATTGTTAGTTGCCGAGCCCGAGGCTCTTTTTATCTAGTGTAAGTTTATGAGTCCAAGGAGGGGGGGGGGGTGTGCTTTAGCCCGTTTCCGCCACTGATCATTTTAAATAGCATATTTTTGTGCACTTGTAAAAATTTATTGGTTATGGATTTTTCACTACTTATTGTGTTCTCGTATCTCTCTATATATACTGAAATGGATACACTAAGGCTTATATAGCATAAGCTTCGTCGGCTCTTTGATTTGCTTATCTTTTTGTTACAGACCATGATCACCTGCATGACAACTATGAAGAAGAATGTAGCAGATGATCATGCCGTTTCCTGCTTAGTCCTGGCTACTGAGAGCAGTCAACTTTTTATCTTGGACCCGGAAGCATTTACTATTGCTGACAAATACCCTGTATGTCACTATTTTTTTTAATTGATTACTTATTTTATGATCTCTCACCAATAAAGTGAGTTTTTATTATCAGGAATATATATTGTCATCAAGAAATATTGATTTGTGGTCCTCCAATAAACAATGGTTCATCCACACACATATTCCTTCATCAAAGAAGAGTACTTTAGATTATCTGTGACAGTTAAATGTACATTTTTTGCAGTTAAGTTTTATCATGTGACCTTCAGCTGGAAATGGTTTAAGCTGCGTGGTTTAGGATGTTTAAGTTGTTGTGGAAATGTGTTTAAATTATCTCACAAATTTCCACCTAAAGAAAAGTAAATATGGCTCTTCAATAGAATAAACTTATATTGAAAGTTTATGCAACTTTTTTATGTAAGCCTATTCAGTTCAGTTTTAAAAGGGTAGATAGTTAACAAATTTTTAAGACCATAGTTTATTTGCCACCATGTTCGGTACAGTCAGAATGACAATTTATTTAGCTTGAACAATCTATTTGCTGGTTCAGAGCTCACATTATCACAGATAGTCAATAATAATAGTATTACAGAAAAAGAATAGTTCAGTGACAGCGACTGCATTTATTACTTGAATCAGGTGTATGCTATTTCCCTTTCTTGTGGGACTTGTGTGTCTACTCTTTAGTCTTTGGTAGTATGTTTGCAATACTTGTTGATGATCCCCTACTTTGTTTGCGTGTTACAGTTGAACTCCGTCGCTTATCTACTGAGCGCCACAGGTCTGTACTCTGTCGACTACTGCGTGCTGATGGTATCACAGACAGGTTTTGTGTCTGTAATGAAAGCTGGTGTAGTCTGTGGACTTGCTCAACTGTCTGCATGTCCTATAGGAATAGCACAAGTCTTACGTACCTTCGTCGTTGCAAATATGGACAACACCCTCCAGGGCTATTCTCTCAAGGTTAGGAAAATACATATTTATAACGAGAGAAATCTTAATTCTATATAAGCAGGGCCGCATTTATTTAGAATATTTGAGGTCCCTGGCGGCTCAAACCAAAGAGGCCCCTCAGTTCTGATTCTTCGTTTGCTGGTGATTAGAGGATCTAGAACTACACTTGGTATTTGCTTTAACTCGATGAACACGACCCTTTGTTTTTGACAGTCGGATTGGCAAATTGACCTAGGACACAAGGAGACCATTTTATTTTTGAATAATAATATAAGGGGTCAGCGGGCCAGAATATTTTACTTTGGGTCCTTTCAAAATTTTGACCTTCGGTTGTCGGGCTGAAATCAGGTCAGGACAAATTTGGTTTGCTTTGGAAAGTATTGTAAAAATATTAGTTGTTGTACTATAATCGGTCCAAACAACTTCTGCAATAGTGAAGAAATCGTGGACACGTAACTAAATTTAAAATGAAATAAAGAGTCCTCAGTCATGACAAAATTGTGAGCGTCCTCTGCAGTTGCAGTGAACATTCACGGTGAAATAGTAAACATATTCCGTGTTTGTAGAGACATCATCCACAATCATCCTCTACCATGATAGTGGCGAAATTGTAAACACCTCCTGTGGTTGGTGAGAAATTGTGAACAACTTTTGAGGTCTCAGAGACTTCATCATCGTCTCCCTTGATCATGGGAAATTTTGATTTTTGATCCCACAACTTTCACAGATGTTTTCAGCGACCTCAAGAATAAAAGCTCAGCTCAAAAATTGAACTTACCAACATAGTATTGGTTAAAAAAAAATGTTAAGAGAAAAATTACTTTGAGGTCCCTTGCAGGTCAAGGCCCTGGCAACCGTCGTGTCCGCGGTTAGTCAAATACAGCCTTATACTATTGGCTTATTAGATGGATATTATCGTAATCTATCTACAGAATACTTTTATAAATGTGCACCTTTCAACTGGCTGCAGCTTAACCAGGCTTAATTTGTCAGGAAATTACTTCCTTTAAAGGTTATTTTATAATAGGGTGTGTGCAATTATACAGTTCATCTGAGCTTTAGACAAAGGTCACATCCTAGACCTTTCGTAACAGGATGGAACAATTTTTTCTATTAAAACTGTAGGGAGTATAAGTATAACTAGCAAAGTATTACAAATTATAGTTAACTGGCTGCAGTCTCAGATCCAGTGGCTGGTTTACAGGGTGTTTACTATACTTTGTATTAACTCACAACAATAAGGCATAACTCCAAGAGATCACCACATTGTTGTGTGATAGGGAACCAAGCAGTGGACAGTCAGTTTACCTGGAGCTCCAGTAACTATGGCCTCAGTGCCTCTGACCAACCAAGCCCTGCACCTGGTGGCAGTGACCGTGTCTCTAGACTCAGGGGGTGGAGTGATGCTGTACTCTGGACCTCAACTGATGCACTCCTTCCTCACACCGCAGCCAATCTCTGCTCTCGTCTTTGGCCGATACGGGAGGGAGGAACACGCTCTTGTATCTGTGTCTGACAGTAAGATATGTAGTTCAATATGATTGTTGGATTGGATGAAGTACTTTATTACTTTTTAATACTTTTCATTGAAATTGTGACCATACAAAGTAGGTATTTTTATTTTTATTTTAAGTTTAAGCCAAAAGTATGAATGGAAATGAGTGTAGGATGAGTAGTCTGTTAGGATCTTGTAGTCTTTTTAGTGACTAAGGCTGACATATTCCTTAGACACAGCTGTTAATTAATAGCCCATACAGCTAATGACAACTAAAACTAAGGGACCTACAGTTTATAGTGGAATCCGAACCACATTTTTGCCTTGGTATTAACGAATTGGTCTGATTATCAGTCGTAGTACTCACTAGTGTAGACGTTAATCCACACCAGGGTATATCGTATCCACAGTGCATGACTATAAATATCCACAATTCGTGATCTCCTAGTAGCTGGATTACAGGATGACGCCACCAGAAATGTGATGTTTAAGTGATAGTTTTAGATTTATTTAACATTTATTTAGCTAACTTAAATTTAGTTAGCTGATAATTCAATTGCACAAAGATCTTTTAAGTAAATAATTAATATCCATCCTAAAATGTTCAAAATACAATTCCTTACCAACGTTACAATGTGTCTACATATTATGCTCATTGGTATTGATTAGAAATCAACTAATATTGAATTCATTTTAGCCTGTTCTTTACTTTAGGTTAAAAAATATGTATCTTAAAAATAAAAGGATAAGACTACTTTGTAGACTAATGCAGGGTACACACAAGCGGCTCATCTAGCTGACTGGAATTGACTAGCATTCCGCGCGACCTGGCAACACACAAGTTCACACGAGCGACGCGTCCACCGACTAGATTACAAGTGTGACGTAAATAAATGTGCATCGATAAACGATAAGTCGATGTTTTGCTATCAATATTTGATGTTTCTTGCAGCAAAAGTAGGCGCCTGATGTTTTTGTTGCAATGATGTTTTAAACAATTATCAATGGTTTTCGTAACTAAATTTGCATTAGAATGATGAAATTCAGGTAACAAACCACCAATTAAACTATTATAAAAGTTTGGTTCAAAATAAAATTATCGTTAAGAGGGTGATGAGCAATTAAAAATTATTTTTAGAAACATCTCAGTCGTTTATCAACTGATATTTTGTTTTTTCATATTGTTTGGCTTGTAATACAATTCACATAAAAGTTGTATGCAATTTAGAATGTTGTTAATTTTCTTTCAATCAATAACGCTATTAAATGGAAGCCAAACAAAATATTAAACTGAAACCACAAGATAATCTTTTATTACCATAATGCTAATTGTTTCTATTACTTTCGTATTTGTACCAGTCTATACGAGCCGAAATCTATTTATTTTGATTTCTTTCTTTTTATGTCTTATTAATTTTATCATGATGTCCCGAAAGAAAGTGTTCCAAAGACACAGCTGTTTCTTCACTCTTCACTGATTTGATGAATATCGATATCAAACCAACTTGGATCCATCACTGGGGCACGTATGCGAGCTGCAGTGCGACGACCGACCGCCCGTGTGAACGCTCTCATATGGCTACGTGTACTGCTACGCCGCTAGAGCTATTGACAGTCGCGACACTTGGCTGGGATGCGGGGCCTGGCGATGGTTTGCAACCAAGCTTGATCGTGGCTCGATCGCCGTTGCCGTACACTCATGTGAACGGCTCCGTGTTCCGCTTCCTAGTCACAGCCTAGTCTGCTAGATATGTCGCTTGTGTGAACCGTGTATTAGGGACCCTTAATTACTGGTGCTGGTGCATGTATTATCTAGTAAGCTTGCCTGTATTATTTATAATTTATCTAATACTTAATTTATCATGCATGTAAACCTTTTATTGATGTAGATTGATTTCAGGTATCTTTCTGATTACCTTGCTTTATTATTTATTGACATGATCCATTGCATTTTTTGTATAATGTTTAGTAATCAAATAAATCTATTTATCAATCTATCTAATTAGCTGCACAACTTTTGAATGCTCACAAAAAAAATACACAAAATAGATTTTGCTCAAACAATGTACTTACTTACTTAATCCTGTCCTCTTCTACCGGTTGGTGTCAAGGTTACAAGGCGCCTCCATGACTTTCTGTCTGCAGTGAGTGGTAGAGATTCACAAATGGAGCTGCTCCTCTCACACAGAGCATTCTCTATCTCTTCCTCCCATTTTCTTCTCGGTCTACCTCTCTTGCACTTACACTCGACTTTGACCTCTTTCATCATCTTCCGAAGTCGAGTTGTGGGCATACGATGAACATACCCAAACCACTTTAGTTGCTGTTCCTGTATTGTGGTAGTTAAGAGCTTAACATCTATAGTGTTTCTTATTGCAACATTCCTTATCCTATCCCTTCTCGTTTTGTTCTCTACTTTTCTAAGATACCTCATCTCCATTGCTTGGAGCTTGCTTTAAGTCTTTTGGTCAATAGGTCAATGTCCAGGATTCACATCCATCCATAGGTCAAGGTAGGCACGAAGGTAGATTTGTAGACTGCTAATTTGGTTTTCTTTGAGATTTCTTTCTTGGCCAGAAATTGGTTTCTTATGCACCAAAAGAGGCGACTTGCTCCTGCAACCCTTCCGTCTATTTCTTCTTCTAATTTTCCGGTGTTTTGCGATAACTGAGCCTAAATATTTAAATGTTGATACCTGTTTCAAGGGGCTATTTCCTACTGAGATTTTATGGTTGACCTTTTTCCCACTGATGACCATGGTTTGGGTTTTGTTTGCATTTATTTTCATACCTTTTTTTAGGGGTGTGTTTTTTGACAGCTCATTCGCCCATATGTTCATATTATTCTGCAAACTTTCTTCTTTTTTCCCCAAAACCACTATCGTCTGCAAAAGCTAGGCTGCAAATTTTAACAGCTCTTTAATTGATAGTTTCCACCACAAGACTTTTAGTTTTACCATATACAGGGTGATCAACTCAAGGAGGCCACCATTGGGATATCGGAAACGGTAAGAATTAGAGAAAACTTTAAATGGGGGACATTCCTTTATTTTTTGTGGCAGTTAAAAATATGATTTTATTTTTTCAAAATTCAGCTGCCATTTTCCAAAATGGCGGCCAACTTTGAAATTTCTTACGGAACACCCTATATTTTATCATGTTTTCGGATAGAACAGGCAATTTAAAAACTTTTTTATTCTTGAAATTTTTTCGATAAACCCACTCGTTTAGGAGTTACAGCTTATGGAAAAATGACTTCCGGTGTACATTTTACATCATGTAGCTCCTAAACAAGTAGGTTTATAGTGAAAATGCGAAGAGTAAATAAGTCAAAGAAGTCTTAATATTGCATCCACATTCCATAAAGACCATAAAATACACAGTTTTCTACTTTTCAAGTTTGCCGCCATTTTGAAAAATGGCCGCCATTTTTAAAATAATAGATTTAATAGTTTTAACGAATTTTATGGTCTTTTTGGAATGTGGATGCAATTTTAAGACTTATTTGACTTATTTACTTTTCGCATTTTTGCTATAAACTTACTTGTTTAGGAGCTACATGATGTAAAATGTACACCGGAAGTAATTTTTCCATAAGCTGTAACTCCTAAACGAGTGGGTTTATCGAAAAAATTTCAAGAATAAAAAAGTTTTTAAATTGCCTGTTCTATCCGAAAACATGATAAAATATAGGGTGTTCTGTAAGAAATTTCAAAGTTGGCCGCCATTTTGGAAAATGGCGGCTGAATTTCGAAAAAATAAAATCATATTTTTAACTGCCACAAAAAATAAAGGAATGTCCCCCATTTAAAGTTTTCTCTAATTCTTACCGTTTCCGATATCCCAATGGTGGCCTCCTTGAGTTGATCACCCTGTATACTAACTAAGCCTGCCTATGTGTCAAACCCAACCAGATTGATGGAGAATTTGAGTTTAAAAAAATAGTACTTCAAAAACTGTCCTAGTCTTGCTGGTATGGCATTTCGGTTTTCTACATTTAGAAGCACTTTGGCAATATGTGCTCTTGCTTTTCAACCTTGAAATCTGCTTAACACCCTACAGTAAATAGTGTTAAATGTGACCCTACAGCTTTTATCTAAAGAATATCACATTCTAGTACCATCGGAAAAGTATTTTATTACCCGCAAGGCTGTAAAATAATAAAATAATTTAGTGAAATTCTAGTGAAATGCCTTTTAAATTCTAGGTATTATTTTCCTTTTGGGAAATATTAAGGGATATTTGAAGTTTTACATAACACTATCATTAAACTGGTAATTGTTTGAATGTGTTAAGGCGGCGCACTGTCTGTGAAGCTTCTCAAGAGAACCGCCCAGTTTGGCAGTGGAGAGAGACAGTCATCTGTCCAGGACAAACCCCACAACATCAAACTTCTGGTGCCCAAAAAGAGCAAACTGTTTGTGGAACAAACTCTGAGAGAACGGGAACAATACAAAGGTATATAAAAAATGTGTCTATGTTCACTCCTTTAAATCATTGCAATAAAAGTACTCTATACTTCTGCCGTGAGATGAAGTAATGAAAGTGTCCAAATTGGAGTATTTCATCCATGCAAGTCTGCTGTATATGCAGTGATTTATCCTCTAAATGTTGAATGTCCCCAGAGATTCACCAGTGGTTTCACAGAGCCTGGCTGGGCCTGAGTGTTTCTGCTAGTGAGGCGTATGTCAACGCTCTGCGCAACGCAACTGTCTGTCAGCGGGAGGCTCTCAAACTCACTGCTCAGGTGACTTACAACCATAATGTCCAAACAAAACTTTGCAAACTTATTATTGGGATGAGGTTTGTAGTACCTACATTTGCCATGTGATTGTCTGTATAGCATAAGTCGTTTTGAATCATATACACCACTTGGGTGGCCACCACAAGAAACAGAAAATTATGAAAAGCACCATCAATAAAATATTAATAATTACCATTGGTAGTAATCTTAAACTTTGAAATAGCTTCTATCTCTTTCAAATTTTGAGTGAAAGTACTGATAGACTTATTGGTAACATAAAGAAGTTGGTTGAATGACACACTAAAATCAAAGCTAAATTCTGAGCAACAGCTATACTGATCAAACTATAACCCTCAGTTTACGGTGTTACAGGTTTTGGGCCTTGGACCCAAGTTGAAAGTGCAGTTGTTTTTGGAGAACCTCGCCTCTGACTATATTCCTGCGGGACTTGCTGTCTCAATCGTATTTGACAGCAATATCTACACAGTTCATCAACCTTACATCCCGGTAATTATTTTTTTACTATAATTTTTCTTGTTGGAGCGATAATAAAATACAATAAAACCTTAATTGTTTTACTAAATTAAAGTGCCATTGGTGTTTGGACTTTTTAAATCTAGCTGGAGAATGAGGTTGCTTAAGTAGATCGAAAGCTGCTCTAAGCAGATCTATATCACGCTCACCGTCGAAGGAAGATGCAATGTCTGATTTTTACATATTATATCAATTTCATATGTCTTTCAACTATATGTCTAAATTTAATCAAAATATAAACCATAAAAGGTAATTCTGTGTCCTACTCCTCAATGTTAGTGTAAAAATTACCAAAACCGGTGTTGTTAAACTCAATGCAGTCAACTTCTACCCATGTGTACACTGTTAGTTTATGGTGGGCCCACTGGCTATGTCATAGGTTAGTAAGCTTAATATGGATTGCACATGTACGGGAATCAAACTGGCGCATGTTGATTGACCTCAAAGCCAATTTTGTCAGTTGAACGAATCAGTCATGTTATCCACCGTGTGACTGTCGGCTGGCAGGGACAAGGATCGCTATAGACAAATTACATAAGCATTTGAGGGTTACCAAGTAATTAAATGCTGTGACAAACGTGGTACATCAAACAACGTTGACAGGTTGATTTCAAATTTATTGATATAATGTCTTTTCACTTACTAAACCAGCTATACAAAACAATATGGCAAATTAACGGCTAAGTAAAATATTTTACAGAATGTGATGGGGACCAGACAGTTATCGCCACTCTTGCTCCTACAGTAGTTTTATTTGTTTGGATATTTCAGGTGCCAATGTTGGTGTTTGGTCTGAGTTGTTGTCTGGAGACCCTAGTAACCTGTCATCTAGCAGTGGCCGGTCAGTTGACTGTTTTGGTGTTTGCCCGTAAAATATTACTCTCAGCTGTCATCAACATGCCTTCTGGTTGGTTCATTTTAATATTCTAATACAAGATATACTGAATTAATAAATATTAAATTTATACTGCAACTAACACAGTATTTAAATACAAGTAAAAGGTAATATGGGCAATAATTGAACTGTAAATGATCAAAAATACAGTTCAATGTTGTGATTACACTAAACCCTCTTTGATCCAGACTAACCAATTGGGTATTCTTGGTGTTGGGGTTATTGTCGCCATTTAAATTTAAAGTATTAAAAATATTAACAAGTTTTGGTATGAAATAGGAATAAATTACTATTCCGAGTATTCACCAATTAATATTGTTATATTTGTTCTTACACAAAAAAATGCTGGACAAAAATTTATAAACATAATAAGGGATGCGTCAATTCTCAATACTGATTCTTGATACCACAGCTATACTTGGACATTGGTATTGGTATCGTAATCGATGATACCCTCACGGCTGCAGTAGATAACCAGAATTTGGTGGCGATCGTGGAAGACCACGATTATGTCTAGTCGATCATGGGAGATGTTTATGATTTTGCGTTGATTGTGCATGATGACAATGGCGTTTCCGTGACCGCGGGAGTCGATGATGTCCATACGGCCGTTGGAGATAATGGGATTTTGGTTTTGATCTCGGAAGACGATGATGATGTTTCCATTACTGCGAGGAGTATTCAAGATTTTGATCTAACCACGGGAGACGATGATGATGTCCAAACAACTGCGGGATGATGATAAGGTTGACGTACGGAAGATGATTAAAATCTTGCCATCATCGTTGGAGACGATAATGATGTTTAAACGACCGCAAAGACAACAATGATACTTATACAATTGCCGGAGATGATCAGAATTTTGCCTCGATTGCTGAAGAGTATGATAATGTGCACATGACTGTGGGAGATGTTCTCGATTTTATCTTGATCACTGGAGACATTGATACGTTTTTCTGTGATCGCAGGAGACGTTAAAGGTGTTTCCCTTACCACAGAACATGATTCAGGATTTTCCCTCGACTGAGAAAGACAGTGATGATGTTTCTGTGACTAAGGAAGATATTGAGGATTTTGTAGTGATCCCAAGAAGACAACAATGATGTCTCCATGACCACAGGAGATAATCAAGCTATTACCTCGAGTTCGCTTGGCAGAAATTGTCACGCTGACATATCTCTAGTTGTATTACAATTGTATTTTTGTTTTGTTAGATCTTCATTCGCTGTTAATATGTGCAATTAACAAACTACAACCCTCCTCCTAAACAGAGATTACACTACTCCTCCCCTCTAAAACAACATCAATACATAATTTATTACTCACCTTGACAATACGACAACAACCACTTATGAACAATAGCTATTGTTTTCCATAGGGTGTTAAAACATTAAATGTTATGTAATGTGTTTAGAAGGGTTTAAACTGAAATTGGCTTGTTAGAATTTGTCATTGCTGCATTGAACAAAAGACCCTATTACTGTACCTCAAAAATACTTTATGGAAGGACATAGGCTAAAGGCAGGAGTTGGTGTAGTATAATCAATCGATTTAGAAAATTTTGTGAAACTATTTAAAAAATGGTGTCTGTATTGAGAATATATTTTTCAGGTATCGGTACCAGTATGGAGAATTGGTTTTTAAGTTATCGGTTTCAGTATTGAGAATTGATTTTTCGGTTATCGGTACAGTACCAGTATTGAGAACCGATAAATTTTTGTATCAACACATCATTAATTGGAATAGATGTCATTATCAGCCTACATCAGATTTATGTTTGGCAGGAAAATGTGGCGGGACAAGGAGCTTTTCTGCCTCCTTTTGAATTCAAATTCAATTTTTAATGATTTTATTGCTTTGTTTGTAACCATCAATTCTGTTCATTATGTTTCAGCTGCCGTTCCTCCCTGAAGAAGTGCTGTCAATACTTAGGACTAGAGAACCTTTATACTTTATCACTTGTGTATTAGAATGATCAACAGTTATTTAATGGTTTCCTAAAACTATAACTATTTACTGTTGAATTTTGTACAGATTAACGTATTGTAAAGTGTTCAAGTTTTTTTAGCTAGGCATTCAGGATTTTAAACAGAATTTAAAATTTTTAATTGAGCGGAGCGAGCGGAGCGAGCGAAGCGAGCGAAGCTCTTTGGGATCAACTTCAATGCAAACAATATAACACCATCACTCAATAACGGCTGAACACATTTCAGCCAAACTTAACAAGACTACTTAGACTAATAATGAGATGGTTTGTAAACAAACAAATTTCAATTAGATAATGCTAATGCAATTTAAAACGAACTTAAAATTTAAAATTTTTAACATTGGGCTTATGGGACTAAAGTAGCTATGACAGTTTTTTTGTTTACAAGAAAAATGTAAACAAGAGAATCATAAGGTATTTCTGAACTTTCTATACTTTTCTTTTAAACGATTTTAAACCATTCCTATGATTTTAATAAACAAGAAAATGCCGTTAAAACATTTTTTTAAGGCACGGAATTCACTGAAAATCGAGAAAATATACTGAACTACTTTCTCAATGCGCGGAGCATAAACAAGGAGCGGAGGGATACGGACCGGTGACTACTTTCTTGGGAACCTATTTGTGTTGCCAGCTGATTAGAAACAGCCAATGTTAGAAATCAGGATTTAATAAGCGATATATCGAACCGCATCGAAATCGGTATCTAATCCGATAATACCTCATAGGTTATATTATGTTTAATTACATCGACGGTACAGTAAGTTATTACACTTATTGATAAAACGCAGATTGAACACTGATTTAGGCATGTGGGGAGGTAGGTCGGGGTTTATGAGTATTCGTGACTACATTAAGTGTTTTGAAGTAAGGTTAGATTAGGAAGGTATAGTGTAGGTTATAGGTAGGCGATCGGGTTCTTTATTTGTGTTGCACCATATAATTTTTTAACTTTTGGAATGGAATAGTTGGTTAAGGTTAAACGGGGAAACGATTTCAAAAATGCTTGCATATGGTCTTAACTTAACAAACCATCTACAGTATTCTAGCTTTGACTTTATATAAAGTCAATGATTCTAGCAAATTATTACATACTGACAAAAAGAAAAGAGAACATTTGGATTTGTACCTTTGACCATAGCAAAACTAACATATAATTATGGAATGTGAAAAGTTGTATATCATTATATACTATTCTGTAATATTAATAATTGTTCGGCAAATCCTCATTTTAATGGCTCGGCTGAAAATGGAATCTGCATTTTGTGAAACAGTAATTTGGTAACAATTCAGTTATTTCAAATGTTGATAACAGTAGCCCATCCTATACAAATACTGTTATTTGATTGCCAAGCCACGGACTATACATACGTCCAGTTACAACCGTTGATAAGTAAACCTGGGCTTATAGAAGTACACTTTTAACCACGGTATGGATAATTGTCTAGGCCTGTCCAGAAGTAGGCTACTAATTTCTAATTATATTATCTACATTGTATATTTAAGGCATGTCTTTCCTACTTATTATATTATTCTGTTTTCACTTAAATCAGCTGAATGCGATTTTACTTATAACTTATGTTTAATTAAATTCCATTTTAATTAAACATAAGTTTAGTCTACTTATGTTTAGGCCTACATTCCAGCCATTTTATGTTGCACGGTTGAATTTAAATGTCAAATTTCCCCTCCTGTTGTTATACTTTAATACTCGTTTTTTTATAGTTACTGTTTTTTTTATACTTAAATACTTTAACCGATTGTAAGGGTGAAAAATGTAGCCGTTGCATTTGAATGTTAAATTACCTTTCTCATTTTTATACTTTACTTTTTGGATGTTAATATCAGATTCCAACTAATGTAATATTTTCCTGGTCAAAACTACCATAATGCACTTCTCGAAGAGGTAAATTTGAGTTATTATAATTTTAATCTTTAAAACCAGCATTAGTAAATAAATCTATTGACCTTTTTACATTTAGTTACTTATACAAATATCAAATCACGTTTGTTCCGCTCAACTGGCTTTCACCTCTCTGAAAGCAACCCTAGTTTTAATGTGTGTCACTTTATCTCATCTGTTTTGTACAGATCTTAATAAAGCTGTTAACTGTTACATATCAGTATTTCCACTTCTTCTATTAAAAATTACAATCAAGTTGTCAATTTGAACCCAGTACCTTGTAACAAGCCCTTGTAAGGACATTCTAACAGGGCTTGTGATAGAATCCAAATTAACCTTGGGAAGATTTGTAACAGCCACATAGTTTTTGTATTAAAGTTTTTTTTATCCCACCAAACTACAACAATTACAACAAATTTACTGCTTTTATTGGTAGATACTATTTCAATCCATTAAAATTTAGGAGCAATTTATTATTTACACATATTTAATATTGTGACAGTGGAGTAAATCTTCCTTGCATACAAGTACAATGAAATGGATAGTTATTTCAATACAGCTATAACCAGAACTTTTTAACTTATACGTCGACTTTTATGCATTTCGTAATACGCAAACTCCTCCTAGACGGCTGAATCAATCGTTTTCAAATTTTGCATGGTGATAAAGACCATATCGGTGAGTGCCAACATCTATATGGCGTTAAAAAAGTCTCTCAGGAATCCGTAGAAAAATGAAACTGAAAATCACATTTTCTTAACATTAGTCTTATGGGTTGCTAGGTAACCATGTTGGCTGAATTAAATAACAAGTAAAAAGTAAACAAAAGATTTGAAGTTTTAGCATGTGTTCATAATAAGCCAACTACCCACAGTATACTAGGAAATTACAAATAAAGTACAAAAGGAAAAACATCACTTGTTAATATTGAGCAAAGATTATACTTAAGATTACTCGATACATTGTAGTCAAGGGTAGCAGTGCGAAGTCTAGGATCTGTTTATGACGAATACATTAAGGTATCTGCAATCCTAAAATGCTATGGGAAGGGAAGGAAACAGGTCCGTGACGTAGGAAGTAGTGAAGGAAGTAGTAAAGGCAATCATAAAATGCTATGGGAATAGAGGGAAACAGGTCCGTGACGTAGGAAGTGATATGAAGGAAGTAGTAAATGCGAGCAGTTCGGAGTGTGGGGACTGTTTATGACGATAAGATTAGGGTATCTGCAATCCTAAAATGCTATGGGAAGGGAGGAAAACAGGTCCGCGACGTAGGAAGTGGTGAAGGAAGTAGTCAAGGCGAGTAGTCCGGAGTGCGGGAACTGTTTATGACGATTAGATTAAGGTATCTGCAATCTTTAAGTGCAATGGGAAGGGAGGGAAACAGGTACGCGACGTAGGAAGTGGTGAAGGAAGTAGTCAAGGCGAGCTGTCCGGAGTGTTGGAACTATTATGATGATTAGATAAGGGTATGGGCAATCAAAAATGCTATGGGAAAGGGAGGGAAACAGGCCCGTGACGTAGGAAGTGGTGAAGGAAGTAGTCAAAGCGAGCTGTCCGGAGTGTGGGAACTGTTTATGACGATAAGATAAGGGTATGGGCAATCCTAAAATGCTATGGGAAGGGAGGGAAAGAGGTCCGCGACGTAAGAAGTGGTGAAGGAAGTAGTCAAGGCGAGCTGCCAGGAGTGAGGGAACTGTTTATGGCGATTAGATAAGGGTATGGGCAATCCTAAAATGCTATGGGAAGGGAGGGAAACAGGTCCGTGACGTAAGAAGTGGTGAAGGAAGTAGTCAAAGCGAGCTGTCTGGAGCGTGGGAACTGTTTATGATGATTAGATTAAGGTATTTGCAATCCTAAAATGCGATGGAAAGGGAGGAAAATAGGTCCGCGACGTAGGAAGTGGTGAAGGAAGTAGTCTAGGCGAGTTGTCCGGAGTGTTGGAAATGTTTATGACAATTAGATTAAGGTATCAGCAAACCTAAAATGCTACGGGAAGGGAGGAAAACAGGTCCGCGACGTAGGAAGTGATGAAGGAAGTAGTCAAGGTGAGCTGTCCGGAGTGTGGGAACTGTTTATGACGATTAGATAAAGGTATTTGCAATCCTAAAATGCTATGGGAAGGGAGGGAAACAGGTCCGCGACGTAGGAAGTGGTGAAGGAAGTAGTCAAGGCGAGTAGTCCGGAGTGTGGGAACTGTTTATGACGATTAGATTAAGGTATCTGCAATCTTTAAATGCAATGGAATGGAGGGAAACAGGTCCATGACGTAGGAAATTGTGTAGGATGTAGATGTGTGGATTTATGTATCTCCAATACTACGGTGCTTTCAGAGTGAACTAATGATTTTCCCTGAGCAAAGCTCGGTCCCCAGGTACTATAATCAAATGACGACACTAGCTTGAGGTTCGTGACGTATGAAGAGGTTAAGGAAGTAGTAAAGGTGAACAGTCTGGAGTGTGGAAACTGTTTATGACGATTAGATTAGGGTATCTGCAATCCTAAAATGCTATGGGAAGGGAGGAAAACAGGTCCGCGACGTAGGAAGTGGTGAAGGAAGTAGTCAAGGCGAGTAGTCCGGAGTGCGGGAACTGTTAAGCATGATCGGACTGGGACGGGTGGCGTCGTCCTGTAATCCAGCTACTAGGAGGTCACGAATTGTGGATATTTATAGGGATGCACTGTGGATGCGATGCTCCCTGGTGTGGATTAACGTCCGCACTAGTGAGTACTACGACTATCCGCAGTACTATCCTGATAATTAGACCAATTCGTAAATTACAAGGAAATATGTGGTTCGGATTCCACTATAAACTGTAGGTCCCTTAGTTGCCATTAGCTGTATGGGCTATTAATTAACAGCTGTGTCTAAGGAACATGTCGGCCTTAGTCACTAACAAGACTACAAGATCGCGCTACTCATCCTACACTCATCCTTCACTCATATTTGGGTTAAAATACGCACATAGTGGCGTCCCCATCTTAACTAATTGAATTGATAATTGTTTATGACGATTAGATTAAGGTATCTGCAATCTTTAAGTGCAATGGGAAGGGAGGGAAACAGGTCCGCGACGTAGGAAGTGGTGAAGGAAGTAGTCAAGGCGAGCTGTCCGGAGTGTTGGAACTATTATGACGATTAGATAAGGGTATGGGCAATCAAAAATGCTATGGGAAGGGAGGAAAACAGGTCCGCGATGTGGGAAGTGGCGAAGGAAGTAGTAAAGGCGAGCTGTTCGGAGTGTGGGATCTGTTTATGACGATTAGATTCAGGTATCTGCAATCTTAAAATGCTATGGGAAGAGAGGGAAACAGATCCGCGACGTAGGAACAGGTGAAAGAAGTAGTAAGGTGAGCTGTCCGGAGTGTGGAAACTGGAAACCGTTTGTAGCAGTTTTAATGTATCTGCAATGCTGAAATGCTATGAGAAGGGATGGAAGCATGCCCAAGACATAGGAAATTGTGAAAGAAGTAGTAAAGTCTAGCAGTACGGACAGTGGGGATGTTTGTTGCAATTAGATTAACGTATCTAAAATACTAAAATGCTATGGAAAGCGATGAATACAGGTCCACGACGTAAGTGGTGAAGGAAGTAGTAAAGGCTGGCAGTGCAGAGTGGGGGAACCGTTTGAGCAGATGGAAAGGTGAATTTGTAATACTTAAATGCTATGAGAAAGGAAGGAAACAGGCCAATGACGTAGTAAATGGTGAAGGAAGTAGTAAGACTAACAGCGCAGAGTGTGGGAACTGTCTTTGGCAATTACATTAATGTATCTGCAATCCTAAAATGCTATGGGAAGAGAGGGAAACAGGTCCACGACGTAGGGTGTGGTGAAGGAAGTAGTAAATGTGAGCAGTGTTGAGTTTGGGAATGGATTAATGTATCTGCAATGCTAAAATGCTACGGGAAGAGACTGTAGACTGTAATATGTTAAAAATGATTACGAAGCACAAATCGATACATATTTTCGATACATTCAATCGTTTACAATCGAAATTTACAACTGAGTTGACAACAGCTGATTTTTACTCCATAGAGGCTAAAAACGATTTTTACTCCCTAAATATTAAAAATGCTACTTTAGACCCGCAGCGCATGCATGAAAAAATACTGTTTTTACTGCAGTAAGACAAAAACAATATAATATGAACCCTTGATGACTCCGCTCAATTTTGTGGATGCCTCTGCGAACGCCACCTAGTTATTTAATAATTTTAAATTACACTGGGGATAATTGCTTATTAGGCAAAAAATTAGGGCTTGTAAGGTTAGGATTGCAGAATTTTACTTATAGCTATTTCAAAAGAAATCCCAGCCAAATAAGTAATTTGTGTTAACAAATCATATTGCTAGGGAAAATTCTATAAACTATCCAAGAAGACTTGTATTTGCAAGATGGCAAGGTGGCGCCTCACTAAGTTTTCCAAACAGCCAACCCATACAAACTGGATAAGCTATGTACAATGAAAGGATACTGTTTCAACTCATTGGAGGAGATTAGTTGAACAATTAAATGATACATGATACTAGTGAAAACAATCTTATGTATAAGTTTACAGTGTATAAAACAAAGTGTTAGTTACACCACTTATAACTCAAAAACGGCTGGACCGATTTTTATGATTTTTGATTTGTTGGATTCGTCTTTGTCTCGATTAACATATAGGCATATCAGTTTTGTATTCAACCTTAGGGCTTAGCCCCACTGGCCTGTAAAGTTTGTATGTTAAGCTTATGGAGCTATTGGAAGAATGTAAATAATCAAATAATTAATTGAAGTCAGCCTTAGATACTTTAATGTGACAGTTTATAAAGCAGAGGTTAAGAGGTACAGGTTCTGCTCCCAAGATTCTAAAGTTTTATGATTATGAGAATATAGTTTTACTAGTGGATTTTTGTAATTATTTTGATATAGTACCGGTAGCTAATTCTTAACAAATTTTCAAACTGATTAACACGCCATGTTTGGATTAAAATTTTATACAGATACATGTTTTTAAAACTGAAAGAAAAAAAATATTTTTTAAACATTTAGGAGACTATGTTTATACTATTATTTGCTTTTTCATTCAACTTAAAAACTAAAAATTTCAATTTTACTATCATTTATTGTCCAGGTAGCTACTACTTATATTTTCTTCTAAATTATAATTACTTGAAGTCTAGACACTTTGTATGCTATTGTAAAGTCTAAAGCCTTTTGAAACTGTATTTCATGAGTGATTTTGATTGAGTGTCCTGATGGTAAAATTATTAATTTCACATAACTTGCACGTCACATTACCGTAGCTTTTTTCACATTTAGAGAAAAGGAGTTGTTGTGTTTTACTACAACACTGCTTTAATTTTACTATGGAGGATAACACAAAACTAAGCTGTATGCAATTCACTTTTGCTTCTAAAATCAATTAAATATTTGATTTGTAACTATATTCCTTTACTGAATGGTTAGTGTGTAAATTAATGTAAATACAATGAACTAAGGTACAGCAGCTAGTAAGATATAAGTACAAATTTGCAGCTAACAAACATTTATTATAAAATAATTATCCCGCCTTCAAACTCAATCTCAAAATTGTTGGGTTAGTATCGAAGTGGGTGACACCCACGGACCACTCAACAAATGTTAAACTTAAGTATATGACACTGTCTGATAATCTAAGTTAGCTGATTACAAAAATCACTTAGTATCTAAATTTTAGTTGGTGACGGGAGAAGCAATAATATCTTAAGTTAGGTGCGTAATATTGATCTATTGATAGTAGAGCTAATCTCTGAGGTGTGGTGCGGCTGATAGTGTTCAGTGGTATGGATGGCCCTGGCCTGGCCTACAGAGTTGGCTCGCTATGGTGAGTGCTTATTCTTATTTTTCTTGATAATTTGAACACTTTATATTTGTAAACACTTTATTTTTATATTATTTTCTCTGTATTTGCAAATATAATTTCTATGTGATATGTTTGTCTGTATGATCTTGTATGACATGAGGAGTTTTAGCTGAAATTGATATGGTAAATTTATCCTTTTATATTTATTTGATTGACTTTCTCTGAGTTTTCTAATCCGTAGTCATTGTTTTAAACATGAAATCTAGAAAGTATTCTTTTAAATTTTTAAACCCCTTAAAAATTTATCACTAACCACCAATGTGTAATATAATTGGTTACTTGTAGGCTATTAGCTATTATGGTTTTAATTTAAAACAAAGTCTAGTTTTGGTACTCATAAAAAAACCAGAAGTTAAAATCAAAATGGATGAAATTTGTAATGACAACATAGGTACCATAAATTAATAATTCAAGAACACCTCTCAACCACTAGAAACTTTTTGATCCAGTAAAGGCTTGTCATATTAAACAATACTCTTTCTCATGACTGAAAATAATTTTAAAATTTACTTTGCTTTAAAATGAAGATCTAATGACTTACAGGTTTTTCCATTTTGAATATTGACTTTCTTACTGAATTTTTGTTCTCATTTATTCAACAGGGAAACCATGGTTCTACCACACTGCAGGCTCGGACTATTCTAATTGGAAAACAAGACGACACAGTGTATCCTGACAACAGAGTCATTTCATATAAGGTAAAACATATAAGTTATTCCACCGTCACTGTTCTACTTACGGTAGCCTTACAGCTAGATGACTATCTTTAACTTGAAACCTGCCTAACCTTTCTATTCACAAAGATTGTATTTTTTAATATCAATCAGGTGATACATGTTTAACCATAATATACACTATAGCTATCAATAAAGGGTTTATGTTTTAAAATTTGTGTCTATCTTTGAATATTAATACAACTTCTGCATCCAATAGTCAATGGTCTATTTGTAATCATCCGTTCCTACTAAAAGACCTTCAAATGCTCATCATGCAGAGTGTGTGCATTTTTTTAATTCCCAGGGATATGTTACAGTGGAGTTTTACTAAACCGATATTTTAATAAAGGCTCAAATAGCTTAACAAATTAGTTAAAAGGTCAGGTTTCAACATGAGAAAAGTCAGTAGCTTTTTGAACCTGAGCCCTGCTGTTCTTAATCATTTGGGTCTTATGCAAAGGTCCTGCTGGCTATAGAAAAAGATGATCTTAGTCAGAAACAAAACAACAAATCTCACTCTTATAATAATTTAATAATAATGTTACACCTTCCTTGCATTCATATCAACCTTAAAACACACCTAATTGCATCACTGTTTTAAAGTTGACAAATGAATAGCGTATTGTATTTAGGTTTTTTATTGTTCCAGTATACACCATGGAACTACTTACCAAAAAATCTATGGGAACAATTCAGAAGGGTGGCCAACTTCTATTTCCTGTGCATGGGAATCATATCCGTAAGTTTTTTTGAAATAAATATCAAGCTATGATTAAAATGTAGTTTTTGTCATACAGTAACAAGTTTGGGTAAGAAAAAGGGTTTTTAAATTTGTCTTAGTTTTTTTTTCTGCTTAAGTGTATAGAAAGATTAATTTATAATTTTTTTGTTTAAAGTACTTACAAAAATATTACTGTAAGTTTCATTCCAAAATGAGTAACGTTAATTACCAATTCACAGATGGAACACCTTATTTACTTCCCTATAGTCTTAGGTGGATAACACAGATTTTCATGTATTATTTTCTATGACTTACCTTTAGAGATAAATTTTCCATAGAACATTTATCATATAAAACTAGTAATGCATCTTGTATTAAAATCTTTTAAAGACGTACAGTACTATTTTTTTAAGTAATTATTGAGAATATTTTAGGTAATGTGTCTGTTAAATGATAACTTAATCATTGTTTTATCCATTACCATTTTAGTTTTGGTAGACAGTATTATAAAAACTGTTATTTTACTTATTTATAATGTCGTTTTTATACCAAAGTAGCTCCAAGTAGCTTATCATTGACGCTCAAGATAAAACTACTCAAGATAACTGGTTCTCAGAGTTGAAAATGGCAGGACCATGAATGATGCAATTCCTTCATTTTACAACACAATACGATACTGATTTGACTTTGTGTCAAATTGGCAGAGAGAATAAAATCAACCAATTAGAGTATGAATTGCTGTGATTTTAATTTATAGTACTTAGAACCAATCAAATGTACTTAGAACCAGTACAATATGATTACCTATGTCAATTGGCTTTTACCTAATACAAATTTAAAATCTATCTATCTATATACTATGTAGATCAAGTTTTCGCTTTAAGCACTAAGGGTTGCTGGACTTCTACCCCTTTGGATCTTACCCTCAGGGACAAAAACAGCAATTTGTTATATTACTGATAAGAGGGGTGAAATTATGACTGCAAAAATTTAAGTTTCTCAATATGAGTTGAACAAGTTGGTGCAATCAAACAAATCTTGGTGTACCGGTAGCTTAGTTGTGAAATTAATCAGAACAAGTCAAATTTAAAATTAAGTGAATCTAACCCCCCCCCCCATCCCTCCTATGAGTTCAACTCAAAAACAAGACTCGCAAAGTTTCCCTCTAAACATTTACCTTTGACCAGCAAATCTGTTTGTACAATGTGGAATCTTACCTCCCTCCAGCAAAGAAAATATTTAAGGTTTTCTCATTTGTAAAGATTTTTGTTTAAGAGTTGGCAGGAGTCAATAATTTTGCATTGCTGTTGACCGTCAGATGCCAGGCAAAACAGTGGTGGTCCGAGCGCCGATCAGCAAAACCATGCGTTCACGTTGAAGAATATTAATCATACACCTTAATATTAAGCTTAATTATCGAGCAGAAAATTTTATTGATTCTAAAATATATCTTCCATCTGACTTGCTTTTCAGATTTTTAAATCTTTTGTTTTAGAGGTTGAACAAATCATAGTTTAAGTCAAAATATTTATGTGGTTTGACAAAATAATAACAATTAAAATTAAAAAGTAAAATCCAAGATGCCCGGCGGTCTTGGCAACTCAAGCAAACAAGCAGTGTTATTAGAGTTTTAAAACCATTTTGTAGCTTTGGAAACTAATAAAAACTATCGTCATAACTAGTGATGGTCAAAACAATAAATATCAAACCATTTTGTTATCCAGTTAGTTTCAGTTCATGGGCAACACATGGGACCTCTCATGTTTGTGGTGATGGTCAGTGCGATCAAACAAGGATATGATGACCTTCTAGGTCACAAAGCAGACAAAGATCAACTCTCATTGAACTACAATGTTTCAGGCTGTAATCCCAGACAGTCCAGTCAGTTCATGGGCAACACTGGGACCTCTCATGTTTGTGGTGATGGTCAGTGCGATCAAACAAGGATATGATGACCTTCTAGGTCACAAAGCAGACAAAGATCAACTCTCATTGAACTACAATGTTTCAGGCTGTAATCCCAGACAGTCCAGTCAGTTCATGGGCAACACTGGGACCTCTCATGTTTGTGGTGATGGTCAGTGCGATCAAACAAGGATATGAGGACATCCTTCGCCACAAAGCAGACAACAAGATCAACAATTCACTTGTGACAGTAGTTAGAGATGGTGTAGCTCAGGTAAGGCTAATACATCATATCTGAATATATCTTCTTTTTTGTATCAGCGCATTAATTGTTGACCATAAGTTGGTTTTCGAAGAAGGTTTAGTTTAGTTGGTACAGTATGTATATTTTTGGGGACTATTCAATGATTCTTACTTTAGTAAAATAAGAAACGTTAATTTTTTTTTTCAGAAATTGTGGATACAACGACTTTTTGTTACATATAAATATCACTGTGTAGTTTATTATTTTTTTTATAAATTTATGACATTAACCTAAAAAATTGTTTCAGGTATGATAGTTAAATTTAAAAAAGTTCTGTTATGTGGCTGACTTAGCAAAAAAAAAATCATTTACCGTGATCATATTTTGCCTTTAATACTTATTGTGGTAAGTTTGTGCTTCTTAGATACCTAACATAACTTCATATCAACATAAACTTTCCATGCATATTTGCTTAAAGTATTATATGTTTCAGGAAATCACTTGCAAGAAGATATGTGTTGGGGACATTGTGAGGGTAGGGCTGGATGGGGAGATTCCCTGTGATATGGTCATGTTGATATCCAGCCATCCAGACTCTAAGGCATACATCACCACAGCTAACTTGGATGGCGAAAATAACCTTAAGGTAGGCATCTGTTATACCCGGTGTTTTATTTAACTTAAACCTACCAGGAAATACTGTAACTGTAAGACACCATCAAGTGTGACTACCGTATGCAAACAGCCTACTTTTGTAATTATTTCCTGACAGCTCCGGGCCCCTTAGCTCGGGGTACGATTGCCAATCTTTTAGTGAAACAGATCATAATGACTATTTTTTAGAGGTTTATATATCTTTTTCTTTAAGAACTGTGTTTCTTTCAATTTTCAATATTGTACCAAGATCATTTAATTTATATATCCTTAACAATGTTGTAGACAGTAGAATGTCCCTTGGACACAGACCTGACGGTAGATCACCTTCCGTATCTCTCTGGACACATCAGCTGTGAGTCTCCAACGGTAGACCTCTACCGCTTCCATGGAAACATCAGTCTGTCTCTCTCTCAAGGGGAAGGAGATATAGAAACACTTAATCCAGCTTTTGTTAAGGTTAGTAGATATCTTGCTTTGTGTTTGATTTGTGTTCAAGAAATGAAACATGATTTTTCCCTTGTCTTTGATGTGTATACAGCAAACTTCCTTTTCTTCAGATTCATTAGGTCTTTAACTTTTTTATGAACCCTTAACTATTTGTATACAGTTTATTTGTTTGTTTGTGAGTTTATTCAAACCCTAATTCAAATTCACAATCCTTCACAGGTTTGCAAGAGGCAGCCAATCTGCAGTATGATCTGAAAATAACGTCCTATTACAACAATAAAACAGTAAACACCCATAACAGAAAATATTTTGAAATCAATATAACCTCATGGCCACTTTTTTAGCAAACCATTTCATTTTACTCTCTATTTACTTCGGTTTAAAACAATAATTAACTACTATTTCATAGGAAACTCTTATGTAAAACACAATGCTTAAACGCTGTCTCACTGATGACAGGACGGTTACATGATGGAGTCATTGCATGGAGACTCGTGTCGTGGTCGCCACCGCTGCAGTTTCAGCAAGCTACACTTCCTGGCACAGCAGGAGTATTCTGCCCCTCTCACATCAGACAACCTGCTGTTGCGAGGGGCTCGGCTGCGCAACACAGAGTACATATTTGGTAAAACAATGTTACAGTTTGTGTTAGAGGCGGTACAAACATCTAAAATCATTCTAAAACACACATTATCCACAGCCCTCTGAATTAACTAAGAAGAAGTAAGATATAGACATCTTCGACTAGTTTTTAAATAATTCAGTTATTGCTGAAGAATTGTTTAACAACCCTCAACGACTTGTTGCATTTGTAAAGACTATTCTAGTGTACTTGATGTAGATATGTTGATATAACAGCCAGATGGTGTTTTACTGTGCTCAACAGCCTGTAACAACATTTCTTCACATTTAACATGTTGCTTCAGCAAAAGTTATTTTTATTAAATGAAAAATTTAATTCCTAGGAAATACTTATTCAAAGTTAGAAATTGTACCAATGATCTATCTTTAAAAATATGATGAACAAAATTTGTTCAAATATCTTCGGAGATTCACTTATTGTAGTGCATTTTTCTGAGAGCACTTTTGATGTAAAACTCCTTATGATCAAATGTCCTAGTTTCGTAAACACAATTCTGGACAAGATAAATTCAACCATAATTCGATCACTATGCAAACCCCTTGTAAAAACATTTGAATACAAGTTTAAACACAAGAGAACATTCATTTCCAGGTTGTGCGGTTTACACTGGACAAGAGACCAAGTTGGCCTTAAACTCTACTCTGACAATCAACAAATTCTCTATTGTTGAAAAGTAAGTTTATAGATCAACCATGGATAGTAGATACTAGAAACATTCATAAAATATTGACATGTAATTTTACTTTTTATTTACTATCGATGCCATTTAATTTGTTCATTATTACTATAGGTATTTATTATGTTTAAGCCATGTTTACTTGTAGGTTACCTGCCTCAGTTGGTGTATCACAAGCTACTTGAGGAAACCTGCCTGCCTACTAACTGGCCTTGTGTAAATGGGCTATAGTACTACAGTACTTAAATACTAGGAATCTACTAATTTATTTATTTACTAATTTCCTAATTATTATCAATTTTCTGTGTAATCTATCTAGCAGTGTCCTCTATATTGTCTGAAGTTGTAACCCGTTAAAAAATAACACAACTGGACAGCTTTAAATAGAAGAGACAAGGGAGGAAAAGCCACGGTACATTTTCTCTCTTGTATTTCAAGAAGAAATCTGAGGTCCAATATAAAATTTTAACACAATTTTCAATAAGGCTAGAATACTATTATACATTTTATGGGGAATTATATGATGGTGGGATTAAAATAAAGGATTTATGTGTCTAAGTCTTATCCTTGGTATATATTTTTCAGATCGATCAACCTTTTTTTGTTCTTCTTCTTTGCACTGCTGTTGGTAGAAGTGTTTGTAAGTGTGATTTTGACTTTTTACTCCAGGACATACACAAATAAAAGTAAGTCTATCTTATTGTTTGTGTAATTTTATTGTGTCTAATCTTTAAATCTCTTTACTGTATTAAATTATGGTTTTTAACAATAATTGACATATTTTTATGTAGAAATATTGTACAGAACTGTTGCAATACAAGTAACCTAATAGTAATGATTTGTTTCAGATGAAAATCTTTGGTACATGGGAATTGAAGACAGTTTCAGTATTAGTGAATTTGTCGAAGACATACTTATCTACATTGTTCTGTACTATTATATCATTCCAATCTCTCTCTACATTACTATAGGTGAGTCTTAGTGCCAAATAAGTGATTTTATAAGTAACGGTAGTTATTTGTGACCTTTGTCCTTTACAACTAAGTACTAAAAACTCTGTAATGTATTCAATTATATAGTAATAAATGACGTATATTGACTTAGGCCTGCCCTCCGAGCTATTCAATTTATTTTAGGTCTCAAGATTAATTTATTGATAAGGCCAAAATAAGCAATTTATTATCAACCAATTGTATATTTTATCTATTAGATAAATCACAATCAATCATTTTGGCACAGTTTCAGTTTAGAAAAGTGTCATGTTTCTCAATGTTATAATTAAAAAATATATATTTTTGTCATACTGCAGCAAAAACAGCCGTATTTAGCGAATATCCCATATAGGGAATAAGCTATTACCGTAGTACTCATGGTAAGACCTGGACCCGGGACCAATTTACTTTTTCGTTTTGAGGTCCCTAGAGGCCAAAAACACCATACATTCAAATTCATATATATATATCCATTAGCACAATAACTCAAGCAAAAATGATCCGATAGGCTCCAAGGACTGTTAAGTATTAAGTAGCAATAATATTGTCTGTACTATAAGCTATATAAGCAGTGCCGAATATAGGGCACATGTTGCCCCTAGACCAAATTAACTCGAGCGGCCCAAAGTTTTTTAACGCCATGGCATCAAAATATTTCACAATCACAGGGACATCATCTCTACCACACTTCCAGGTTGATGGGGACATTATCATCGCCCTCCTATCCCAACAAATTATTAATTTGAACAAAATTAAACTTACTTTTTTTCCAAAGAAGTTTTTGTACACTACGTTGTAGCCTCCTTTTGCCTGCGGCCCTAGGCCACTGCCTAGTCGGCCAATTGGTAAATCTGGCACTTTGTATAAGCAAGAACACATTCACGTATTGTATGATTATTGCTTTGTTAGATTCTATAGCAATTATTGGGTAAAAGTTTCATAATTAAATGTGACAGAATTGGAGCGGTTCTTTGGCAGTTTCTTCTTTGGGTGGGACCAAGAGATGTTGTGTGATGGACAAGCAGCAATCTGCAACACTTCTGACCTCAATGAAGAGCTTGGCCAGGTTTGTGCCTATAGCTGATTTGCCTAAGTAATGAAAAAACTTTCTATAAGGTCCATAACTTAACTGTGCCACCATGGTATCTCTGAAACTATTAGCTTGCATTTTCTCAAATAAAACAAACTTACTGTCCGCGAGAGTAAAGAAGTCCCCTGAGCTCCGGCCTATTCGTAGTTTGAAGGCGTTACGCTTGAACGTTTCGCGCGACAATCACTGTAGAGCCGTCTTGACGCTGCTCTGCTAGTTTTAAGGCTTAATTTTTGTATTTAATATCTGTATGATTTTTATAAATCTATGTCATAATATTTCTTTGCATAGTCATACAATCGAAGGAAATTCTTTCTAGTGTTACTAAGGCAAATTAATAACCTTTCTACTTTATGATTTTTGTTTAGTTAAATGTAACAATACCAATAAAATACAATACAATAAAATCTTTTTTAAATCCGAGTTTGAAAGCATTAAACCCAAATAATTAGTTGATCCATGAATATACTTATGGTGAATGCATATTACAGGTAATACACAAGTACAGCAGTTTCAAATGCATTCATCGCAATAGACAACTTATTATTTCTATTATATTTCAATAGCTGCATTTCAATTTCAATTATATACATAATCAATAGCTACAAGGACCGTCCAAAACAAAACGCGAACACACGAGACTGCAACGAATCAAATTACGTGACCACATGATGATAAAACACTTACCAAAACAAAGATATGAGTAATTATGTTTACAACAGTTGTTTACAGACAGACATCGAGGCGAGGCGCCCAGATGCTTAGCGCCTACAAATAGTGCGCGATACCCTCCAAACATAGCTGCGTATTGCTCTGGCTCAAGGGACTTCTTTACTCTCGCGGACAGTAGGGGTAATACACCAACTTAGCACTTAGGAACATAGGCAACAAAAAAGGATAGTTAATTTTTAAAGAGACTTCCAATTATTTTAATTGCTGCCATCTTTAATTATGGTGGCTAACTTTAAAACTTTTTATAATGCACCCAGCTTGTCATCTAATTTTGCATTTTAAGCAAGCATGATGCAGTATGAGCCACATTTTCTGCATTACAATCTAAAAACTTCATAAAATACAAGTTCTCTGTAAAAAGATGTACAAAGTGGATTATAAGGTTTTCTTACAGTTAAAAAGTCAGTGTAAACAGAAATCAGCATTTGACAGCAGCACACTCTATCAGGGCTCGATTCAACTACAATAATATTTATTCTTAATGGATACAATTTTAAAATGGGAATGGAATGTTTACTAAAATCCATAGTCAATGACAAGTAACAAAGTGTAATCGATTCTAAACTTGTGGTCTCTGCACATACAATTTTACAACTCTAGACATACACGATCACCAAGTCTTATTTATAAAGTAGTTGCTGTTGCATTTAATTTAATTAGACAGTTGAGTGTTGAGACAAAAATGTATGTATTGTAGTAAATATAATATAGTGAATATAGTGAATATAATATAGTGTTTACATGCAGGTGCAGTATCTGTTCTCTGACAAGACGGGGACGTTGACAGAGAACGACATGCACTTCCGCAGATGTTCGGTGGACGGCAGCTTGTATTGTGAGAGAGAAGGCAGATTGATGGTGTTGCCACCTTCAGGATCCACCCTCTCTGCCACACCACTCCCCCACTGGCCTGTCAGTACCACATTACCAATGTAGTTCATTTCATATTGCTCAAAGTCACGTAATATTTGATCTAGTTTGTCATAATAATATCAAATTGAATTTTATACTACAGTACACTATTACTCAGTGGCAACACAACAGTTTGTATCCAGGATGATGGTACTATCCATGATACTATCTCATAACCTTGAAAATTATTAACCTATGCATCTCACATGTTCTTCCCCATTGTGAACTTCAAACTAAATATAAACCTTGTCACTGTACGAAGAGGAGCAATTTCTCTATTTTAAATTCACACTGTCACGGTGATGTTTTACGAAGAGAAGGGAGATTGGCCATGGTTATCGGTTAAAAGAGGAGGTTTTAATTCAGCTGACACATAAGTAGCGATCATTTTGTTATGACTTTTTGCAACCTTTCACTTGATTGCTGTGCAAATTGCTTTTATTGTGATTTGTGGTTCTTCATAGGACAATTTTGTGAATGGCAATCAATTATAAAATTGTTATGAATGACATTTTTCAAATATTGAGAGGCTGAATAGTTTGTGTACACAAGCATGTGCTCATGTATTTGCTAGCACTGTTGCTGTTTCAGCCAGAAGTGGAGCAGTTTCTGCTAGCCATGGCACTGTGTCACACTGTGCAGACTCTGGAGCAGACGACAGTTGACTGTCCGCAGTACCAGGCCTCTAGTCCTGATGAGAAGGCCCTTGTTGAGGCTGCCGCAAGGTATATCAACTCGTTAATAACAACCTACCCACAAACCTCTCTCTAGTGACTGATACATACATTGCACAGAATAAATACCCTGAAGCAAACCTGCAGACCAAGCCAATTTCAATTTGTCTGAAACAAGTTATAGTTTTCCCCTATTTAAGTAACATTAGATTGAACTAGTACTTAGGTTTGCTCCTACAGGGAGGGAATAAGTGTTTTTGATCAAATTTAATCGTATGTATAGGTAATAGGGATGGACGGGTCCCAAAATTTGCTATAAACCCAAACAATATCAAACATCTGGCAGGATTCTCAAAAGCAATTCCATATTCCACTTCCACCAGTGTTTTATTTCATCCACTGCTTCAATTCAAGTGTATGTTTTGGTTTACTAGCTTACTATGGATTGGATATTAAAAAAATTAAGTTACAGTATGTTGATTTTTATGGATACGTAAAAACATTTAAGTGCAGATACCATCCTTTCCTCAAAAAGCTTATCTCAATAAAACATTTTAAAGAAACAACTTTCAGTTTTTTAATTTCCTCTGTTATAACTTTCAGTTAAAACAACTAATGTTTTACCTAAATCATTAGCATTAGTTGAAAAGTGTTGGCTGAGTCATAATTTGTTTTAATTAAGATTATAGTTGAATGTTTGAGAACAAACCTAGGAAATTCCTAAAAAACAATGTTTCTAACGAAATCCAATAAATGAAATAAGAAGCAATTATTTTTCTAAGAATATTCTTTGTGCCTTCTGTTGAACAAAAATTTGCTTGAAACCGAAACTAAATCAATATTAGAACTTTAAAAAACGCTATAAACAAAGTTATATTTGCCACAATGTCGCAGGTGTGGAGTGGTCTACCTCGGCACCTCGGCTGGACTGATGTCTGTCTCTGTCAGAGGTCGAGTCAGGAATTACAAGAAACTACAAACCCTGGAGTTTACCTCAGGTTCGTCTTTTAAAGCATCTTGTCATAATTAGCCTAAAGTTTGTGACTTGCAATGTAGCCTGTTGTCTCTCAACGTTGATTAATTACCGGAAAATTTATTTCTTTAATTCAATCAATCAAATCTAAGGTTAATTGAAAATTTAAGTTTTATATTATAAATGTTTTAATCCACGTTCACACAGAAGTTTGTCGCAAACAAGGTTTTGACCATGAGTTGTCAACAAATATGTTAACCTCAAATGTTTAAACAATACTCTTTGATCTGTTGTCCACTTCTTGTGGAAAAAAAATTCCTGTTTTAAACCCCGAAACTGTTGATAAATTCAAAGTATTGTTATTTTGATTGCTGTAATCATTGGTTTTGTTTTAAACGTGTGTCTTAACTCGATTATAAACACGGCTTGCTATCGCACTATGAGTAATTTTCGCACTATATGAATAATTTTTTCTATGAACACTTGAACAGGTATATCAATTTATTATGAATGTACGCCCAAGAAAATAAATGGTTATAGACACAGTCACAGTCATATGTTGTAGTTTTTTTACGCACTAGTTATGGAAAATGGATAAGAATTATGCTTTGAATTATTTCAACCTATGTCCTCCAATAGCAACTGAAGGCTCAAATGTAATTTGAAGCAAGAAGAAAAACATTTATATTGTTTCAGCATGACCTTCCTCAAAATTTGAAGCAAAAAACATTTAGTAATAACTGACTTTGATATAGTGATGGTCTGATGGATTACTAATAGGTTGAGGTTGGGGGGGAATGCATTAGTTTCATAGGAAGGCGTAAAAAAAATAATAACTTACGTACTTTAAAAACTCATTGTTTTCATGGTGGAATAAGTGTGTTCAGTTACTTTGTTGAACAGTATATTCGTTTTTAGCTGAGTAATGAATCTTTGTCTTGCAGTTTTGTGTGATAGTTGTGTTTCAGATCGTAAGAGGATGTCAGTAGTAGTGTCGGACTCAGTGGATCAAGTGTGGCTCTACAGTAAAGGTGCCGAGACCTCTATGATGCCCCTCATGAAGACTGGTCCCATAAAGGAAACTATCAGACACTACACAGACTTTTCACTGGTACATTTCTTATTCAACTGATATAGGCTAACTTGATTTCAAAACTATAAATATGAGTTTTTCAATTTAGTTTTACTGTAGACATTATGATTATAATAATCCTAAGTTTGTCTGAACTTAATGACACTACTTATCATATTGGTTTTGGACGTTATTAGACTATTTGTTTGTCTTGGACATTGTGAGAAATTACCTTTTAAATTTCTTTAGTGTGCAAGTAAAATAGTTGAGCACTCTTGTGTATAATACTAATCAATTATTTCAATTGTGTATTTATCTATATGTATTCGTAAATGGTGACATTGACAGGTTTATTCTTTATTTTATATATAGAAATACCCCCGCCGCAGCAAACCTGCACACTAAGCAAATTTCCATTTGCCTGATTGGATTTACACCAAAACGTCTCCTTAAAAATATCACATTTTTTATTCCCTATTTAAATAGGCCTAGAATAAGTTTAACCCTAGATCTGGCGGTCATTTTATTCACCAGTGGCGGGTATATTTTGGCGCTTTTGTAGTGGTATCATATATTTTGCCACAGAACATTTATTTGTGAATATAAGTACACACATATATATATTTTCTATTTCAGTGATGAATTTAGAATATAATAATATAAATATATTCTTTTTCTAGCAATGCGTTTAGGCGTAGTAGCAAAAGGTTTGCAAATTTTTGGATTATGCAAATTAGAAATTTTAAAAGCAACCCACAAGAAAACCACAAAATAATTGTTTACACATTTTATCTAAATGTAAAGTTTGTGTAAAATATGATTCCCTACTAGTCCAGTCAATGAATGATCCAAAAGTAGGTGTAGAGTGCGTGAGCAGGTAACTAAGCGATTCCTTCAGAAACTTGTTCAGGGGGCTTAGGGTGTTAACATACCAAAAGTCCTGACTCCTAGGTGGTGAGCCAGGGGGTGGAGGGGGGGAAAAAGGGGGGGAAAGGTACGCATTTTGGGTTTTTTGATTATATCTCGAAAACTATCAACTTTTTGTATACTATAGTAAATTATAAAATTGAAGAAGATTAAATTTTCTACAAGAAAAGTATATAATGTGTTTATTTTGGTTCAACAGATTACGAGTTATAACTTATTTAATTGATATCTTATTAAAATACTCCTTCCATAAGAAATACATGTAAATTAGTATGCGAAATGGGGCGAATCCTATCCGCCCAAAGGAAATATAACTGATCTTCTGGAAATCTTGACCAAATTTCCAGTAATTTGACACTTAAATCATGGAATTTTGTCAAAAATTAAAGCGAGGGTGAGCGTTTAAAAATGGGATGATTTAAGGTTTTTTTTTATATTTCCAATAAAAAAACACCAAAACTCGACATTTTGTTACCTCGCCCTCGCCTTAATTTTGGATCAATTTTAATGATTAAAGTGTCAAATTACTGGAAATTTTGTCAATATTTACAGAATATCATTTATATTTCCTTTGGGCGGTTAGGATTCGCCCCATTTCGCATACTAATTTACATGTATTTCTTATGGAAGGAGTATTTTAATAAGATATCAATTAAATAAGTTATAACTCGTAATCTGTTGAACCAAAATAAACACATTATATACTTTTCTTGTAGAAAATTTAATCTTCTTCAATTTTATAATTTACTATAGTATACAAAAAGTTGATAGTTTTCAAGATATAATCAAAAAACCCAAAATGCGTACCGTTCTCCCCCCCCTTTTTCCCCCCTCCACCCCCTGGCTCACCACCTAGGAGTCAGGACTTTTGGTATGTTAACACCCTAAGCCCCCTGAACAAGTTTCTGAAAAATCGCTTAGTTACCTGCTCACGCACTCTACACCTCATTCCTTGACTGGACTATACGTAGAAATATCAATGTTTTTTAAATACTCATAAAAATAAAATTATAGAAAAATAAATTCTTCATACATATTTTCTTTTTTGAAAAACTACCAAATTTCTTTTTGTCACGTAGGAAATAATAGAATGCATAAAAAAAATGAAATGATACTGTACAATAATAAAAAGATCTTTCTGAAAATATATAGTTATATTTAGTTGAATTCTAAAATGTCGGAGAAATTTACGTCGGAATGTAAAATTTTGAAGATTTTTTTACAAAAACATAATATTTATGACATTTTTAAAAACAAATAAAATTTTTACAATCAACCTTATAGATTCACAGGGAATTGTAGGGAATTTATTGTAGTTTCAGAATATGTACTAATATTGTATACAATTTAATTGACAATCACCAAAAACAGCTGTTTTTGTAGTCAGGTGACCAAAACCATAGATAAAACATACTCCCTTAGTAGATTAGTCATCCTAATGGAACAGCTGAAGCCAATTTTATTGTTAGTTCTGTACATCCAACTATAAAAGGTTATGTTTTGTTTACAATTTGTTTCTTGTTATTGCAGTCATTTAAAACCTCGTTTAACCTAATAAAACAATATAATCATAAACAATAACTAGTCTCCTAGTTATATAACCAAATAGAAAAGCACAAATCATGAAAATAACCCTAAAATAATAGAAACTAAATGTTGTCTACACTAGCGATCAGTGTGGACGTACATGAACTAGACGCAAAAAACAAGCTTCAAAATTTACAATGGGATGAGGAGTCTACTTGTGTTGCTTAGTCTATGCCAAAACTTTCCACCGCCAAAATCTATTTTGAACTCTCTAGTTTTTCAAACTACCGTTTCTCGCTACATAATACCCACTCAATAATGTTTTATGCATGAAAATGAATCCTCAGAATCTCATCTTTCTAATGGTATAAGATTTATTGCGTTTTAAAACTGTTTTCATATTTTAATAATAGAAAAACCCGACCCATGTCATCTTGGTCTATAATCGACCAGCGCCACTGAGAACTCACGTTTTAGTGGTCGAAAATCGACCAGCGCCAGATAGAGGGTTAACGAGTACTTAGGTTTGCTGCATCACGGAAGGGTAAAATTTTTTTTGTAAAATGTTAATAGCTTAGTAAAAAATTAATGCATTTTCCAAATTTCATCAAAGTATGTTCATAAACAACCAAACTACAACAGTTTACTTCTCCATAAGAATAACATGGGAATTTTAGATTAACAGTTTTTTGAAAATTTCTCCGTAACCATTAGGCGCATAATAACGCTTAATTATACTAAATTAATTTTTTAAGCTCTACAAAACGGTTTGGAAAAAATTGCTAATTTTTTTTTTTTTTTTGGGCCATAAAACCCCCATAGTTCCCATAGTCTGATCATGCTGGTTCGCGAACTAATTTGAATTAATGTAGGTTTACAGGTTTATACCAAATTTAATCAAAATCGGATCATTTTTTCTTGAGTTATCGTGCTAACGGATATATATATATGAATTTGAACGGGTAGTGTTTTTGGCCTCTAGGGACCTCAAAACGAAAAAGTAAATCGGTCCCAGGTCCAGGTCTTACTAGGAGTACTACGGTAATAGCTTATTCCCTATATGGGAAATTCACTAAAAACATAACAGATTATTGCTTGAGATTTTAGTTTTCCTAATTCAAATATGTAGGGGGGGAAACGCCTTTTCGGCGGGCTTGGCGCTGATAAGGTAGGCTAAAGTCAGACAACCCGAACCCGGTCCTCCAAGGGTATGTGGGGGTTGAGCGTCGGGCCAACAACTCACCTCGGAAAACAACAAAGTTCAGAAACACCAACACAAAGCCTCGGAGAATGGACGGAATAAAAGGAATCGACACTGGCGATCAAAAATGACAATGAGATTAGGCACATGGAATACAAGAACATTAGTAGTACCCGGCGCAATCGACATTCTCTCAGAAGAACTTAGTATATATAAAATGGATTTGGTGGCACTACAAGAAACTCGTTGGCCGTTGGCAGGAAAGCTGAACACCAAAGACTATGTAATCTACTACAGTGGAAATGATGAAGGAAGGTACCAAAGAGGAGTAGGCTTTGCTGTAAGCAAAAAGATAGCAAGTGCTGTGATAAGTTTTGAAGCCCTAGGCGAGAGACTGTGCAATATTAGGTTTAAAGGTAGATTCAAGAATATATCAATAATGAGTGCCTACGCTCCTACAGAGGACACAGACGATGACGTCAAAGACGCTTTTTATGAGCTGTTAGAGGAGGAGTGGGGAAAGTTACCAGGATATGACACAAAATTACTGATGGGAGATTTTAACGCAAAGATAGGCAGAGAACAGATATGGAAGGAAGTTGCAGGACTAAATAGTTTACACACAGATAGCAATGATAATGGAGTAAGGCTACTAAGCCTAGCTACTGCTTGCAACCTGAAAGTTATGAGCACATATTTCCCGAGAAAAGACATCCACAAAATTACATGGATCTCACCAAATGGTCAGGTAAAAAATCAAATAGATCACATATTAATAGACTGTAGACATTCTAGTCATGTACAAAACGTACGTAGCATAAGAAAAGCAGAGTGTGGGTCAGACCACAGCCTAGTTCTAGTCAAATTATACCAAAGAATACAAATAGAGAAGAGGAAAGGAGTACCATCAGTAGAAAATATAGATATTGATAGACTTAGAGATAAAAGAATCCGGACCGAATTTAAGCTTAAATTGTCAAGCCGTTTCCAAGCCTTAGACACAGTGGAGCAAGAGGCAGAAGTGGAGGACTCAATAGAAAAGAGATGGGAAAATATAAAGAAGACCGTACGAGAATGTACTAAAGAAGTTTGTGGCAAAAAAGAAAGAAAAAACAATAAACCTTGGTTTGATGAAGAATGCAAAGAGGCAGTTTTAAAAAGAAGACAAGCAAAGGGAATTTGGCTAAGAAACAAACAAGATATAGATCGAGATAGCTACCAAGAGCAAAGCAAGGAAACAGTTAAACTATTAAGAAAGAAAAAACGAGAATGGATCAATAATATTCTGGAAAGAGCAGAACAAGATCGAACAGCAAACAACTCAAGAGAATTTTATCGTGCATTAAGATTTTTCAAAAAAGGATACACACCTTCACCTGTGGGGATCAAAAATAAAATGGGACAAGTTGTAATCCAAAAGGAAGACGGACTGAGAGTTTGGCGAGAATATTTTAAAGAGCTACTAAATGGTGATCTGCAGTAGGAAGAGGAAAAACAGGAAGATGTCTATCAGACCGTACACCCCTGGATTCCAGAACCACCCACACTAGAAATAGAAGAAGCAATCAAGAGCTTAAAAAATAATAAAGCCCCAGGAGAGGATGGTATAACTGCAGAGATTTTAAAAGCAGGTGGCTTTTGTCTAGCAGAAAGAATCCACAAACTAATACTCAAGGCCTGGAGAGAAGAAACAATACCCAAGGAATGGAAGGAAGCCCTAGTTGTACCAATTCACAAAAAAGGAGACAAAAAAGACTGCAATAACTACAGAGGCATATCTCTCCTAAATGTCACCTACAAAATACTTTCCAAAATAGTTCAGAGAAGACTAGAGGAATACTCAACAGATATTGTTGGAGAGCATCAAGCAGGATTCAGCAGAGGCAGATCAACGACGGATCAAATCTACATTCTTAAAGAGTCGATAGCAAAGTATTATGAATTCAACAAATCATTCTGTTGCCTCTTCATTGATTTTTCAAAGGCTTATGACTCCATAAATAGGAAGAAGTTGTGGATAAACATGGAGCATCTAGGTATACCAAGAAAACTTATAGAACTAGCAAAATTGAGTGTTTTAGGTTCTAAGTGCAAAGTTAGAGTAAATGGAGACGTATCGGAAGACTTTGAGGTGAACACGGGTGTGAGGCAGGGAGACGGGGTATCTCCATTGCTGTTCAATTTAGCCATAGAAACAGCTCTTCAGGAGATAAGAAAAACAGAAGTAGGGATTAAGATAGGAACAAACATAAACTTGCTAGCTTTTGCAGATGACATAGTATTAATTACACATAATATAGAAGAAATGAAAGATGTAACAAAAATGCTTATTGAACATACAAGAAAAATGGGGCTATACATAAATGAAGAGAAAACCAAGTTTATGACATGTGGAAGAAAACAAGATGATGACCAACCAAGATACCAAAATAACAACTACATTGAAATTGAAAAGTATAAATTTAAAAAAGTAACAAATTTCAAGTATTTGGGAGTCATCCTCACCAGTGATAATGATGAAGAGCTAGAAATTCAAAATAGATTAAACCTAGCACAAAAAAGTTTTTCGGCCTGTCACAAGTTACTGACTTCAAAAATAATATCCCACACCACCAAACTCAGGATTTATAAGACAATCATCAGACCAGTTCTCCTGTATGGTTCAGAAAATTGGATCTTAAGCAAGAAATCAGAAAGGAAAGCTATTGTATTTGAGAACAAGATTTTGAGGAAAGTGTACGGACCGATTTTTGAGGATGGAAAATGGAGATCGAGACATAATTGGGAACTTAGAGAATTATTTAAGGATCCGGATATTGTCGCTGAGGTACGGAGCAGAAGACTGAGATGGGCAGGGCATATTCTAAGAAAAGATGACAACTCCCTATCAAAGAACATCTTGAGGAATAACCCAGAAGGTAGAAGACCCCTTGGAAGACCGAAACTTAGATGGTTCGACCAAGTGGAGAAAGACCTGAGGAAGCTAGGGAGAAGGAAGGAAGATGCAAGAAGCAGAGACCTATGGAGGCAGTGTGTTGGGGAGGCCAAGTACCATCTAGGGTACCAGTGGCCACAGCAGTAAATAAGTAAGTAAGCAGTAATTCAAATATGTATTCCAAGAAGTGTACGAAGCTAAGTAGTGGCTATGTGTTCCAGAGAGGTCTTCGCACACTGGTGTTTGGCATGCGCAGACTGGATGGCGCAGAATACCAGAGCCTGGCACGCATTCTGCGTAACGCCCGCAGTGTGATAGACACTGAGCAGAGGGAGAGGTTACTGACCGAGGCCTTCGCTGGCCTGGAGCAGTGTCTACATCTACAGGGGGCAACAGCTGTGGAGGACAGACTTCAGGACAACGTACCAGAGACTTTAGAGCTGCTCAAGACTGCTGGCATCAAGGTATAGGCTTACACCCTGTGTAGTTTACTGTGAGGGGTCCACAAATGTAAAATGTTTTGATTGTTTCAGATAAATTAAAGATTAATAATAAGTTAAGTAAAAGTTGTTTAATTAGGTAAGTATTCAATCTCTTGTGAACACAAATCATGTGTCACTCTCATATCTATTTCTTCTGGGACATGGGTACTGCAGTGATTTGAGCAGGGCCTCTATGAAATTTGACATGTGATAATATTCTGTCTTGCTGTTTTGAAGTCCACCTGAAGAATTAGGTTCACCTACGTATAAGGAGAAATTTTGGTATTGGAGATCTACTTTTTCCTACATATTATATGTTTTACATCTCACCTGATCATATTCAACTCCCTATTCATTGTCGTGTAAAGCAAAGAATTTTTTCAGAGGAAGAAAATTTAATGTTATTTTTTTAAGAGTACCGGTATTTTGTATTAAAACAATATTTTTTTGCACAACACTCTTTGGTTTCTTGATGGTAAATGTTTTGTTGAAGGTGTGGGTGCTGACCGGGGACAAGGTAGAGACTGCTCTGAATGTTGCTTATTCTTGTGGCCACTTCAAGCTCGGCACCCAGGAGTTGGACCTCATAAACATCAGCAATGAAATTGATTGTGTCAGTGCTCTTAGAGATGTTGCGTGAGTGTTTAATATTAAAAGATTGTTTAGCAGTCTTTTACAGCCACTTTACACACATTGAGGCTTTAAACACTTAAGGACTTCCCTTTTGGTGCTATTTTCACAAGTGCCATTCTCTTTTAATACAGGAGAATCAATGCACGTACTACATGTATTTGAAAGAATTGATTTTGCTACGATTAATTTCCGTTACATTTTTATGTTATTTAAATATTATGCCATGAGTAACATAAATGAAATGACTATGGTAAATAATATTCAAGAGAAAAATATGATAAGATAAGGTTATAAGAAAACCGTGGCGGAAATAAAATTATATTATTTAGTGGACTCCCCCCAACTTTAAGGTTGTGGAAGAACACTCAGTCAGAAGACAAAAAGCTTTGGATGGACAAAGAAGCATAAAATAAAAGTCAGAAAAGTAACAAACTTATTTACTGTGAGGTAAATTTAATAATTCCAGCCACAACACACAACACAGAAAAATGTATAATGTATACACACTCTGCTAACTTCCTTCGATTCTAGTTAATGAGTAGGGTCACTATAGTTTATTGGATACACAGCACTGTCGTAAGGTGAAATGTTGCTATAGTTGAGGTTGGTTTACAGGGACCGCATGGCTAGAGAACCACTGGCTCAGTACGGCCTGGTACTGGACGGCCCCACAGTGATGGTAGCACTGACACATGCCCCGATGTTGCTACAACAAGTAGCCCTTGACTGCACCAGTGTGTTGGGCTGCAGACTCTCACCTAGACAGAAGGCTGAGGTTAGTCTTCTTCAACTACTGTAATGTGTTGTGGTGTTACTACAACATGGTTTGGGGCTGCATTCACTGATATACATTCTAATCTGCATGTCAACTGTGAAAGATTTCTTCTGATTTATTTTCCATCAAACTTTGAACTAAAAAAGACTCACATGAGCCAGAGCAATCATAAAATAATAGTAATTGACATATCACAGCTCTAACATAATGCAGCTTTTAGAAATGTAAGTGTCAATAAGGTCTCAAAGTAACGGCACTGCTGGCTCCACTACACAGAAAGTAGCATGCTACTATTTGAGCTAGGAACTTATCTAACAAGCAAAGCAGCTACTAGCATCTGTCCCTCCTCTATTGAGTATTAACACTACATTTTTCACGCTTTTAATATTACTAGTATACGTTTTTAGTCTCATTGATGTCTTTTGTACCAAACAGATTTGTATTCTATTTTACTTGGATCTGTTGCATAGAGTATAGTCCTCCAATTACAATCCGTGAACTCTTCCTGTTGATAACATGTAAGCTTTAAACTGGCCTGATTCACATGGTTTTGGAGGAAGGGTAATGGTTACTCTAGGGGAAATGTTCTACCACCTGCTCATGTGAACCAACACACAACTAATACAATGTTAAAATAACGTTCATGTTAATTATTTACTATTTGATGTCAAATTGATCAGCCTTGACACCTTTAATATGTTTACTATAGATAAAAATCTGATTATTATGTATGCCTAACACGGCTTACAAATGTCGCCCGGTAAAGTTTAATCTAATCGAGCGTTTATAACATTATTGCAAATATGTGTAAATAGCATGCTAAAACATTCTATGTTTATTTCTATGTGTGTGTGGTTCCTGTAAATAGTCGACAATCATCTCTCGATGTGAAAAAAAATTTACATACAAGAATGCTGCTGAAAATGAGCCGTGTTAGGTTTGAAAAATGTACAGCATGAATAATATCAACAACAATTGACACCTACTGGCTTACGTAAGTAGATTATTATCTATAATAAACATATTTACTATTTGTTAATATCAGATGGTGAGGATGGTGAAGAGGTCGCAAGGGAGACCCGTGGTGGCCGCAGTGGGTGATGGTGCCAACGACGTGTCCATGATACAAGAGGCCAACGTTGGATTTGGTGAGTACTCAGAATGTGATCATTATTTGGCATTTGTTAGTTAACTATGTACAGGGTGTACATAAAGTCCTGCACGGGGTTAATATGCCCTGAACGATAACAGCTATACCAATAAGATTTGCTACATTATTACATCAACATGACACCTTAAAATCTATTTTTTGTAAGAACTATCAGTTTTCTGTCATATCATGGGGTTGCAATGAGTCAGAAGGAAATTTTAAATGTAAGCATATGTCGATAATGCACATCAAATTAAAGGTCTTTATTAGTAGAATCCAATCCAGCAAATTTGAGCTAAAAAAAAAAACTGAGTCAAAAATGGCATTTAAAAAATATTTTTGGATGGCAGCCATTTTTTACTCAGTTTTTTTTTAGCTCAAATTTGCGGCATTGTATTCTACTAATAAACACCTTTACAGTAATTTGATGTGCATATTGACCTATGCTAACGTTATTTATTTTCTTATGACTTACGGGCCTGACTTCTACCTGAGGAGGTAGCGTATAGTAAGCATCGCAAATTCAAGACTCTTTGAACACCTTTCATTTTTGACTCCAATTTCTGTTTGAGTTCGGGTTTGCGGCATTGTTCATTACTAACAAAAGACCTTTAAATTGATGTGCATATCAACCTATGCTTACAATTAAGACTTCCTTCTGACTCCTTGCGGTACATCCCTATCATATGACAGAAAACTGGAAGTTCCTTCAAAAAGTAGATTTTTAGGCGTCATTTTGATCTACCAAATCTTATTGATTTATCTGTTATCGTTCAGTGTAGTTATAAAACACTTACCTAATTTGAAAATTTATCAATGTTTAAAATTTTTCTAAAGGAGTTGTGAGTTAAGGTCGCATAGTAAAACTCTACTATGTAGTAAGAAAAATGTCTGGAACTGTAATAAAGCCTTGGTTATGGATAATAACAACAAATACGTTTTAGTCTAATTGAGTTTTCTCAACAGGTATCATTGGAAAAGAAGGTCGCCAGGCAGTGCGGTGCTCTGACTTTGCCTTTGCCAAGTTCCACTGTCTCAGTCGAGCCATGCTTGTCCACGGCCAATGGTACTACTTGCGAGCAGCTACAATGGTGCAATACTTTTTCTATAAGAACATTGTCTTCATTACTCCACAAGTAAGGCAACATCAATAATAAACGCTAATTTTATTTTTGTATTTGCATTTTTTAGGAAATACATTATGTATAGTATTCATAATGTACAGAGTAGAATTGTGTTGTCTTATTTTGGTTTGGACACCCAATTATTTATCTAAAAACAAAATAAACTCACATTATTAGAATATACAAAAATCAATGAATGAGAATTTTTAGAATGGAAATAACTTAATTGGGAAAAGTTTTAATGATTATGATTTTGAGGTTTAAAATCTGTTGGTAATGAGTGCCTTGCTGAGAACTCAAAATCTGAAGTTATTAGATTATGATACTTTTTCCTTAGTACCAGTTCAGTGTTCTGTTTTATTTTTACTTAAAGTATTTTTTTTTAAGTTTAAATTTAAGTTAGTAAACACAAAATAAATAAAAAAAGGTTTGTTCCTGAATACAAAGGTCAGCACTTAGAATGTGGATTACAGTAAACCCTCTCTTATCCGGATCTCCCATATCCGGACCCTCCGATATCCGGGCGCGATTTTGAAAAATGCAAAAATTAAAAAAACACTCTAGGGCGAATGTTTGTTGACCGAGCAGTCGCTGTTTGTAGGCCGGTTAGAAATAACAATTCCTGTATGGTTGCAGTTGTACTTCTCTCTACTGAATGGCTTGTCGCCGCAGCCACTCTACCTCAGTGTGTTCCTCGTCTTGTACAACACAATCTTCACAGCCGCTCCCATCAACATTTACGCACTGCTGGAGCAAAACTACCCGTCCTCCATGCTGCTCTCCGCACCTCACCTGTACAAGCGACAGAGAGGCAACCGTCTCATGTCGTGGCCTCAGTTTGCTCAGTGGATGGTTGTGGGAGTGTGGCATTCGGTTGTTGTGTACTTTGTGCCGGCTCTGCTGGTAACAACCAACCCTGTGATACTCGCAGACAACACTACCATGGACCTGGTGGCCTTTGGCACCACTGTGCTCCACAACATAGTACTTGTTGTCAATCTCAAGGTACACACACAAATAATTATGTTAAAAGTATTGTATGGTTGCAATAAACAAATGTCTAAACTTAGTAAAGCCAGAGAATCAGTTTAAAAAGGTCACCTTTTTAACCAACCACGATTTTAAACTGAATAAATGGAGAGAACCATTATTGTATTTAATGTTTTGGATTTTTTTATTTTTTTTTATCTGTTTGAATCTCAATTTAAGTCATTTCCTTATTAGTCTAGGCATATTAGGAAAGTTAGCAGAAAGTTTAGGTACAGTCCTAATCTTTACTTTTCTTTATGTTTTTTGGGTCGCTGAACACGAATATGAGGTTTGCTGACAGATATTTTGCCCGGAACATTGGTTATTTTGTGAAAAACCTTAAAATTTGGGCACTTTTTTTGGTTTTTCGGGCAAATCTCGGTAAGTATGGGTTTTTGAGAAAATACTGCTTTGTAAAGTTAAAGATGACAAAATTTACTACAAGTTTCCTATATAATGTTTGTTTCTACGACGAACCGTTTCGCCACTAGAGCACACTAAAAAAGGCCAGAACTACAAAAAACTAAAAACATTGCTAAATGCTGCCGTTTTACATTACGTTTCCATGGAAACAACCCATGTTACGATAATTTTAACTATTTATGCATGATAACAAACTGAAACACACTTAAAAATACCCCCGCCGCAGCAAACCTGCAGACTAAGCGAATTTACATTTCCCTGATTGGATTTACACTAAAATGTCTCCTTAGAAATATCACATTTATTCCCTATTTAAATAAATGTTTAACGAGATTTGCTGCAACAGGGAGGGTAAAATAGTTATTTGTGCAACTAGTGAGAAAAGTGAGCAATTGACTCACTCGAGAGAAATCCTTACTCACGAGCCGTAGGCGAGTGAGGAATGGTTTCTCGAGTGAGGCAATTGTACCATAGACTAATCAACACAAGTAGACTCCTCATCCCATTGTACATTTTGAAGCTTGTTTTTTGTGTCTAGTTCATGTACGTCCACACAGATCGCTAGTTTAGACAAAATTTTGTTTCTATTATTTTAGGGTTATTTTCATAATTTGTGCTTTACTATTTGATTATATGACTAGAAGACCAGTTATTGTTTATGATTATGCAGTTTTATTTGGTTAAATGATGTTTTAAATGACTGAAATATCAAGAAACAAATTGTAAACAAAACATAACCTCTACAGTTGGACGTACAGAACTAACAATAAAATTGGCTTCAGCTGTTCCATAAGGATGACAAATCTACTAAGGGAGTATGTTTTATCTATGATTGTACTTTGAACTCGAGTTGCACATTATACTTTTCCTACAGTTACCATAAAACAAATAAATTGGTCTTATGTTTCTTCAAACATAACCTATTTTTACACAGAAGTGAACTTTTAATATAACATTTAATGTGAAGTGACAAATACAACAGTACAACAGCTGACCAGCTGATTTACAGCCAGTGCTGCCAACGTACTTCGCGCGCATACGACGTTGCCTGCATGTTACGCGCTCACTATTTCGTGCCTTCACGTTGCAAATCTGGAGTGAGACAAAGTAATTAGAGTGAGACAATGTTAACATTGTCTCACTGATGAGCGAATTGGCCACTTTGCTTTCTCAAATCAGTGAGAGAACATGTACATTGTTAGGTAACTGTAGGAAAAGGTGTTTTTTTTTTTAAAAAAGGAAATAATTTAGTATGAAATGAATGCATTTTCCAAATTTGATCAAAATATGTTCATAAACATAAACAAGCAAACTACAACAGTTTACTTAGTATCCATAAGAATAACATGGGCATTTTAAATTTACAGATTTTTGGAATTTTGTCCGTAACCTTTAGGCGCATAACAACGCTTAAATATACTAAACTATTTGTTTGTTTAAGCTCTACAAAATGGTATGGAAAGAAATCGCTAAATTTTAAGTTTATATGGTCAAAAATAGGAAAAACCAATTTTTACCCCATAAACCCCTCCATAAATCCCTGTTCCCATAGTCCGATCATGCTGGGCAAAACCAAAAATGAAAATAAACCCTAATCGTTTTACAAAGGTTTTACATTGGGTTTCCATGGAAACAACCCATGTTACGATAATTTGAACTATTTATTCATGATAATGAACTGAAACACACTTGATAAATCTATGCCAAGATGTATGACTGACTGCTGGAACATTTCCCGTTCCCACAAAACACCCATTTATTTTCTCAGCACAGAGATGTGTCTGGCCATAGGGTTGACTGCTATAGTGGTTGAGAAAAAAGGATGAAATACATTAAAAGAGTTGTAGATAACTTTTAACTTTGATAAGGTCAAACTCAGCCGAGCAGACCGTGTCCAGCCACTTGCCATAGTAAATAACGCGATGAAAGTAGAGAATTCTTACCCGTAAACCCCAACACATTGTTTCAACGTATCAGCAACGCTAAGAATTCTGATGAAGAACTAAAACACTTCTTGTCCTTCTGACAGAGAAAATTCCAAACTGTAAATTTAAAATGCCCATGTTATTCTTATGGAGACTAATAAACTGTTGTAGTTTGCTTGTTTATGAACATATTTTGATCAAATTTGGAAAATGCATTCATTTCATACTAAATTATTACATTTTACTAAAAACACCTTTTTACCCTCCCTGTTGCAGCAAACCTAAGTACTCGTTAAACTTTTATTTAAATAGGGAATAAATGTGATATTTCTAAGGAGACATTTTAGTGTAAATCCAATCAGGGATATGGAAATTCGCTTAGTCTGCAGGTTTGCTGCTTCGGGGATACTTTTAAGTGTGTTTCAGTTTGTTATCAAGAATAAATAGTTAAAATTATCGTAATATGGGTTGTTTCCATGGAAACGTAATGTAAAACGGCAGCATTTAGCAATGTTTTTAATTTTTTGTAGTTCTGGCCTTTTTTAGTGTGCTCTAGTGGCGAAACGGTTTGTCGTAGAAACAAACATTATATAGGAAACTTGTAGTAAATTTTGTCATCTTTAACTTTACGAAGCAGGATTTTCTCAAAAACCCATACTTACCGAGATTTGCCCGAAAAACCAAAAAAAGTGCCCAAATTTTAAGGTTTTTCACAAAATAACCAATGTTCCGGGCAAAATATCTGTCAGCAAACCTCATATTCGTGTTCAGCGACCCAAAAAACATAAAGAAAAGTGATGATTAGGACTGTACCTAAACTTTCCGCTAACTGCCACTTATATTCCTAATATGCCTAGCCTATATCCATAAAATTTAATTATGTATCTCTTGCTGTAACATTGCCAATTCAAAATGTTATTCAATTAAAAATTTAGTTTCTTAAAAAGAGTGGTTCTGTAATTTTAGTTGTCTCCTTTGGTCACTTATGTCTTAGACTCCTTTTAACCCAACAAATGAAGACTAAAATGTTGTAAGGGAATGTTTTTGTTTCAGTTGTGGATCCATAGCACATTCTGGACATCCCTTTTCCTCATCTCCGTAGTTTCGTCTATAGCCACTTTTATGGTTTTTTGTTGTGTTTACAACAGTTTTGTGATGTGAGTAGTCAATATTTCTTGTAATATTGAGATATATTATGTAAGGATAGGCCTATCTACCTACAGCGTATTCATCCCTTAAAAAAACCTTTGCATCATCACAGTAAATTAAATAACTGCTATAACGAATATGAGAGGGATGCTATGTATATTGGGGAGATAAGAGGAAGTTATAAAATAATTTAATATAAGAATTATCTGTGTAATACTTAATATAAATAAATGAGGAGTGGTCTCATCATGGACTCAGTAATAGATTTTGCTCTAGGACAAGGGTTCTGTTTTTGGGTCTTTTATGTGTATTATAATTAGAGACTTGCTTCAGTTTGAGTTTCCTCCCAAAAGTCACACAACTGGTCTGGGACATGCCCTGGGACTTCCACAGAGCTAGGCCCACCCTCTTTTTGGCACTTAGCAATTTAGTATTTACTACTATGTAATGTAGCTGCACGCAAAACTTACTGCCTGTTGAACTGAAGATCAAGTCGTACTAGCAAGAATTAATTTTCTATCAGTTGGCATACCTTTCCATTCTACAGATTTGTTAGTGGTTCCCATAACCATATGAAGGCCATTCTATAGGAATGTTCACAGGGTTTTTAGACTTCATGCAGCCTAAAAAGTTCATACTCTTTGCTTAGAATAATGCAAACACTTTTTATAAACCAACTGAATATAGAATGAGGTTAGAAGGCAAATATGAAACTTGGTACGGTAAATGATCCATCCCTTTACGCTTGACTCATCAAACTCTGCCTTTTGTTTCAGGGTAACTAATTCTTTGCAGTCTCTCTACTATGTGTACTTTCGACTACTTAGTTCATACAATTTCTGGTTTATATCACTACTGACAGTTACATCCAGTTTAATACCAGATGTTTTAATCAAAGTATTCCAGAATCAGGTAATTATCGAATTAATTTATTCTAAAATGATAGCATAATGTCAATATTGAATTCACAGCAAGGAATAGTGTACTTGTGTTGGTTAGTCTATGGTAGAACTCGAGATTAAACCTCTCGTTAACAAAGTTACTACAAAAAGTATTGCATTTTTAAAATCTTAACAACAAATACAGCTGTTATCCATTATTTTTTTATTGTATGATTACCAAAACGAAAAACTTGGGGCGCATGCAATAGATCATAATAGTTCAATAGGTGAAGTTGATTGTAAATCAGCATGCGCCCCACGTTTTTTTGTTTTAAATCTTACAAGTATTTATTATCTCAACATTTTATAAATTATTTTATACTTTTTAGTGCGTTTAAAAACGTGGCATTTTTAAAAAGTATTTTTATTTATAAATTATTGAGATTATGGTCTTAGTTAGTACATGCAATGGGCTTAAAATAAAGTTTTAAAAAGCCCTCATAACTTTATGATGGATCAAGATTTTTAAAAACGGTTTGTGGCATTGTAATCAGGGTAAAAATCTAGTTCAAAATAATGGGTCACAACCTCACCTTTACTTTTGAAAAAAATATTTTCCATCCAATATGGCGGATCCAAGATGGCGGCCGGAAATGACCACCTTGTCAAAATGAAGTACTTACTACCCAACAATGTTTGGAAGTGGTCTGGGATTGATATTTGAAAAAATGTAGAAAAAAGTTGGGGGGGGGACAATTAAAACTCACCCTGTATAACTAGGAGACCAGTAGAAATCTCTTTCTTCTAATGTTTTGTGTATATAATGTAAAGTTTTGTGTTTCCTTTGCCAGTTTGGACTCTTTGCCATTTAGGTAAGCCTATCCTCTCAAAAATTCCTAAAAACCTAGGCCCTTGTGCTCTATGTTACACCCTCAACTAGGAGACCAGTTATTGTTTGTGATTAGATCATTTTAGCCCAAAGTACCCATGAACTTTTGAGAAAACTACAAGTAACACCCCCATAAACCATATACTTAAATTGTTCGTCATGACGAGAAACCTTGCGCAAAAACTATCCATTATTTCATAAATTGCCCTTTAAGGTCGTAATTCCTTTCTAAAAATCACAGACACCAGATCTAGTGGGATTGAACCCTTGATTTACAGAGTTGTCTCCTAGCCAAGGTACGGCTCGAAGATTAATCAGACTTATGGTCAATCACACTAACGAAACTGGTGAGCAAAGCCAAGCTTAGTAGCTCTAAACTTTATTAGGTTGCAGCACATGTCAGATATAGTTGTATTTTTCTTAAGTTGCACTGTCACTTATACATTGTAAGTGGATGTTTGGTTATGTTACTCTTGTGTCCAATATATTGGCTTTTGGAGCACAGACGGTTAATTTATAACTCTGAGAGAATTTAAATAGAAACACTGGGTCTTTAAAGATTCACTAATCCTGTTTTTTTGGTTTTTTTAGAAATTTGGAAGACCTCAGATTCCTTCCTGGTTACCGAGTCGTAGGAGGGGAGTTTTTGTGCTGCCGACTCTAGAATCCAAGTCCTGAAATTTTTGATTTCACACATTTTGTCACAAAAGTTGTGTTTATTACACTACGTGTAAATCATGTTCTTAGATTTGTGTCTAAAATAGGTATTAGCAATTTGTAACTATTGTATTTTGTAAACCAAACATTACCTCTCTCATGTGATATTTTTATAAGTTTGATTTTTAACTAAGGGTAGTCTATAGGAACATCAATAAAACTGTGATAGTCAAACACATAATTTTTCAGACTCATTGATTTCCACCTGTTCTCTGATGAACACATCTATAACTTTATTTATGTACTAGCTGTAACCCGCGGGCTTTGCCCCGTTTAACTTCTTAATTTTCAAGATGATCTCGTTCGCATGGCTCAATCACGTTTTTCGTATCTAGTTCATTTCCGGTGACACTGATCGCTAGTGTCAACGAAATTTTGTTTCTATTATTTTAGGGTTAATTTCATAATTTGTGCTTTACTGTTTGGTTATATATTTAGGGGGCGGGTTATATGTTATGATTAGATCGTTTTATTTTGCCAAACGAGGTTTTAAATGACTGACAAGTACACAAATTGTAAATAAAACACAACCCCTACAGTGCACCGGACAGAACTAACAAATGAAATTGGCTTAAGCTGTTCCATAAGAATTAGAAATCTACTAAGGAAGTAAGTTTTATCCATGGCATTAATTAGGTAGATAAGGTGCCTGATCTACTTAATTCGATAATCTAGATCATTAGATGAAGAGAGATATAATACAGAAACGAGACAACTAGGCCTAAATATTTATGTAAACTTTTAGAACAAAATTGAACATAATTCTTTTCTCCAACATTACCTTAGATTTGCAGGTTGGCACAGCTCTATATGATAAATTACTAATTGAAACTAAACAAAAGTCAGACAACAACCTTGGTCACAAACAAGCCAGATGGAAAGTATGTAGGTCTTTAGCATTGTTATATAATAAGAAAAAATTTAGTTTTGGCAGAAACTTGTAATATAATGTCTTCAATGTTCAGTATCGAGCTGATTTCAATATTTGAGTTATGTAGATAATCTGGTATTCATGGCCAAGTACATTGACTCTGACTTCTATATCGATGGCCCTAACACAGTTCCATCCCGATCCCTTCATTTCATTTGTTTCCCTTTCCAAAGGTCGATTTTCAAACAATTCTTTGACACATTCCCTCTAAATCTTTTGATTGGAAAAGGACATTATTTTTAGTTTTGGATGCCTGATATTAAATTATCTCAAATATTTTGCATGGGTCTGCTTACCTTAGTCTGGCCAGGAATGAGGCACTCCAGGAGTGACACAGCATGTTAGTCAGTTAGACTGTAGGTTACGAGCTGACCTCTCAATGCTGTCACAATCTCCACCCCAACACCACTTAAATGGTCCTTGGAGCCAAGTCATCGGGAATCTCGGTTGGATCAGTGGTGGTCTCAACTGTCGATAGTCGTTGATGAATGATGATGGTCAAGTTGGAAAAGGCCAGAGTACACTGGCTCCTGGCTGGACAACATGACATCGTCTTTGGAGTTAAAACCAATGTCAGTCAAGATTGTTCCCCTGGACGATTGAACGTTCAAACCCATCACATACGAGGCCTGAAACATGAAAAACTCAGTCTTCTAGATAGATTAATAATGTGAATCGACACAAATTTAAAGGAGTTTAAAATGTGAACTTGTTTTAAAAGAATGTCTTTATGATAGACATTTTAATGTGCAAATACTAACTGTTATCTAGCATGTGCAGAATAATTGATTACTCATAAGATGTGCTTGTTTATAAATGTAAAGACAGTCTTTATTCACAGCCTTCATATTCATTCTTAGTCATTCCAAGCACTTTTTTCTTTCACAATTTCAAAATTTAAAAAAAAACCTTTGTTAGTGTTTTAATAACCTGATGAATATTATTTGAAAAATACCCTGGCGTTGAATGTTTTGGTTTAAGGGTAGGGTAAGTTACTTTTACAAAATCGTCAAATTTCAATAGCTATGTCTACAACCGTGTGTTTTCAATTTCAACTTTGAATTCCGCATTCAATTCAATATGTATCAAAGCATGCGCTTTGAGGCATGCCTGTTTAGCTGTTCACACTCACGCCTCACTTTTCAGATAGGTACCTTTTCCTAGTTGGATGAAGACGACACTATTATGATAGGAGGAATTGGTACTGCATGTGCACATTTAGAAGGGTAAGAAATAAAGGCGTACAATGTGCTGTGGTAGGAGTATGCAACTATAAAACTCGTAATTTTCTTATTTTATTTTATTTTAATTAATTTTACTCATTTTTTAAAATGTATTACTCTGTACATCCCACAAACATACATGAGAGTGATAATCTTTTATGAGTTCTGAGGTTTCTTAGTTATTCATCTTGCTTCAAAAAACTATAACACGGATGACTTGTCAAAAATGTAAAGCAGTTGCAAGTTGAAACCCACAGAAATCCAAGGCTGGTGGATCGTCTTGCGCTAAGCTGTGTACTATATAATGAAGCTCCTTCCGACTCCTTTTGGGCATGCCTTGACGCATGTGTTACTTGCGTCCATCTGCATCAAGGCATGTGCTTGGCCCACACAAAAACGCAGGAGTGTGGACATACCTATTTACATTAAATTCATTTTACACATGTTTTGAGCAGGCATAAAATATACACAGAAACAGCTACGGTATACTTTTTTTAACTAGTAAGCCATCCAATCAAAATTTACTTCAAAGTACTTAAATACGTTTGAACTGTCGCTAAACAGCAGGAATATAGTGAACTCACATTTTTACTTTGGTTTTTTAAAACAATTATTTTATTGCTTCACAGATACTTTTACGATATTTTAAAATCATTTTTCATTCTTTAATCTAGTGAATCTTACAAATGCCTGAGCATGCGCAGAAAAAAACTATTTTTTATCTAAGCTAAAGTTAAAGTTCTAAGAGCCATCCAGTAACTTAATACTTGTGTTTTAACTGACTTTAGTACAGTAGTTAAACCATTATCTTAACTAACACAGTGGTAAAACAATGACAAACATCTTCAGTACAGTAAGCGATATGATCTTACATAATAAATTCCTGTGTATAATTGAGCCCGGAGGTTGGCGAACCTGTTCAATCGCCACCTGGTCTGGTCCGGTCCGTTACCGTCGACCTACGACCTCCCGCTCCCGCCACTCACCACCGTTACTCTACTCCACAGCCACTCCAAGGCCACCAACTAGTTCAGTTTTATTTAGGTGCCATTTGCAAAGCTCATAATAATAGTTTTTAAGACAAATATAAATTATTCTTTGTTTTGTAAGTACTGTAAATTTAGATTTCAGTAAGAGTGTATTGAACCCTAATTTCTCGATTAAAAACCGATTGTAGGCATACCGTGTGGTGTAATTTAAATCGGGAAGTCCTAAAACCAATTAATAGCACAGACAAGGGTATAAGTAATCCAGTGTCTGGGATAAGATTAAATTGTAAATTTGTTATAACATTAACAAACAGTTCACGGTCATATAGATGATCAGCTCAATTTCAATACAGTATGTATAAATAATTACAGTTGCCGTAATACTAAAGAAAAAGTGTTGTACAGTAGTAGTAAACTTAGGTACCTACCAGTAAATTAAGTTGTTACTGCTAAAGGCATTTGGGTCTAGGACCAATTCTATCGTCAATATTCAAGGATACAATTTGTCCTTGGCGTAACATACTATTCTCTTCTTGCCGGACGACACTGAAATGGAAGTGACAAGAGATTTACGACTTGAGCACGAGGAATATAGACAAAAACAGGGCCATTCGATAGCGGCAACTCACGGGCTGTTGTAAAGTAAATTTTGTTTCGCTAAAATGGTAAGATGATACTCTTTATACAAATTTAGAATTTATTTATTGAAAATGCTTGTAGCGCCTAGGACACACACTCGCACAAGTAGAGTGGTAGTGGTAGTGTTTAGGGTGACAGGCGGGAGAGCCGAATGAAATCATATCTTAATTCAAATGCCTCAGTCTGGCCACAGAAAACGTACTACCATAACCCAGAATGCCAACCGCATGGTAAAAAGCATTAAGCGGTTTGAGAGAGCTTTGCCTGTCAATCCGTAGGCAGCGCCACCAGCGTTGCCATGCAATAGCATAGCAACGCTGGTGGCGCTGCCTACGGATTGACAGGCAAAGCTCTCTCAAACCGCTTAATGCTTTTTACCATGCGGTTGGCATTCTGGGTTATAGTAGTACGTTTTCTGTGGTCTGGCTGACATATACATGTAAAATATATACAGGACTATGTGTGTCAGCTACTTATGCATGCACGACATGCTATAAAACTAAAATACACGTTAGAATTAGTAATTACTAGGTAACCGCCCGTGCTCCGCCACGGGAATATTTACAGAAATAAAAGATATCATAATTAACAAATACTGTTTATCTTTGTCAAACCAATATATTAGTTTAACCAAATGAATGTGTTAAATTAATTCGAATTACATTTAAAAAATAAATAGTATATGAATTGCGCAATGCTGATAATCTAATAAGCTACTTATGCTATGGATATAATTTGTTCATATATTTTCCTACATTCGTTGTTTTCTTGTTCATTACATCCGTAATGCATCTAATCTATGCACAAATGTGTAGATTCATTCATAATCGTCAATTGTTATAATTCATGCCAAGTGCCTTCTCGTCAAACTATAAAAGCGATACACTGAATGTGTGGTGATAATTCAGGTAATGGTACTTAGGTGGTATAGCCGAGTTCAAAGTAACTGATGATAGTGAATTGTGGCCGAGTTCAATGCAGCTGATGATAATGACTTGCGTGGTGGAGGCCGAGTTCAATGCAGCTGATGATAATGACCTGTGTGGTGGAGGCCGAGTTCAATGCAGTTGATAATAATGACCTGTGTGGTGGGGGCCAAGTTCAATGCAGTTGATAATAATGACCTGTGTGGTGGAGGCCGAGTTCAATGCAGTTGATAATAATGACCTGTGTGGTGGAGGCCGAGTTCAATGCAGTTGATAATAATGACCTGTGTGGTGGGGGCCGAGTTCAATGCAGTTGATAATAATGACCTGTGTGGTGGGGGCCGAGTTCAATGCAGTTGATAATAATGACTTGTGTGGTTGAGGCCGAGTTCAATGCAGTTGATAATAATGGCCTGTGTGGTGGAGGCCGAGTTCAATGCAGTTGATAATAATGACCTGTGTGGTGGGGGCCG